ACCTAATAGTACTCCATGGACGCTGCGCTGAAGTGCAGACAGTACTGCAGGCATCTGAAAAATTAAGGTTTGCTATTAGTCCCGTCAGAAATCACTGAAAATATGTTCACTCACCTGTATATTTTGCAACGATAGAGCTCTAGGACACATTAATAGAGCAGCAGCTGCTGATAGATACTTCCAGTGTCTCCCCTAACAACCACCATGACAGGAGACAGGCGCAAGCTACAGCAGTAAAGTGACTCCCATCATTGGCCACAGAACTTTTCAGGGCCATGCAGTGTTGCTAAATCCAACAGCAGTTCAAACAGCGCCTCTATAACTGCTGAAGGGTTCACTTTTCAAAGCCTGAAACAATATTTATATTAAGTAAATGGAAGATAAATGCGGTCAAAAAATATTTACCTCAGGGGCCTGGCCTTGCAGAACATCTAACAGAGCACTTAGTGCTTTGGTGCAAAGCACTGGATGAGAGATTCTGCTTTCTTTAATTAGTTCAAATACTGATCTCAGCCCTAAACCAACAACCTTTGAAACTTTCACTGGAGTATAGGTACTGCTCTGCGAGTTGTCGTCTGAATCAGTTTCAGCCTCACTTTGGTCTTGGAGTGGGGGCGCTGCAACTGCTCTGCAAGTACTCTTGACTGGCTTGCCGAATCCACGATCAAATACGACCAAGCGAATTGAGGCAAAGATTGCAAATGCTGAAGCATTACCTGGCAGTTCAATTTCTGGAGCAGTTTGGACTTCATTCTCACACACAACATCTAATTTGTTTTTTGTTTGCGGCGAGCTTTCGCCGATTTATTTCTTAACCTCTTCCAGTCTATCCGCTTTCTGAAGTTATAAATCAGTATCTTAAGTCAGGGAGCAAAAGTGGTTTGTAAGATACTTACTTTATGGTTTCTGGGGCAACTTTAAAAGATTCGTGAAATATTATGCTGAAATCTTCCGGGTCCGGCAACATTTTTATTCAAACGCACGATTGTGTACGTTTATTCGTTTACTGATATTGATTAGTCTAGAGATCTTAGTCACTAGGCAGCCCCTGTGTGTCATCGTCTAGATAATCGATAATAAGGGTTGTCATACTACAACCCTATTATTAAGTAAATCGTTTACATTTAAACATTTTTTTCTTGAATTGGTTTTCTGGGTTAAACATTTTTAAGCCTTTTTAAACGAGATTCTAGCCGGCACCAGCGCTCCAGCTTGAAAAACAATAGATAGTAAAGTAAACAATCGATTCAAATCAAACAACTGTCATCCGCTGCCGGCTGTCAGGTTGCTGTCAAAATCAAAATCTTTTAAACTATCCATCGGCTGCGATCAGTTGTAAGTTTCCTAAATATCCACATAAAACTAAAGTTTATACAAACTATTTTTTATACTCATTTTGCGTGGAGTAGCGGCTCGAGTAAAGATAACATGACCACGCAAGACAACTATTGAAATGTACTCTACAAGACTATTGGCAGCGAAATTTTTTCTGGAAATCGTTGCACACCGCTTAAAAAGTGCAAATGAAGATTGGAATACTGCCGCTTTGATGTACTAAATGACTCCGTCGTTACCCCGGGATAGACATACGTTATGGCAGGTGTTCCTGTCATATAGATTGCGGCGTTGCCAGCTTATCGGACAATTATGCTACCTATGCTATTTTGCTAGAATATTATAAAAAAGAAGCTTTGAATAAAATATTGAGGGATACCAATGTTTGTCAAAAAACTAAGAAAAGCTGCGCTTGCGTCTATGCGGCGAAACGTTAACGTCTCTGAACACTTTTATAAATGCCCAGATATATGTATAAGACAAATACAATTGGAAAAAACAATGTTTCATTATAAAATATATTTATTTACTATTTGATCTAAAATTACATGATCACCAATAGGAGAAGTACGATTTTCATTTTCTCTACTTTTTATTAGAGGATTATGCTTTTTTAGTGACTGCATTCGCACTTGGACGAGGAAAAACCCCTAGAAAACCTCAACCGTCACTGCTAAGATTAATTGTATCAGGTAATGAAAAATTAAGTCGTTCCACAATTCTGGCTTCATTTGTATAATCGAAAATCGCCAGCATGCACTTACCTTTCAGCAAACTGCTCTAGTCCCTGGAACAAGAAGAAATAACATGAGTACACAAGTATGGTAGACGACAACGATATTGCGAAAGGCTTTCGCGGCCATCATCCAATGTAATTTGGTTGGAGTCCTATGATCTACTACAGTAGTAACGTCAAATAAAACTATTTTATGACGGCCTAACTACCCAAAAAACAACCAAATGACAACGATATTGTATTGGTTCAACATTTTTCTGCTTCCTTGTGTTACCAACCCGCCATATTTTTTTGAAATAATTTCTTTAAACACAATAATACAAAAGTATAACCAGTTTTAACAATAATTCCCTAATCAGTGTTTGCAAACACTGGCCCCGAGAATAACAAGACAATAATTAATATCTATGAACTACAGGTACACTGCAATGTTGCTCATAATTTCAACAAATAAATTCATTAACATTTTTACAATCTTTCAATTCTCTAACAAAACTTCTATAGTTATTTGAATCTTTTATACAATGAGGTAAATTATAAAAATTTCTTAATTGCGTCTGTGATCTGATTTTTTAAACCTATGTTAGTTCTTGTGGAAATTTGATAAACATTATTTAGTGATCTTGTTTGGTGATCATGCACGTTATGGTAGAACCTAATATTTATGTTACTTTTTAGTAGATTATTTATAATTTTATAAACAAGTTTACATTGTTCCACCTCCAATAACACTCTTAATTTGTTTAAATTTAAATTTGAATAAAGTGTATTAGAACTTGTAAGCCAATCAAAATTAAACAATATTTTCAGAACTTTAATAGTACGGTCATTATATGATACGATATAAATAATAATGGAATCTGTAATATGTAATTAATTACAATAGCGATCAACGTTACTTCAACAACTTGATTCAGTCATCTCACTTCTCATCCAGACTTGCAAGAGAAAATGTTTTATCACTATCGGCAAGAAATGTAAACGAATACAATATCGTTGTTGTGTACTATACAACGTTATTAAAATTTTCATTTATTTAAAAAACATAGGATATCAACCCTAACACACAAGTAGATGAGTATGCAAGGCTTACCTAGTTTCCTGCACAGATATCCTCTTTCCCTCAGAAGAGTTGGAAGTAGACCTAATTCCCACTTTGGAGGCACTTGACACCCACATCACAACACCAAACACCACTGAGAGACAATCGACAACCCTATACTGAACACCACTACTGAAATAAAGTAGCTAAACCGAATAGAGCTCTGTACAGAGCTGCGAACGCGTAGACATTCCGCAGCGCCGGTGGTTGCCGAGAGACTGAAGCGTGTGCGTGCTACCGGTCAACGTTAACATCGAGTCGCTTCATGAGCAGACGCGCGAAGTGGGAGCTGGAAAGGGGCGTGGCTATACTACCCGGCCGTACAGCACTCGCACGCTTCAGGCTCTTGGCGACCGTCGCCGTCGACGCAGCGGATCTCGCTGCAGGGATACGGTACGGCCGGGTAGTACAGCAACGCCCCTTTCCAGTTCGCACTCCGCGCGTCTACTCCCGAAGCGCCCCGATGTTTACATTGACCGGTAGCACTCACACGCTTCAGTCTCTCTGCAACCGTCTGCCAGCGAGGTACAGCACTCGCACCCTTCGGTCTCTCGGCAACCGTCGGCTTAGTCGAATGTCCACGCATTCACAGCTCCGTGCAGAGCTCTATTCGGCTGATTTATTAGGGTTCTCGATTGTGGTGTTTTACTGTTGTGACGTGGGTTTCAAGTGGTCTACTTCCAACTCTTCTGAGGGAAACAGGATACATGTGCCGCAAACTAGGTTAGTCTTGCATACTGATCTACTTGTGTGTTAGGGTTGACATCCTCTGTGTTTTAAATGAATTGCATACACTGAGAGATTAGTCATATACTGAGGTATTTGGACAAAACATTTTAAAAAAGTACGACCCTGTATCTAATGGCATCTTTTTCTACAACTTGTATCACGTTACATTTGTTTTTTTTAGTTATAAACGTGTTTTTTCTATTTTTCCATTTTATTTAAGTAGGCGTTGCAAACAAATACTTGATGTAAGAATGTGTGATTACTGAATTTAACCTATTCTGATCCTTATCTTGGCCACCTTGTAATATAGTAGTATGTTAGTATTCTTATGTACTTACATTCATTTCTGAAAAATCTCAAAACTATTAACAAAGCGTCGAACAAAATACTATTTTCAGTCCAACGAAGTGGTGATAGTCAATAATTAACAGTATTTCACATCGTGCTTTAACACTAAGGCCCGTATCGTCAGTCATCCCTACAATTGTAGGGCGCGTTTATGGCCTCCTTGATTGTCATACGCCTTTCTCTCCTTCAAAAATTTCTAGATTACACTTGTCCCGTGTCAGTGTCTGCGCTCTCCTATTGTGAATATATGTTTTCTTTTTAAATTGTAAGAAATTTCAGGCTGATAAAACATGATATAACTCAAAAGCAAGCACAATTTGATGCAAATAGATGTTTGTGACATAACCTCAAAATAGAGTTCTGACACGGAGAAGCAGAAAACTATGACAATCAAGGAGGCCATAAACACGCCCTACAATTGTAGGGACGACTGACGATACGGGCCTAAGCCCTTGGCGGTATGTTTACGATTGGTGTGATTCTTTGGCGTTTTCAAACCTGGAATCTCAGCCAAGTGTTTAGGAAACTACAATGTCCTACTTCGGTTGTTGGTGGATACGTGGGCACCAAATGTCCCAAAAGGGTAGCGATATATGATGCATCCAAAATGCTGATTCCGTCTGCCTGTAATTCCACATGATCGACGAGTTATAAGTTGGATTCAAGTTCAAATCCTTCAGCTGTCCATTTTTAGTTTCCTCAAAATGAATGCTTCATTTCGCTACGCATAGTCTTCTATGGTCTAGTAGAGTATACTTCAATACTTGGGTGGCCACGTTATCTTTACTCGGGCTGGAGTGACTATTTATTTCTGTTTATATTCAGATATTATAATTCATTTTTCTATTCTAAAAGTTTGCTGAAATCTCGGTAGTCCGATCCTGTTTTGCGGTTTGACAGGCTGACCTCCTGCCATTTACCACACTTTAAGGTTATGTAAATGTCAAGAAGCTAATTCGAAGCGAAAGTAAACATGTAACATAAAACTGAAAAAAATATAATCAAATTGCAATGGCAAAGTAAGTACCGTTTCTGAATTATATAATGTGCGCTCTTAGCATGGTGCGTTTTTCAGAGAAACAACCATCATATTCGTGTATGATATAGAAAAACTACAGAAAGAAGAGGACGACCCAGCCTCTGCAATTCTCTATTTTCATCCTACATGGGTGTCTGATCAACAGAAGTCCTCGCTGTGTGGTCAGATTGTAGGAACAATACAATGTGTCAAAAATGTCCTAGCCAAACCAAAGATCATTTCACTGCAGACTGGAAAATTTTACATCATCCAGAACAATCGCTACCTATTGGTGAGAACTTTTCCCTTAAACAAGTGACATATTTATATGTAAGGCCCCTTCATCTGTAGCTCCAGCCCTATCTTAGAACCTTCTCTAGTGGCAATTGGTTGTCCGTTATATGATGGGGGTTAACTAATGGAGTTCAAAAATTACTGCCTCAAATCTTGAGAATTTATACAAATTAATCTCTTTGACATCTATCTATAGAATGCCACCAAATGTCAAGCATCCGAGACTCCAGTAGATGGTTCTTCATTGACCAAGGTGGTACCACACCATAGATTTTTTAGACATAGATTAAGTATATGTTGCAAAAAAGGAATAGATATTATAGACATGTCACACTGTAAAGGGGTGGTAAATTATCAGTCATTTGAGCAATATGCTCAGAAAATAGTGTGCAGTGCTCACTTTGTAAGCTTTTGCACTCATTCTATATTTTGGTCTGGGTCTTTGCATGTATTACCCAAGAAATCATAAAAAAATTGATCGGCATGTTTATCATGAAGAAAGCAGTGGGTTATCAAAGTAAAAGGCTATTAAACATGTTATTGTAGTTATGAAATATTATTAACTTTCTGTTTGTTTCACTTTATTTGTAGTGTAAAATCATGCCACAGGGTGTTTTAAAGTTAATGTCAATGATTTATTTATTAAAGTGACAGTATAAGTACTAGTACAATATTTGATATATGATTTCAATTGTTTATAGCTGTAAGATGTTGAACATTAGTATATTGATCATTCAAGAGTCATTTATCTCTTAAAATTAACTAAATACCACCAGACCAAAAGTTGTATTGATAAACTTAATCTAACCCACCTGGTATATCTTCTTATTTTTTCATAGCTGTCTCCATGAGATTATTAAATTTTTTATTACATATTTTTATTATTCTGTCTTTGCCATACTTTTATATATTGGTGGAATCATTTTGTTAAAAGAAGTATGTGTAGAGCCTCTTTTTTTCAGGGCGTCGGTACAGACAGAAACATCACTGATTTACTACTTGAACATAGAGCAAATGCAGTATATTCATTAGTCAAGTTCTTCCACAATGATTTTGTGTCTCTTGCCGAACTTTACCATGGTGAAGGTCTTCCAGCCAAATTATACCATATATTTGATACTTACTTGAAAATGCTGGCATTTGGAGGGAATATATTTTCACATATTCCCACATTGAATCTTCCAAAGGTAATATTACGTTCTAGATGTATTCAAATAAAAACTTTGTAGTTGATAATATATTATTATTTTGATTTTAGAGCGCAAGTAGCGTGTATATGGAAGCAGCTCATATCTTGGAATGCTGTCAAGATCTTGAGAATGTTCTGGGTGGATCCATGCTTTATCATAACAAGTATGTTTTTAATAGTTTTCAGAGACTTGTAATGTCACATGTTCCTGTTAAGGGGTGATATATTAGGTCAAAAGCAACACGTCCGGTTTGGCAGATGCGCCAATACACAGAGTCAAACACAGTAACGTGAGGTGTTCGGCGATTCGGGAAACGTTGCCGATATTCACGGCGGGCAGCTGCAGAATCGCCGTTACAAAGTCCATAACATAACATTATGTCTGCGTATTCTTCATTTGTAAAAGTTTGCCCGTGCTCGCTATGGCGAGGTCCTGGCGGATCTTCTGCGTCTGATGCTAAAGAAATCACTCGAAATTAACTGGGAAACTCGAAAATAATAATCGTGCGTAAAACGTGTGCGTGTACGCAGTAGTTGATACCAACTAAACCTAATTCTCACTCGTGAATAATAACAGCTCTCTCTCTCTCACTCTCCACTAAGTCAGCTCTTCTCGCTCGCTTCCTCGTGGAGCCGATGCCATAAAACAATCATGGCTTGCGAGTCCTTTGATTACAGGAACGACTTGTTCAAACAGGTAATACAAATTTCTTAAAAATCCGGCCTCTTTTTTTTTTTTATATCGAAACAGCCGCGCAGGCAGAAGCCTAAATGCCGGAACACCGCGGCTGCTATGATGATCCCAAAGAAATTTTGTTAATACGATTTTTGAACTGCCTAAGGTTAGTAGAACTGGGAAAAGCTTCCTCCCGTAGTTTGTTCCACAATCTAGACACCCTCGGGACAAAGGAGCGGTCGTATCGGCCAGTTCTGGATGTACGAAGTTTGACACGGTTAGGATGGGACGCCGAAGTCAGGCGGGTCTGTCTGGCAGGCACATCGCGCGGCGGCATCATGGAAGAGAGCTCTGAGGAGCAAAGTCCGTTGGTGTAGCGATATAAAAGAGCCAGATCGCCGACGGCCGCCGGTGCGAAAGAGTCCCGAGACTGCCTGTTAGAGAAGAGTCATCGATCAGTCGGACCGCCCTCCTCTGGACAGCATCGAGCATGGACAATGTAGTCGGGGCGGCAACACCCCAAATGTGTGAGCAATACTCGAGGCTAGGCCTTATCTGGGCCTTGTATAGAGTGAGAAGGTCATGCGGAGAAAAGTACTTCTTAGCCCTAAACAAATAGCCTAGCTTTTTCCCAGCAGCTGCAGCTATTGAAGGGTGTGGGTGTCATTGTTGTTTCTCTGCATGTACTTCAGATAATTGAACGCTTAATACCTCAAATGAAAGCTTCTTAGATAGAGATATTATTTACATAATTTGCACATTTCATTACTAGGAGATTTTTTACAGAAAATTGCATTTTTTATCGAATAAGTTAGTAAAAAAAAAAGAAATTGATACATTTAAAAAGCGTAATTTTAAAACGTTTGTAGCTTTTCAACATTCTATTACTTATTATGAACTATTGGAATGTCTACTATGCGACGATAACAAAAAAATCAAAATCAAGCATGCAGTTTTTTGTATTTCAATTTTAACCCTCTGAAATCGGAATAAAAAACTTAAAATTCAAATAACTCAAAAATGGTTAACTTTTGGATAAGACATGATAGGACAAAATCAGTTGCTTTTGACCTAATCTATCGCCCCTTAACAGGAACACGTGACATTACAAGTCACCCTGTATAAGTGATAGAGGGACATGGGTATAGTCAAGAATAAAATAATATTGATATAACATAACAAGAGCAGTTATTTGCCTACCCTCCTGTATCCGGTTGGACTAAGGGATCAATCTCTCTAGCATTTGTTAATTGAAGTTTTATAAGGGTATATTTAAGTGATATTTTATACCTGGCATCCGAACTAACTGGGTATTCACACGTTTCAGAGTTGTTGCAACACAACTAAGTGCAGACTTGACAAAAAGAATCATCCTCACCGATCCATATAGGATAAAATGCCCATCCGACGCGATGGAAGTCTCATTTGAGTTGCCAGTTAACGTACAATTACTCCAAGTGTACATATCTAGTAAGGAATACAACTCGTTATTGGATGTTTCCAACAGAAACAGATTTGCTTTTCAGTATTTGTGCAGCAAGGATATAAAGAAGGTTGGTATATTATGCACTAAACTGTTTTCTGTATTACCTAAAATGTTCAATACAAGGTGTTGCAGAATATTATCAGGAGAGTTTGCACATAAAAAAGTTCATTTAAGCGTTTATTTATGGATGATCATATAAATTGTAGATACCCTTTACGAAGCTAAAATTTTGCAGAGCATCCCTAAATCCTCATCCCAACAAGATACTTCGTTGGTGTCAGCGATGAAGCGCGATCAGTCGCTGATCTTCACAGCTGTTCCCGAGGAAGGTCCCGACTCGTCGAACCAACCGTTTGTACCTGCCGTCGTCAAGAAGAGCCGTCCGAAGTTTCTGAACCTGAAAAGCGCAAGCATAGATGAAGCGTCCGAACGAAAATCTAGACAAGTTGGTACACCCCTGTGCGGACAGACTAGCGTCGCATCCACTCCTGTTGCTGACCTCAAAAGGTTCGTGCATCAGAACCCGATGTCGATCTGCACTAGTAAGGGAGCGCCACCACAGGTATGTGTTCATATTTTCACGACTCGGCACTCCTAGTCGGTGTTGTATTTTCTATGTCATTTAGTACAGGGTCGTCAGAAAGAATGCATGTTTTAGAATGGGTACTACATCGAGTGGGCTGGTCCCGTGTCGGTGGGGAAGGGCGTGTTGGATAGTGGACAAGATGGTTTGGAATGTTGAGCATCGTGTGTTCACTGTACGTCGTCGGTACTTTCAAAATGGCGAGTCTGTCGTTTGAAGGCAACGTGAGTTTCGCGTTCACTTTCGTGTTTCACGTTGTGGGACAGTACCAGACCGTAAAACCGTTTTGAGATGGGTGGAAGCTGTCAAAACAACAGGTAATGTGATGAAGAAAAAACAGTCAGGGCGAAACTGTACTGTTATTACTCCCCAAAACTCAGACAGAGTGAGAGTTTTGTTTGTTTGTTTAAGATTTATTTAGCATGATTGCTACAATTACATTTTTCTAAAAAACTAAACAATTACATAACATACAGACATTCAGAAAAAAAACAAAATTTGCATCTCTAAGAATTTTCATTGTCCATGAAATATTCCTTTAATTTTCTTTTAAATATCTTTAAATTACAAGTAGACTTTATATATCATTATTTAGTTTATTAAATTCAAGTAATCCTTTCTGAAATATTGATTTGCTAGTTATATTACTATTGCAATTTTGTAAATGAAAATCTATATTTCCACTTGTATAAGAATTGTGGTAATGATTATTCAATTCTATGTAGTGTTTTAAATGTTCTGGCAAGAGATGATTTTTTATTTTAAATAACGGGTGATTTTTTAAGAGGTATAGGATTTGATTTTCAAAAAATTTGAAAAAACGATTAAATCTTTATTTGAGTCGATAGAACGGTCGATATAATTTAATGTTTAAAAATTATTTCATGTAAATGTTGGCCGCGGCTCCGCTTTAGGCACACTCTCTCCAACATATCGGCCGGTATCTCACGAATAAATGCTTCAATATTGGCTTCCAGTGCGTCAATCGTTGCTGGTTTATCCCTGTAGACATTAGCCTTAACATGGCCCCACAAGAAATAGTCCAACGGTGTTAAATCACACGATCTAGGCGGCCAATTGACGGGCCCCAAACGTGAGATAAACTGTTCACCGAACTCGCCTCTCAATAGGCCCATTGTTTCGTGTGCGGTGTGGCATGTGGCACCGTCTTGTTGAAACCACATGTCAGCCAAGTCCAGCTCTTCCATTTTGGGCAAAAAAAAGTTTGTTATCATCGCACGGTAGCGCTCGCCATTCACAGTTACGTTCCGGCCATTGTCGTCTTTGAAGAAGTACGGCCCGATGATGCCACCGGCCCATAAATCCACACCAAACAATGATTTTTTCGGGATGCATTGGTAGCTCTTGCAATGCTTCTGGCTGGTATTCACTCTAGATGCGGCAATTTTGCTTGTTAACGTACCCATTCAACCAGAAATGAGTTTAGTCGCTGAACACAATTTTTCGATAAAAATGTGGATCTTCCACCAGCTTTGCCAGCGCCCATTCACCAAATTGTAAACCTTGTGGGAGGTCGTGTGGCTTCAATTCTTGCACCAGCTGTATCTTATAAGGTTTTACACCCAAATCCTGTCGCAAAATTTTACACGTAGTGGAGTAACAGAGGCCCAATTGCTGCGAACGGCGGCGAATCGACATTTCACGGTCATCACTAACACTGGCGGATACAGCCGCAATATTTTCTTCAGTCCTCACTCTACGTCTGCGTGTTGGTGGTTTAATGTCCAATAATGTAAACTGGGTTCGAAATTTAGTCACAAGCTTCCGAATAGCTCCCTCAGTAGGCCGACCAAATTGCCCATAAATTGGAAGCAGTGCTCGATGCACTCTCTTAATCGAGCATGAATTTTGATAGTAAAATTCAATAATTTGCAAGCGTTGTTCGTTCGTAAGTCGATTCATGGTTAAATTATAGACCAAACTGAACAAGTTTGATAATGACACAAGACACGATTCACGCGTCATCTGTCAAAAACAGTGTTGCCAAAAAGATACTAGCAAAAAAATCACCCATTATAAAATTCAGAACTCCAAGAAGTTGGATGCAAGATGTTGAAGAGTACATGATGTCCAGAGGACTCCAAGAGGGAGGCTGGATGGACCGAACGATGTGGCGTTTGAAAAGCGGGAAACGACAGTAGTCGTAAAAACCCGAATATATATATATATATATATATATAAAATAAGAACCAAATATGATATGAAATTTTTTATATTCGACCACTGCAATTCTTGTAACATAGATTTTATTTTGGTGTACTTATTTTTATTCAATATTATTCTCAAAGCTTTATTTTGCAAGACTTGTAATTTTGAGAATACAGCTTCATTGGCAGTGAACAAGATAGTTGAACAATATAGTAAATGTGGTAGAATAATTGTATTATAAACTATTTTCTTGGAATAGGTACCAAGACTATGAGAAGCCCTACAAAAATAATTTGTTTTTTGGGAAAAAAATGGCATGTATTTCTGAGTATTTTGATATAAAATATTTTTCCCATTCTTATATTTTTTTTAATAATAATATTGACTGTACTACTCATTTAAAAAACAAGTGTTCTTTCTGACGACCCTGTATAAGAATAATTAGATTGCCATATTGTTTTAGGTCGTTATGAGTATACAAGTACCTAATGAGTCATCAAAACCAACAGACATCGAACCATTGAAGATGATACCATACATGACAGTGACTTCGAATAAATTTAAAACAAAAAGGAGCACCAGTTTGACAGATATCAACGAACTGATTGACAGTATTACCAAAGATGCATCGCAGTATTTCAATACTAAAAATAAGCATTTCATCAAAATCGAATCTCCAAAAAAACAGAAACATCGAAATCGTTTGAAAAGCGTGGCGGATCCTACGTTTCCCGTCTTCAGGCAGGACGGATTATGCGTGTCAAAAGCGTACTATAATCGTTTTGTCGAGAGCGATATAGACATGGTTAAACAGGATCTTGAGAATATAAAGATTAATAAGGTCAAAGCCAACGGGGTAATGAAGGGCGTTTTAGGAAGGGTGAAGCAAAATAACGACTGCATACTTAAGAACGACAGGGAAATCGTCACGGTGAAGTCTAGCGATGAGGCGAATCATGTCAAAGTGGCACTTGTAAAAGGAAATAAGGATCACAGGAAGTCTTTGAATCTACCGTTGAAGTCCCTAACAGCTGAAAGTGAGGGGCCTGCTCAGACGCCGTTATCTCGAAGGTATGTGATATTTCGGGTTCCAAGAATCACTGGGAATTTCATACACATTTTTAAGAAACGATAAAATTTTGAATTGCAATCCCACTTAACGACGGTATCTCTGCCTCTGAACATTTATCGGTTCTTACATAGAAGTTTTGCATATGGAAAGAAAACAACACCGTAGGTAGTTTTAAATGACTTTATTGTTTTTCGAAGTATTCTCCACGAAGATTAATACACATCTGCATGCGCTCGAACCAATTTTCGAAGCACTTATTCCACTCGTGGGCTGGCAGATCCAAAACGGCATTTTTGAATGCGTCAACTGCTTCTTCTGGTGACTGGAACCTTTGACCACGCAGTCCAATAATTCCACGTTTTTTTCCGTTACAGTCCCTTGCCATATTATTGGACTCATGCTTAAAAATGAAGTTTTCCTGACTCATAACACGCCAGTAGACATTTACAAAGCTTATCCATGATGAAACATCAAAATTTATTATAAATACAACAAATGTCACATAGAAAATTAGAAATTTACATGAAAATGGAATCTTTTCAAATGAAAATACATTTTTTTTGCAAAAATCAGTATTTTGTATGACCACCTTTCGTAGCCTACACAGCTTCAACGCGACGTGGCATACTGCTTATACAGTTTTGAATTTTTATTTTGAGCTCTGGGTTATGTTTCCAAGTGTCATTAAGTATATTGATCAACTCTTGCTTGGTTGTAGGGGCTTTCATCGTAACCTCAGATTTCAAAAACTCCCAGACGTTCTCGATGGGGTTCATGTCAGGCGAATTTCCTGGCCAGTCGAGAATATCTACTTTTTTTCAGCTAAAAATTTTGTAATTTTTTGTGCACGATGGCAAGGCGCACCATTATGCATAAAAATTGGCTTTTCTCGTTTGTTGAACTATACTAAGTGACATATAAATCCGAACACCCAGTTTAAATTGTTTTATTTTAATAAAATTTTGTATAAGTACTTAATGAAGCATAATAAGTAAATGATAAAAATTTCAAAATTATTGCACTGCTTTAAAGCCCTTTGACCTTTAATAATGTGTGGATGCACCCTGATGTGCTACGCATTCTCCAACGCGCCTAGGCATGCTTCTGATCAGGTGGTCAATGTCCTCCTGTGGTATCTCATTCCAGGCAACTACCAACTCCTCTCGAAGTGCTTCTAGAGTCTGAGGAGGACGTTGCAAATTGAGCAATCTCCTACCCATCATATCCCACACGTGCTCAATTGGGGATAAGTCTGGAGATCTTAGTGGCCATGGTAACAATGTGACATCATTATGTTGAAAGAAGTCTATTGTGACTTTTGCAACATGTGGTCGGGCATTATCTTGTTGGAAAGTTGGATCTGCCAGGGTGTCAAGATAGGGTAAAAGATGGGGTTCTAGAACTTCGTGGATATAACGCTGTGCGTTCAAGTTACCTCTGATGAAGATTAAACGTGACCTGGAACCATAAGCTATAGCACCCCAAACCATAACTCCAACAGTGTGATGAACATGTCTTTCAAGAAAAAACTGTGGATTCCTCCTTTCACCACGTCGCCTTCTAACCCTGGCACGACCATCGTGCATGCCTAAACAAAATCGAGACTCGTCACTAAAGACAATACTGTTCCATTCCTGAACCCAGAGTGATCGTTGTCTGCACCACTCAAGGCGATTACGTCGGTGTTCTCGAGTTAAAGGGAGGACCCAGTGTGGCCGGTATGAAAACAAGCCAAAACTTCTCATTCGTCGGTAAACACTTCGCATGCCAATAGGTCTTCCGTGTTCTGCAAACCATTCATTTGCAATGGACCTGGTAGTGGAGAAACGGTCCCTTAAGGCCAATAATCTTAGGCGGCGATCTTCAGGGTCTGTTGTTCTACGGCGGCGTCCAGTGCCCCTTGCTCTTTGCGTACGACCTTCTCGAAGCCATGCCTGACAACACCTAACCATAATGTCTACACTTCTTTGCACTCTAACTGCAATTGCCCGAAAAGAAAGTCCAGCAGTATAAAAACCGGAATGTCCAACTGATAAGGCTGAAAATTTTTTCACTTGTTATTTACAGTAAGATAAATACATTCACCAACTTTTATTAAAATAAAACCATTTAAACTGGGTGTTCGGATTTATATGTCACTTAGTATATTTTTTCACTTGAGGGAGCAGCTGGATTTCCAAAACTTCCTGATATTTTTCGGCATTCATTGTACCATCGACAACGTATAACGCCCCTTGTCCCTTATAACTGATAACTGACCATACCATTACCGAAGGAGGATGTTTAATGGTCGGCACAATGCATTCTGGCTTATATTTCTCATTTGTCCTTCGCCGTACAAACTGCGATTTGTCGACCAAAATCGACTCGTCCGAAAAACATACTTGAAAAACGTCATAGAATTTAGATTAAACAATATCTACAGTACAAGAACGACGTGAATATAGTTATATAGCATTTATTTACGTTCTTCCAGTTATCAGTCGTGAAATCCTTGTATTTTCGTGCCCATTGGTATCGCTTTGATATCATAGCAGGTGTAAGTCTTGGTTTGCGTGCTGGTCTACGTCTAATAAGACCCTCTTCTGCTAACCTCCGCTGCACTGTTCTTTGCGAAACTTCAATGCCGGATTCAAGAACTTTTTTGTAAGAATTTTTATCGGCAGTTTTCGATTTTCAACACAAATATTGCCAATTTTTCGGTCACTTCTCTCTGGCGTGATTCTCCGACCACCGCACACACCTTTACGTTTGGCTCTCAGATTTTCACCGAGGTCTATTTTTTGTTTAATTCGTTTTACAGAACTTTGAGAAACTCCAACAATTCGCGCTATTTGCAAAAAGTTTATAATAACAACAAGAAATATAAAGGAAAAGTAGATTTGCAGTATGAGTCTAATAATATGGCAAGGGACTGCAAATATAGCCTTGTTTTGGGCTGTGTGCCAGCTTGCATTGTCTTGGTGGAGGATGATTCTTCTTTCGGGGTTGATTTTTCACGTTTTCCTGGGTTACTGCCGTTTTTGGAGCACCCACCCTGGGATCGTCGCTAATTCTCCATACCAACGGGAAATTGTCGACTGATGTGGCGCTTCCTTGCCGAAAACAGACAGTAACTCAGGAAGGCATTCTTGTTGCGATAATTGTCTCTGAAAGTTGTAATAAATTACGGCGCGAAAATGTTCTCGGTTGAGTTCCATTTTTCTAATGACTTGGTGATACTTAAAAATTCACTGTAGTGAGAATACTGCACGTGTTGTGAAACTTTGAATTTAAGTTCACTAAAGAGTGAGGTTAAGATTCAGTACTGACGTTCGATCCGCGCGGCCTACTATGTTTCTATATGCAAAACGTAAAAGACATCCCTCTTAGTGTCATAATTTAATCATAAAGAGAGGAGAGACATTTAAAGAAAGTATCGTATATCTTCCTTTCTTCCACCTTCTGTAGGTACTCGTCCGGTGTTCAGCTAACTCCACTGCTGTCCAAACTTAGTATTCTGGCGTTCGAGGATAGATCGAGCGGTTTCGGTAGCAGAGAAACGACTCCAAGCGAATATAGAGGTTTTACGCCGACTCATTCAAAACCGCTGCCTCACGCGAAATTGAAAAAAGATATAAAAACCGCGAGCAAGACTCAAGATAAGGATGCGATGCAGAAATGCGTCTTATTCGTTTGTGGTCAGCAAGATGTCGTGCTTACCGTTTTGATGAGGGAGGAGTGTTGTCGAGAAGAAACTGTTGTAAAAAAGTTGGTAAGTTTGAGAACTATTTATTTGTGTATGGTGTATCTGAAGTCACTTGAAATTGCATAAAAACCTTTGGTCGGCGCGTCCTTTGTAATTTCATGACGTATCATAGGCGTGCGTCATTTATTTAGAACGATAATAATAATGTTTTTATATCACAATAAATGGATTTTACTATCTTCTTATTTTTTTGATTTGGGATAAAAAATACTTATATTGGGAGTTTATTTATGTTGACTGAAAGTTAAGAAATGGAAAAATTACAGAATTCCAACGTTTGACATAGGCAAATATTTACATAGCAGGTAGGTATATAAAAAGGTATATAAAGATTTACATTATAGGTATTTATATATCATCCTCGCCTTCGGAGCTGTCGCTAGAGTCATCTTGTAGAGGAATTACAACGGGATTTACAGGAGGCAAAACACAATATTCATTTTCTTTTTCAATAATATGCCTAGAACACTGCTTCCATAGGTCTGTGGCAGCAATATGAGATACTGCATCTCTTATTGTGGCCAATAGCGATTCACTTGATTGAGGGGTCTGATTATGTTTTCTTACTTTTTTTTTAAAGCAGCCCAGACCAACTCAATCGGGTTAAAAATGCAGTAATAGGGAGGTAGACGTAATACTTCATGGCCATTTTGCTGAAGCAGATTGTCAACAACATACTCTTTTTCAAATTTTTGTATTTTAATAAGATCCAATAATATGGCTTTGGTTGATTTTTGTGGTATTTCCATTCCCTTATCCTTCATAAAATCAATAATGTCTTGTTTTTTTGTGCCTGTATTCGGAATTTTGTTTTTCTGTCGGGAATGGTATGGCGCATTGTCCATAATAATCACTGAATTTGGGGAAATGTTTGGTATTAACTGCTGCTCTATCCACTTTTCAAATAAGTCGGAGGTCATGTCCTCATGATAGTCGGCACATGATTCTTTGATATTTTTGGCAGATAACAGCAAGACATTAGGTATAAATCCATTTTCACTGCTAGCATGGAGAATAATGATTCATTTTCCACGGTTGCATGGTGCATTTAAAATGCACTTGTTGCTGTCGTCATGGGTATCATACCACGTTTCATCCAGGTAAATCAGATTTCTTTTCTGCTCTGTATAGATTATAACTTTGTGCAAAAATTTTTGGCGTAATTCAACGATTCGAGATGACTCCATAATCACCATTCTTTTATCTAATTTTTTGTATTGAAAACCACACAGTTTTACAATACAGTGCAGTGAGTCTAAGCATTTGTAATTATAAAAATCTTCAGGATAATCTTTCAATTTATCCCGTATCATTTCCAACGTGGGCACCAAATTTTCTTTATAAAATCCGTATATTATACGACGAATATCTTCCTGAAAACCCACGTCTATTCTTTTTAATTTTTGCCCTATGCGCTTTCTGTGGAAGGAATGGTTGACTACATCTCCCCTTTTTATAACCCGATAAATGGTAGACCGACTGATTTTTGTCAGGATACAAATTCTGTTTAAAATTTGATTTTGCGAGGAATCTGGATTTTCGTTTTTCAGACAATCATACATATTTAGGATTACTCTTTGGGTCTGTTCCTCTAAATCTTTATGAAAGAATTCTGCCTGCACAGGTTCATCAACCATCTCCTCGTGGCTTGGAGCATTTTCCCAAGGTCTCCAAAGAGCCATAATTATGACACACAAGAACAATCAACACAACAATTAAATCAACAAGTAAACTGAGTATTCAAAAGTCAAAAACACACAAACTAATAAAATCTATGAAAAAAACACGGACAGACTAAAGAAAACACGTTTATTCACCGCTACACGGCACTGGCTAAACTGTTTCAATTTTCAGTAGCCACCTGCACTTGTTCGGAGCTCTGAAATACACGCTTTCTCATTGGCTATGTCCACGCATAGGCGTGCTTTACTCCACGTGGACCGGTGAAACTGCCTTTGATCTCTTATACGGGGGATATTTGCTGCGAAATTTGGCGATTTTTGCAGCAACAGAGCGTGTTAACCCTTAACAGGAAACGTGAATTTTTGGAACACAAAAGGAAACATGCCGTCTCTCAGACTGCGAACTTCAAGATGTTCAAAAAATTAGAGTAAGGCGAAAAGCAAGCAATAACTTCGCTGAAACTGATACTGGATGTTTATTTTATGTGTTTAATACGTAAAATGCTCATTTCAAAATGATACAAGAACATAAAAGAAACATTTTTATTAACTATGCTAAAACCATACAAAAATAACGCTGTTGTTGCAACATTCAGAAACTAAATTAAAACTATGGAAAAGTCTCAATATTTTTCTATTTTCTAGTTAAGTAATGAACAAGGAAAGTATATTATAGTCAATAAATACAAAAAGAACACAATCAAAATTCACTGCAAGTCTCAAACATTGCCTATATTTATGCAGCTAATACATTTGGGTTTGGAGCATTGAAGACATACAGGCTTCCTACATTGTACACACAAAAATTTGGTCATCCGATGGGTCGTTCGGTGACATAAAAAGCAGGCTTTCCTTTTTTCCAAAACCAAATTTTCAGCTTCTGTTGCTGGATGTTCACATTTGCCAAGGATGCGATTTATCGTAAGTCGCAAATCCCGAGGTAAACGGGGACTCTCTAGTCGCTTTTCCATATGCTCACGGACCAGGTTAGCGGCCAACATCTTAGCAAATACCGATTTTTCCTTCTGCAATTCATTTTTCTTATAGCACTGGTGTAAAATATACGAGTTCACTACCGATATATCCAATAGTCGGTAGAAAATAACCAGTGGCCACCTACGCGAACGGCGACTTGAGGTACTCTTCGAACATTTTTCATCAAGAGAATCAACTCCACCTTTATTAGCATTGTAATAGGCTATTATTTCCGGTTTCTGTGTTTCCGGATCACAATATTTTCTGTGGTGCATAGAAGATATGAGTATTGTGGCTTTATTTTTTTTTGCTTACATGAGACACAATAGTGGAATCTTCTCAAAATCCGTACATTGTTGATCCGACTTCTCTTGATTTGTTGGGTAAAAATGCCGGAGGAATTTCTCTTTCATTTTTCTTCATTGTACCCACATAGGTCAGTTTGTTCTTCAATAGGACATCCATTAATTCTATTGACGTAAACCAGTTGTCCGCTGTAATGTTGCGATTAGTTCCAAACAGAGGCTTCGCGAGACGTAGAACTGATTGTGTGGGTTTGGAATACCGCTTGTGTTCCTCAGGAAGTTCGAAACTATCGGAATCTTTACCGCAGTATATATATATGCGTTATAGAGGTAGCTATTCCTTGCATCCGTCAATGCCATAATTTTTATGCCATATTTGCAAGGTTTCGCAGGCATATACATTTTAAATCGACATCTTCCTCTGAAACTCACGAGCATTTCATCGACAGTGACAGACTGGCCAACTCCGTACACATCTTGACAGTTCTTTATAAAACTATTAAAAATGAAAGATATTGGTGTTACTGGATCTAGCTTCTTTCTTTCATTCCTGTCATCTGGGTTATCAAACCTTAAGGCTGACAGGAGAATACCAAATCGTTTTATGTTCATGACAGCTCTGAATATATCTCTTCCAGAGCCATCGGTGGCAAAAAGTGTTTCAATGTTCTCGTGGTTGCTGTTGAACACCGATTTATATACTAAGAGACCCAATAGTGCCTTTATTTCGACTAAATCAGTGTCGTTTAGGTTGCTGGTTTGATTTTTGTATCTCTTTCGCATTTCTTTGAGCTTGTGATTGGTCCACTTAACGATATGTACCAACATGTCGTCAGTGAACAAAAGCTGCCAAACCGTCAACGGAGCTGCTTCTTCTCCATATTCATGAGCTTTTCCTCTTAGAGTTGGTACTTTAATGACTATATTGTGCTTCCTTGTACGTGATGATGGTACAACTTCCGAAATATTCCACCTATGACGATTTTTTCCATAGAAATAATTCTGAGCTGGTAAATCCTCTTCATTTCCTTCGGCTCCGTCTTCTGATAACTCACTATCACTTGTATGATCTGATTCCATGTATTCGTCTTCTGAGGCACTGTCTATATCACTAAAGTCACTTCCTTCATCCTCAAACCATTTTAGAACGGTTTCTTCGAACTCCGGATCATCGTATCGTACACGTTTAGAAGGTCCCGCCATACTCGCAAACGCACCTATGCAACACAAATAGCAAACGGGAACGGAAACGTGCCGTCTGACAGACTGCAACAAACTAAAATTGGTCCATATTTTAAGGCACGTTTTGGCTAGACTCGTGTGAATGGGGGTGGGCGATGGTCACTAATAGCTTATGGATTAGATGGGTTTTTACGTCTGTTAGAGGTGCAATAAAAAAAGATACGCTCAGGTATAGAAACGCCGCAGTCTCACAGACGGCACCTTTCCGGTTAAGGGTTAAATATAGATATATAAAACGCACCCGGTATTTCACAGTGTTTCAAGTGACTTCAGATAAAGTATACATGTATGGTCTCCGAAAATCAAAAGTTGGTCGCATTTTAGCCTACCAAGCAAAGTTAAAAACTGCTTTAAAATAAACGAATGCTCTTCAGGGCGATTTGATTTAGGCCCTTGGCAATTTCAAAAATAATGAATTTTATCCCAGTTTTTAAGCATTGAAAATGCCCATAAGGGTACCGTTGTTTATATATACATACAGGGTGCGCCATCTTTTATGTCGGTATGTAAACATGAAATAACGTTGAAAACGAAAAACTCATTTCTATATATCGGGTATTTTTATTAAATATGGTCCCTTACAATTTATTGGGACTAGTTTTTGAACACAAACATCTATCAAGTGCCCACCTTTATTGGCCAAAACAAAATGTGGCCGTTTTGCTGCGTTTTCCATTACTTTTTCAAGGTCAAATCTGGAGACCTGGGTGGCCAGTCAATGTCACCTCTTTTTGCCATCAGACGTCCAGGGAATTTTCGCTGCAGAAACTGGATTGTTTCATTTGCAGTGTGGCATGGCGCAGCGTCTTGTTGAAACCGGTGACCATCAAGACCTTTTTCACGCATTTGTGGGCAGACATAATGAGCCAACATCCACCGATATCGATTTCCATCGACCGTTTCGTTTTCGTTGAGGACAAATGGCGCAATAATGGTTTTGGCGCAAACGCCGGCCCAAACAGTCACATTCCTGTCATGCAACGGCATTTCGTGGATATTATGTGGATTTTACGTCCCCCAAATGCGACAGTTTTGTTTATTAACGCCGCCAGAGAGCGTGAAATGGGCCTCGTCGGTCATCACAATTTGCTTCCAAAAATCAAGCGAGCGACAGTTTGACCGTATTCCAAGCGACGTGGACTGTCAGTTGGCAATATTTTTTATGTTAAGTGCACCTTATAAGGAAACAAATGCAAATCGTCCTTCAAAATGCGCCGCGACGTGGTTCCACTGATGCCAAAATGCTGAGCGCGGTGACGATACGACACTTTTGGGTTCTGGGCAACGCTATGTCCGACCGCTTTAACCAATTTATTGGATCGTCTTGGTCGTTGATGAACTGTATGTTCACGATCTCCCACTGTCCCGTACTCAAGAAAATTCGAAACCAAACGACGGATAGTGTTGTCAGCCGGTGCCTGTTTGACACGATATTTTCGACGATATGCACGTTGCGTTAACACAACTGAACGACGATTCATGGCTAAACTTGTAGTAAATTGACGTTTCAGAAACAAGTATAACCAAATCACTCGGTTGGTAAATATCAAAGTCATTCGATGTTTCAATACCGACATGAAAGATAGCACAACCTGTATATATATATATATATATATATATATATATATATAAAGCTCCTACAACATTCCATTTAACTCAAGAGTGATCGGTATGTATTCTCAGCGATTTTGTTTCGGTTATAGTACGACATCTGCATGGAAACCCTGCCGAAAATGGAAAAACTGCTAGCATACAGCATCGAGACACAGTCGAGCGCTTCGTCCGCCGGTAGGGACGGCGAACCGTACAGCTTCCTCTGTCTCGATGCCGACTGGGACACGATAAAAAGGGGCGGTCCCTGGGGGGCGAACGACTCTGGGGCTTCCGTCGCTTTGAACAGGCTGCATAGGGATTTCCAGAGGACCGACGAACTTACGGAGATACTGCTCAGGTGAGAGGTTTTTGAATTTGGACTAGATGTCACGGTTTTATTATCATTTTGAGTGTAAACATTTGATGTGAGCTCAATATTGCCACAGTGTAAGGCCTTGCTGCTACGCTAGACGGCGCGCTATATTCTTACGATTTCCACGGCGAAATAATGCTACGTAGATTGACATATCAAATTTTCCTCTGGAATACCGTGAAACTTTATTTTTAGAACGCTCCATTAATTTCTATCCACAGTTTCTGAGGCGATTATATATGTACAGCAGACGCTCGATAATGTAAACTAATTTAATCCAAGTGTGGTTCACATTATCGAAATGTTTACATTAGCGAACGGATTTATATAATATTTGATTTATTAAAAGAAACGTTTAATACATACTATTTATGACAAAATAAACAAATATTCTAACAGCGATAAGTATTTTTTTAATTAGAAAAAAATAATTAACAATTTTTGTCTGCGTAAATTTGCGCTTAGCATTGTCTTCCAATGCCTGCGCCCGTAATTTACGAAGAACAAAAATATCCGTGTATGAAACTTCTTTTCTTTCAGCCCAATCTAAAGCTTGGTTAAAAACTTGTATAGCTTGCGCGTCAGTCACTACACTTCTGACTTCAATGGGATCGTTCTCATCATCCTCACTGTCCATATCCTCCTCCTTATCAGCATCATTCGTCTGCTTATCTTCGTTCCATAAATTAATATCAGCAGGAGTACAAACAATGTTGGGATTCACTGTTTTCAATAAATCAACAACATCCAATGACACGCTAATAACATTATCATTATTGGATCGCAAACGTTCTCTAATTACGCTTAAGGGGACATCGTCTTCTTCATCATCTTCATTATTGGTACAAAAGAGATTGTTCCAACATTTTTGAATAGTTTGCTGGTTAAGTTCATTCCAGGCCATATGTAAATCTAAAACAGCTCCTCGTAATGTTACTTTTTTAAAGCCTCAGATAAGTTTCCAGGTTTCTTTGATAAAACAGATGAAAGTAGAAACTTCCTATAGTATAGTTTGGTGAGTCTTATTATATTCTGGTCCATCGGTTGAATTAACGGTGTTACGTTGGGCGGCATGTACATGACGAAAATTGACCCATCCCTGCTCCTCAGTTGTTGCTCGGGAGGATGACTTGGTGCATTATCCAATAGTAACAACACTTTTATTGGAAGCTTCTGTTGTTTTAGGAAGCCTTTTACCTACAAATTGAAAACACATCTTCAAATTATGAATAGAGCATTTGTGATAATTGATTGTCATACCTGAGGAACAAAGCACCTGTGGAACCATTTCAGGAATATACTGCTAGTCATCCAAGCGGTTTTTGAACAGTCATAATCAACAGGGATATTAACATTTTTAAATGAGCGCGGGTTTTTTGCTTTCCCAATTACCAGTGGCTTTATTTTGTGTGAACCATTAGCATTAGTGCAGGCTAGAAACGTTATTCGTTGTTTCTCCGGCTTTCTTCCCGGTGCAGATTTTTCAAATGATGCAGCATAGGTTTTCTCTGGTAACATTTTCCAATAAAGGCCACTTTCATCTGCTTTGTAAATTTGTTCCATTCTTAAATCTAGCTCGGTGATTGTTTTCATCAATTTTTCTTTGAATGGTTGCACTAATTGTGGTTGTGCTGATAATTTTTCACCAGATATAGACAGCAGTCGAATTCCATATCTTGTTTTGAATCGTTATAGCCAGCCATCACTAGCTACGAAATTTTCAGTTTCTTTCAGTTTTTCACTTAACAGTCTCGCTCTCTGTTTAAGTACTTCGCTACTAACTGGGACATGATTTTCCCGTTGTTTTAAAAACCACTTATACAGGGAATTTTCCATTTTAGGTGCCTTCGCATTTTTTAAAGTTTTTCTTTTTCCCGGACCTCCAAATGTATTGCACGTTCTTTGTAAAATTTGAGTTTTCATACGCTTAGTTTTACAGATTGTTTGAACGAAGTTTGTGTTTACATTAGCGTAAGTTTTCATTATCCCGTGTTTACGTTATCGAGCGTCTGCTATATTTTTTTTTTGATACTAGGTAGCCCATTTATCCTCGCTATAATTTGGAAAGTACTGATTCGGTGGTGAAAGAGCTGCGAGAAAAACGAAAAAATTAGAAACGCTAGAATTTCGTTTTTTGACGTTTCAGAGACTCCTGGTCATTTTTAGAAGACTTTTTGTAGTAGTTAAAAATCGAAGCGTGTAGTGGTGTGCGAGGTTATCTTGCGAGTGGCGAGGCTAATCATAGCAACGTTGCCATTTGGTCGATACTGTCCGCGGTGTAGGGAAGACATTTCTAGATCCCAACATTGTCAAATGGGTGGGGATTCTAGACTATTATATGGACCTAGTTGACTGAGTTGATCCATTTTTTTTTTCTCAAAAACAGCTAACCTTTTTCCTAAATGGGCTAAATAATCATTTATGAACTTCTGATTTCGTTGGAAAGTACAGAGTCGAACTACTTGATGCTATTTCTTTACACTTTCGAGTCCCCAAGCAGCGATGTATTGTGAGATCTTGATAATCAATTACTTGATTATGTTTGGCCAGTAGAACAAGAAACAAAATTAGAATCTGTTTTTTGTCATATAACTTGACGTCGTTCAGGTAGTTTGTTTCACAATCTGCGTCAAAGAAACGGTAGTTCTAGACGGTTCTTGTTAAGTCAGGAAGAAGAGAAGGCTAACAAGCTCGTCTAACAGCCATATTATGGAAAAAAATTTCTAAATGGGACGGGGTCCGTATGATACCTCATTTTGAAGCTCCTTACGAGTACATTCCATTTAAACAAATTTTCAAAATCTGTCATCATTTTTCAAACTAAATATCTCAAATTTCGGACTGTCAGTTAAAGTATAATTCAAAACAGCTTGTATATGACGCCCGATAGCTAGCGACATCTTGGTGACAGCGACATTGAAAGCTTAGTGATCGTAAGGTTACTTTTCTTCTAAAATGGTAAAAGATCTCGTTATAAAAGCAATAATAGCCGTCCTTGGCTTGCTCTATGTCCTTGCCTGCTCAGTTGACCCGCTGTACGCTCTAACCATGAAATCGATGACTGTCCCCCTTCAAATCAACGTGGGATTTCAAGTGCTGCTCATAATATCAGCTGTACCGATGTTTGCTGGCATTTTACTAGGAGTTCAGCCTCCCCTGGTGCCTGGTGTCGTTGCTGCAATGTATTCAGCTGTTCTCGATGCATGTTGGATAGTCTTGATGCATTTTAAAATTGTTGAAACTGGGAGCGGTATATTGGTGGTGTCGTGCTTTTTGGGCACCAAAATCGGCCTTCAAACAAGCTTAGCTGTACTGCTGATGGTGCTGATACGTAGAATGGATAAGGAAGAACTGCCTCCCGAGGATTTTATGAAGAGTTATCCTATTCGGAGGTTTGGTAAGGGTAGTTCGTTTACTTTGCGAGCATACTGTCGAGGAAGATTTCGAAAATGAGATATGTTTTTTTAGATAGTATATTACCAAAAATCATATCGCTTACTTTCGAACCTCGTTTTTTACGTTTCAATAGGGTGGATGATATATCTCATTTTTGTGATGTTGGTTTATTTATACGTCTCCAACCCTTCTAATTAAGTAAATATGCACCTAATTAAACTTATTTCACTCATCCTAGATGCCTTTTACATTTACCATTAAAACTTGGAAATATCTCTAACAGTGGCATGTCGTGCGTCGCAGTCGACAGTCACTTCCGTGCTGCTGTGGGCTGTATGCTGTAAAAGTCAGTATCGTAATCCACGCGGGATTAGTCATAGCAACGATCATGTGCGCGCTTAGGGATTTCTCTCAGGGGGAGGAGCAAGGTCATTTATTTTTTTGTTATACATGTTCGTAGCTGTAATATGTGATTGCAGATGCGGTGAAAGCATAATCTACGGTAATAACACTGGTCCAGCTGAGGTCTACTACCATGAGCCGGCGAACGTTTGTTCGGGCTTGCCACCACCTGGCGACACCATGGGCTTGGTGCAGTTGAAAGCCAGACGGAGACTGGAGAGGGACCATGGAGTCTTATTGCTGTAAGGCGTACCTTTTGACATGTTACCGTTGTATAGTTTTGGAAACTAAAAACGCACGAACGTGACAACTCGAAGAGAAATACTGACTCTCAGAATAGAAGTAATTTATTTGAATACACACCAAAGCAAAATGATCGCTCTCATTCTCTAGCTGTCGCTGCTCTGTAGTTTTTACGTTTCTGGCTTTAGTTTTCTTTAGTACAAAGATTATGTTCGCAGAGGATGCTGAATACAAGTCCTTATTAACATATTCGCAAAAGCTCTCTTAACTATTTCATATGGAAAAACGCTAAAGTTACAATGGTATCTAAACTGTATCCATCGAAGAAACAAAGTAAAATCAAACATATACACCCGTATTGCACGTGATCAAGAACTTAACCGTAGGAGACGCTACAGGGCCGTATCAAGCTATTGTGACTGATCTATCAAAAAATGTCGTACAAGATATGTGTTGCTGTAAATTCTATCAAAAGCATAGTAAATTATCAGGAATATACCACGCCTTTTTAATCATATTTCGACATTAGGAATCAGTGCAAAAAATTCTGTATTCACCATTTCAGCAAAATGTTACTAAAACGCACACGAAAAAACTTGTGGACCATCTCAATTGAAATTGTTCATATTTTATTATTAACTTACATATATACCCAATAATATTTACAAATCAACCTTCTATTCACAATGCAGAGCAAATTTTTTTGAGCAAATAGAAACTACAGACGTAGTAGTAGTAGTACAAAAGTTTATTACAGACTCCATAAAGTTTGTTAGTTTGATTGCTATTAAAATTTACATGAGAAATAGGAAGAAGGTCAAAATGGCACTATTATGCTTTGGAACTCCTAAATTAATCCTAATTTTGTGTAATTATAAATTTGGAATTTCCACATTAATAACTAGAAACTTACACTTTGATTGCAGTCTATAATGAACTTACCTGTCTTGCCAAAAAGCCCGTTAAACTGCCAGTCTTAATGGTATCAATCGATTTATATGCTGTATTCCGAGGAGCTTGAATCATCAAAATTGTTGATGTCAATTATAAGGGGTTCAACTTGGGTGTCAATGATATTGTCCATATCCCACATTTTGGTTTCAACCTTCTCTTGGACATGGTCAATACATGTTCTCCATTTTGCTGGCGTAATTCTATCGACAGCAACATCAAACAGTTTTTTAAGGTCAGAAAACTTAAAAGTGCTGTTATTTGACGCCACGTATTGCTTGATGTCGGCCCAAATCAACTCGATAGGATTCAGTTCGCAGTGATAATATCGCTTGACTATATTTATCAGCTCAGCTTTGACCATTGTTTGGTCGAAGTCGATCTTCTTTGAGACAAGCCACTGTTGAATGTCTGCCTTTTTGGTGGCCATTGTTGGAATTTTTTCCAATTTTCTGGAGTGGTACGGGGCATTATCCATCACAATAATTGCGTTATCATCAAGTATCGGCAAAAATTTTTTGAACCAATTTTCAAATGAGTTACCATCCATTTCTTCGTGATAGTCTCCAGTTTTTTTGGATTCAAATGCCCACAATGCTTCAGGAACAAATACATCTACGCTACCTATGTGGCAAATGATCAGGCGTTTTCCCTTGCCTGAAAGTAATTAGTTATTTTACTTCTCAGCGAGCGCACTAAATGACGAAATTAAGCAACTTACTCTTTTTAGGTTAGTGTAGGATAGGGTCTTAGATTAGTTTCTGGGTGAAGGAAATACTCAGAAACTTGGATGAGATAGCAAAACTGAGTTCGGAGCTTCCAAATCATTGATTCGATCAGAGAATGAATTATCTGCATCCAAAAAAGTTCATATACTTCGAAACTTACCTGCAGGATTTTTCAATCCCGTCGAAAGGCCATCTAAAAAAGCCTGCCTTGAGGACCTCACAGATCTGTCTACCCAAACCTTTCCCTGCGTATGCCCCGCGTTCACCCATGTTTCGTCTAAATAATAAATTTTTCTTCCTGCAGCGCGGAATTGCCTAATTTTTCTAAGGTATTCTCTCCTCCAGATAACAATTTCCTCCTTTTCTATCAATAAACTATTCCTTCCTCTTTTCAAAAATCGAAAGTCTAGTTCTTTCAACAGCTTATGGAACGTAGATCTTTTAAAATTTGGCAGGTCCTCATCATCATTCACTTGCTTCAATATTTTATCTATTGTAGGTATTTCATTCCTGAAGAAAAAGTGATGTACTTTTCTTCTAATGGCACTTTTGTCAAAGTCATCTTTTTTTTCGATGATTTTTTTTCTCGCTGGATATGTTTTTGGCTCAGATAGTGAGTGATTTTGTCTATATTCCTTCAAGATTTTGTAAACACTTGATCGACCTACTCCAGAAATTTCAGCAACCTTACATACGATATTTTCTATAGCCAATCCACTATTCTCTTGCATCTGGTTCTTGTAGATATTTAGAATAATTTGTTTTTCACCTGCGCTAAGATGAAGCTTTTTAGCCCTTTTTCTGGGTGGCGTTAAGCTGATTTCAACCACTTCATCAGCTGTATCTGTGTCAGACATTTTAGACTAATATTAAATTTCCGCAAGAAAAATCAAGTCAAGACGTGCATAAAACGTTCGCGCTCATAAACGGGTATCCGTAACTGATTACAATCCTGTGCGTGGTGACGAACCATCAACGTGACGCTGAGAGTTCCCTCTACTATGCAGCGTTGCCAGGCTTAATGTCACAATGATCATGTTTTATTGGGAAAATTGTCAGAAATCGCCGAATGTTGAACAGAAACATTACAAGAAGTCTAACCTTGAAATGTGAGGCTACAAATCGATATTCTTATAGGGGGGAAGGGTAGGGAGCTGTTATGGTTCCTATTAACCTTGGTGAAAGTTGGAAACGGTAATATCATATATGGCATACATTCGGTTGAAGGTGTGTGCACGGAAAATAGATTGCGGATAGGATTTTAATAGATAAATCTGCACAAAAAAACACAAAAGGAGATTTTTGTATTTCCCTGAAGAATATCTCAAAGTTATTTCAGATGTACTCGTCGAAACTTTATGGAAGGATTATCGAAACCTTATTTTCAATTGCGATAGGGCCACATACCTCGACATCGCATTAATGTGAAAAATAAGACAATAGAAAAAAATTCCCTCACTGATGCTATCTCTTAGGAAAAATTTAACTATAAAGATTGCACAAAAATTTTCTTCACCTTTTTGAGCTTGTTTTCGCATCTCCGTATATGCCGTTCATAATTTGCTGCAGATCAAATTGGAATATACCTTTGTGATGCCATTTATTGTTATATAATGTCCTTTACAACAGTTATTGCACGTATTGCACCAACAGATTGATTTGTGATCCATGCGAATGTGATCAACCACTCTGGCGAAAACTCGCCGAGCGTGGCAACCGTGCGACTTTGTCTGGAGGCTCGTCGCTACAAGCCAATCAGGAAGAGGCCGACAGAGCGCCATGGCTACCGATCACGCGTTGATCACGAATCAACCACTGTTTACGATTACTTTGTAGCTTCGTTAGATACACTTTAGTTCAGGAATTCTTTATTTGAGGCTTTCTAGGCAAAGACACCGAACGTGCTGAACATAAAGACTCAGTTCAAAATGCCGTCACAAAAAATCACGTACGGTACGCTTCAGTTTTTGAATACTTGAAAAATATAATTTAATGCTTCTTGCGACATAACTTCGTACATATCAGTGTTGACTTGAAAAACTGATGATCTCCAATGAATATATATATATCATTAAATCTCAGCTAATGATGTAGTTTATAAAAAATATTCTTGTATCATAGACGTTAAAATTATTTCACCGCCCTAGGATATAAAGGAGTCCACAGGCTGGAAATATTTGACACGAGTACCCATTGTACTTTACCGCCCGGTCGTAGAATTATCTATATGTTATATCTTCGATATGTATTCAGTTTCCTTTTATACAGGGTCCGGCACAAAGGTCGGACGCTTTTTAAAAAATGAAATAGTGATCGTTTTTATAGCGCTCAGAGTTCACGGTAACAGCATCGCCGTTACCGTCTTCGAAGAAGCAAGGAACGACGATGCAACTGGTAAAAATGCTCAGAACGCTCTAGTCGAACGGCACTCTCCCCACCACTTTCGCCCGAATAGGCGGAGAGTACTAGCCATTTCAAAAATAGCCGTCCTTTGTGCCGGAGCCTGTATATGGTCGAGGTGGATTTAAAATATTTTCTCCAATAAGACAGTCTTCTGTGACTACCGAACATATGATTTGTCTCTTTATACAGTCAGTTGACACTCAAAGTGGGCATGTATGACGTTCAATATTTCAGTTATTTAGAAAAACACTTAAAATAGTTTTTTCATCTCGTGTAAATCCACTTCATCTTTTAGCCATTGAATAGGAACTAGATATAATCTATTAAATATATTTGTTGTCTAGTATGTAGTGTTTTTTTACGTTGTTCAAGCATGGTTAATATGAAATTATTCATGATATTTAATATGTAGGAGAAATTTCTGTCCATTCGCATATTGTCTGTGATTTTGTTTTCTAGTGTAAGGTTAAATATAATTTTTGAATCTTGTTTTGCTATAAAGACTTTCCACAAGACATCGCATAAGTCTGCACGTATTGTTAAACCTGTATATTCCTACACAGCCTCTAAAATCACATTGTCAGTTTTGTGACGGCACTTTTCTGTCATCGTATGAACGACATATAATGTCGCCTCACTAATCGTCATATTCTTAGATAGTTTTCGGCATACAGACGTTTTTTCTCCCGCCTTTCTGTTTGCCTTTTGATTTGACTTACCAGCCTGTGTCCTATTATACAGGGTGGTCCATAAGTCCTTTGAAATTTCAAATTTGAATAAAATTTAACGGGTGAGCGTGAGCGGCGCGGGCGAGGTGGGGGCAGTATCTTCAGTGTCTAGGAATTCAGTCGTCATGGAGTGTTTCACTGGAGCGGATCGTGCTTTTTGTGTGCGCGCGTTTTATCAAAATAATGATTCGGCAACCATTGCGCGGCGTAAATATCGAGAATACCACAATTTTACAAAGTGTCCAACAGCTCAAACGATTAAGAACTGGGTTGCTAAGTTCGAAGAGACTGGTTCGACGTTAGATAAACAGCGGTGGGGTCGACCAAGGACAACTCGTATTGAAGAAAACATCAACATTGTGGCACAGTCTGTTCGTCAAAATCCTACCCAGTCTACTCGTAAGCGTTCCAGTGCACTAAACGTACCCAGAACATCTTTACAGCGGATTTTAAGGAAAGATTTACGTCTGCACGCTTACAAAATTCAGTTAGTGCAGGAATTAAAAGATAATGACGCTATTCAGAGACTAAACTTTGCGAATGAAATGTTGAATCGATTTTCTTCGCTCAATAATGTGTTGTTCTCGGACGAGGCTCACTTCCATTTAAACGGGCATATAAATAAACAAAATTGCCGTTATTGGAGCCCCGAAAATCCAAGGCGTAAGCATCAGAAGCCCTTACACAGCCCTAAAGTTACAGTTTGGGCTGCTATGTCAGCGCATGGCATCGTAGGCCCTTATTTTTTTGAGGACGACAGAGGTCGCGCATTAACTGTTACTTCGGAGCGGTATGTACCAATGATAGAAGAGTTTTTGACACCAGCGTTGCAGAATTTTCCAGGCTATAATACGCAGACCTGGTTTCAACAGGACGGAGCAACTGTCCACACCTCCAACACTTCTATGCCCGTCGTCTGTCAACTTTTTCCCAGCAAAGTAATTTCTCGAAGAGGAGACATTTCCTGGCCACCACGTAGTCCAGATTTGACCCCAATGGACTTCTTTTTATGGGGCTATCTCAAGAGTAAAGTGTACGACACCCCTCCGCGATCAGTTGATGTCCTGAAAGAAAATATCCGAAGAGAAATGGCAAGCATTACAGTGTTCACTTGCCGCGCAGTCATCGACAATTTTAGACGTCGTTTATACGAGTGCCGTGATCGTAATGGATTGCATTTAGACGATGTGATTTTTAAAACATAATTCCCATTCAATAAAGATGATAACAAAATATAATAATTCTTCATAATGTAACTAGTTTGGTTTTATTCCTTTTTTTCCAGCTCAAAGGACTTATGGGCCACCCTGTATTATTAATTTCTGTTTGTATTAATTATTTCCATCAGTATGTCCGTTAACTTTTCTCATTAATACGATCTTTTTTCATTCCGATTGAATTGACTTATCAGAAAGGTTGAGGGCAAAGTTTTAGGATGCAACGTCCTTAACCTGTTATTTAAAAAGTTACATTGGGTACTTATATGGAAGAATATTATTACAACAGGTGATTGTCTCGATTTTTTCAAACTATCTTGTTATTAATCCATCAGCGGTGTCTTCGTGAACAAACAGGCGTTTTATAGTGAGGCCAAATTCATACTAGGAACGTTGGTAACATAAAGCTTAGATTAGATTAACGATAGGTATGTGCCCGAAACTATGTAATTTTCTTTTTCATAATATCGCAATTAGCATCTAATCTTCATAATAAATACAATTCAATCCGCGGTGGCCTCGCCAATTCATCTTCCTGTTATTTTGGCCGCTAAATTGAACCACATATTAAAAAATAGTTATTGATATTTTGGTTGCATCATCAGTTAACATCATTTTCAGCTTTGTACTAGGGGTATTAAAATTTGTCTATATTTTCGTTCTATTGGAAGGGCGTTTGAAAAATGAATATATGGAATTTACATAGTTTATGTCACATCATTGTAAAATTGGTCATTTAATAGCTTGCCTTGCCATAGTATTAGATTTTCTAGAACTGCAATGTGTTATTTGAAAAATGACACATTATCAACTCTTAGAAAGGCATATTTAAACATTTATTTACAATTTTTTAGAAAGCTTCATAAACACTAATTTTGTAATCTGCTATAATTAAATAAAGATTGTTGAGGCAGCTGTTGATTTGACTGTGCATCATATGACAAACTACATCATTCTATGAAGTCCAAAGTATTTATAATTACCATATATGTGATGTACCTACATTCCAATATTTCTTGTGCCAAACGTTTTCCATTTTTCGGATTGTTCGATTTTGTGTGATATGAGTTTTATTTATATTGTGTCTACTTCAATTTTATAGTTATATAGTTTTGATAGGTGTACCAACTTTTAATATTAAAAGGAATGATAATTGTCTTATCTGTTTTGAATTTTCGCCCTGCGGTCTTCTTAAATCATAGAAACTGCGACACGATAGCTATAGTGATATGAATTTGCGACCAACCTACACACAGCTATCGTCAATATTGATGTTCGATATCCAAATCGCAAAAACTTGAAAATACACAAGGCGTTTGGAGAATTTCAATATCGCAAAAATACACTCCGTATCATAATTGTTAGAAAGCCTAATACTTCGAACAGATTTCTAACAGACTGAATATAATTGCAGTGAAATCTCCCTTGGACGGAAACCAACGGGACCGTCTGAACGTGTCTGTATAAAAGAAATAAAAAAGATCGTGTATTTAGTGAAAACATAAATGTTTTTAAAATAAACAAAAAGCTTCAAACTTATGAAAAAAAGGGTTTGTTACCTTTAGATATACTTCGAAGTTGAGTCATTTATTTTAACAGTGAGTAGATCTGAACAATATAAATGTTTTTTCCTTTACCATTTTCCTCTTAAAATTAAAGTAACAAAGTTATAGCCCTTTGGAAGTTTGAGTACCGCCTTGTCTCAATAATAATATTATGTGGTCGTGTTTGGCGACAACGGATATAATCCGCCGTATCGGTTCATCGCATCGGAAACAAAAAAGCGAAAGAATTTGGAACGATGTTTTTACAATTATTTCATTCATTTGTATACAGTCAGTGTCAGTGAATAGTGGTATCTGTTGCGTGGCTCAAACGAAATAAAAAATGGCACATGTTTATGCGTATCGATTTCCCAATCGAGTGCAACCAACCCCTCGTGCCTTTGTTAATGTAGTACAACGGGCTCGTGAATCAGGTGACTTAAGACCTCACAGGGGACCTCACGATCAAATACAGGTCCGCACTGAAATACTTGTCGGGAGGATACTTTATAAAACAAGGTAAACATTTTTTTTTTATTTTTACACACATATTTTGGTTTATCTTCCTTCTACAATCATTATCTGAAAATTAATGACTCAACTTCAAAGTCACCCTGTATACAAAGTATGAATCGGGTTTTCCAATACGGACTTGACAACTTTGAACTTTCACTGTGAACGCACCTTTAAATCAATTACCGAACTGTAAATGTCAAAACATTCAATAAAGAAAAAGTTTTTATCATGGTGAAGTCTCCCTGCAGACGTTCGTCAGAGCTGCAATTAAGCAAGCAGCAGAGCTCCAAGGTCATATTAAAGACCTCAAGGTACGTAAAGCACCTGGAGAGGATCGAATCACTAATAAGGCGCTGAAGCTACTTTCGCGGAAGTCCTTAACTTATCTCGTGGCAATAATCAATGCCATGCTAAGGACCCAGCACTTCCCAACGGCGTGGAAGACCGCTGACGTCATAATGATTCCAAAGAACGTGGGTTCGATATTCCCCCAGGATTACCGCCCCATTAGTCTACTGTCAGCTCCTTCTAAGCTCACTGAAAGGGTGATTCTACGTCACCTTGAAAATTTCTCGGCAGACCACAATGTAATTCCTGACGTGCAATTTGGCTTTCGGTCTGAGCTACAGACCATAAGGCTTGTTGACCGAGTAACCAGGGGGTTCACCCGTAACGAAAGTACTGGATTCTTGCTTCTGGATGTCTCAAAGGCATTTGACAAGGTGTGGCACAAGGGGCTTCTCTGCAAATTGATCCATAAGGGCTTCCCCTTCTGGCTCCTAAAACTTTTGAAATCCTTCCTTGAAGGTAGGAAATTTTGGATCAAAATTAATAACGTTCTGTCGACAACACGGCCCATCAAAGCCGGTGTCCCTGAGGGTTCGGTTCTTGGACCAGTCCTTTATTCACTTTTTATTAATGACGTCCCTTGCCCCAGTAACTGTGAAACCTATCTCTATGCTGATGACACTGTCCTGGTGGCCCAGTCGTGCTCTGGGGATGTAGTTCACGACAGGCTTCAAAGTGCAGTGGACGAGGTATTGAATTGGGCGAATCGGTGGCTGATCAAAATCAATCATTCCAAGACGCAGGCAATCTATTCTACTAAAAAACGTAGCGGCGCCCCGTTTGAGGTTTCAGTGAATGGAGCTCGGGTACCATGGGAAAGCTCTGCTAAGTATCTCGGTGTCACTCTTGACAAGGGGATGACCTGGCAGAAGCACACTGAAGCGTTAAAAACTAAATTCCAAATCTCGTTTCGACAACTATACCCTATGCTATGTAGAACATCAAAATGAAGTTTGATCGACAAAGTTCGGCTATACAAGATGGTTATTAGACCAGCGATCACTTACGCAAGTGCGGCTTGGTGTTTTCTGGCCAAAACGCATTTGCGTAGCCTGCAGGTTTTGCAAACAGAACCTTGCGTACGATCACTAACGCCCCATGGTATGTTTCCAACGAGACCTTGACATCCCTTTCCTAAGGGACTACATCAAACAACAAGCGCAGCTACGTTATAGTCAAGCGGAATCGCATAACAACCCGCAAGTTCGCAAGCACACAAGGCCGCGACTCGCACTGTGAACAAAATTAAATCGTGCGACTTTAGGTCCAACCAAAATTATAATTTTTCTGCAACAACTAATCCCAAAATTAATTTGAATATCAATTTAAAATTGCCGAACACTAACTAGCAATGCCAAGGCACCCCTCAAATTGATGCACTTCTTTTTTCTTTGCTCTCACTCCTTCCTCTCTGACTTCAACCAAAAGCAAAGGTCCTATGGACCGCCCTGACAGACAATGACGAATAGATCATGGTGACGAACACGAACAAACAATTAAAATTTACTACCGAAATTCCGAGTCGGTGACCGTAACTTCAAGAGCGTTAACGATAATTTTTGCTCGTAATCCTCATCCCATTAGACAAGCAATTCATAGTCAGGTAAAAAAAAAATTGAGTCTACATTTTCGCTGCTGGATGGTGTGGCAGCGAGACAACGGGTTGGTCGAAGTGCCGAGAATATTGCTGCCTTTCAAGCTTTCGTCGCAAACGAACAGAACACGGCGTTCTCAAGAATCGCTCAGACGACATTATGGCGAATTTTGCGGAGAGATCTTGGCCTGCAGCCTTACAAGATCAAGTTAACTCGAGAACTGAAGCCATTCGATCAAATGAACCGACTTACGTCCTCTCATACAAGAGACTAAGTATTAAATAAAACACATAATTATTCCAAATGAAAAAATATTTATTTTCCATGCATCACACTTTCATAAGCATCATGAACAGTCTTCATAAATGTCTCCCATAAATTCTTAAGATTATTTAGTATTTCCTGGTATGGAATTTCACTGACAGCTTTCAGCAATGTCTCCCAAATATTTTTCAAATTATTGAGAATATCCTGGTACGGAATTTGGGATAACTTCTCATGTACGTATTGAACAGTAAATAAAGTAATTTTTCCTGTCTTTGTATGTATATCCTCCACATAGTTACCAAACTTCAATGCATACACTTTGTAATTTGGCGGCAAACTATCAGAACAACGTTTATACCATTCTCTTACGAGTATGTCCAAATTTTCTGTAAACTTGAGCTTAACAGATGTTGATACAAACAGAACCAACATTGTGATGAAAAAAAGCATGAATAGTTGGAATAAAAATGACAGGAATGATTTGTTTTTTTGAGCATTCTTGAGTGCCTTTTTCTCTTTCTTGGATTTCGCTCTATTGTTTACCTCATTCTTCAAAGAAGGAGAATTAGAATCCTGCCTTTGCTTCTGTTTTTCTTTCTTCTGCTTCTTCTTTTCTTCCTTCTTCTTCTGCTGAATGACTTCCTGTTGCTTTTGTTTCGATTTGTTGCGAATCTCAAGTTCTACATTCACCTTGAAAAGAAACATTACAAAACTCAACTAACCCCCTATTATGAACAATAAAAATAACAAACAAGAGTAAAATGAAAACAAATAATATGTAAAAGCACAGTAAAGAAAATAAAATGTAAAGATGTGAAAAAATTAGTAGATATTTGCACAAATTTTGATAGCGTAAAGATCTGCATTTATGAGAGAGCTAATGGATGAATTGAGGCTGAACCACAGCTCATATGGCTCTCGACTGAATAAAATGCTTGGAACAATTCATTCTACACTTTGCTTCACACTGATAAAGTGGCAAAGTTTATTTTTAGGATTAGGGAAAAGTTTGTACTAATAATTTTACCAAAATAATTTCGCGCAGCAGTGAAATGTGGACAAATCCCTTAATTGTATACATACCTGTTTTTCGAGTTTAACAAAGAAATTGACTACATCTCTAGCACAGTCTTCACACTGCTTTGAGTTCAAGCATGGACCTGCAACCTTTGCAATAGCTGGTTCAAGAGAATTATCCTTCAAATCCAGCCATTTCAGTTCCTTAAGTTTACTGAAGCTCAGAGGTAGGTTCTTCAACTGGTTGTGGTAAAGATCTAAGCGCCGCAGCTTCACTAGATTGCCGAAGTCATCTGGAAGTGACTGCAACTCGTTTTTGCTAAGGTCTAGCTTAGTAATATGAGTCAGCAACGAAAAGTTTGCCTAGATAATAAAATGAGGATTAAAAAATGGCAAATAACCCTACTTTCTAAAAAAATCGGTAGAAATTGGTGCAATACTTACAGGTAGGAATGTAAGGCGGTTGTTGGATAAGTCTAGGCTAGTGGCCTTCTTGAACTGCACCTGAAGATAAATTTTCCAATGAGCAGCTTACTCAGGAAGCTATATGAATGGTACTTACAATATCTTTCACAGGAACGTCTTCCAAATCGGACATACTCAAGTCAATTTCGCCATCGGTGAGCCTCTCCTTCACGTTTATTTTCGAAGGCATTTCGGAATGAATATATGTTCTTTCAAACAACGAGAAAACCTTTAGCCTTTACCGTTGAGAAACCAAAATTAGAAGAGGGTCGAGGATGTGGCACTACCGTTTACTTTACATTACGCCGCCACAATTTGGTTATCTGTCAGTGTCAAGACTGTCACGTTGACAAGTCATGTAACGGACAAAGTCCAGGCGTTTTTCTAAAGTGATGCATAGACTAGCGCGTAACACATAAACATATTTTTTCATCGTCGTTGCGATTTTGCCAGCTCATTGAATGTTTTTGCTACCTTTAGAGATGTATATGATAAAGGTGATTCCAATAAATATTCACATTGTACGTGCAAGTGTAAACAAAACAAGCAAATCTGTATTTTATAAATTGTTGACATTTCGTATATCATTTATGTATCATGTCCACAATTTGTAAACAGAAAAAATATTTTGCAGGTATTTTGGGGCAACATCAAATGAGTGGCAGCATATTGATATTTAAATTTCAGTTTATAAATTGTATGCGTAATAATAAAAATAAGAGTCAAACAAAAAACAGACGTTCAGAAGGTACCTAATAGTTGAAGATGAAGTAATGTTAGTTTTATTCGGAGTATTTAATTTTTTTATATTTTTACTTAGTTTTATTCTAGAATTCTACACTTTTATTTTCTGCACTATAGCAATGAGTATAGTTGTAGTCATACACATGCAACCTACCCCTGCGTGTGAACGTTTGTTCGGTAATCTCAAAGCCATACGTTTTTTAGTTATATGTCTCCGTCTCAAAAACCTTGTCGTTATGTATGAGTGCCCAATCATATCTGTCAGGATGACAACTTACTTGACATCGGCGTGCAGTTTGAGTTGTCCTATTATCAGTCTTCAATATAAAGTTGTACAATGCCCGAAAATAGGAATTTATTAGAGTATTTTCAGGAAGTGAATGAAAACAGCGGTCCCCTGTTACCCATGCGCTGGAGATTTGTCTGCGCAGTGTTTCGCCCATGGTACGGAGACTCGATCTGTCTATTTATTTCATATGGCGTTGCACCGCCAAGAACGGTGACTACATCTATAGTTCGTTTTAGTGATCGCGACCTATTGAATTAGTTCATTGAGATGAACTAAAAAGCATTGAGCACCTCTCTCTTCGGTATCTGCCGTCGTTGGTAATTTGTTTTTTGAAGTTCCATGTCAAGTGTCAGTCAACTTTCAAATCGGTCAAACTTTCCCTTCACAAAAGCGCCCCCTACAAAAGTATTTTTGGAGCGTGTTTACGTACTTGAAGCTTTTTTGACAAGTGAATATTTTTTTTAATATATATTTGGAGAGTTTGTAAATACAGTATTTAAAAAGCAAGAGCCTTATTAAGCTCACATCCGTTGCCGGCGATCTCTTCAAAAGATCCGTTTTTAATTTGCTTGGGATCAATTAATACACATAAAAATGGCGATCTGAATCTCGCAAATTATTTTAAAAACCTGCATGGGAGCATGAAAACAATCAGTAGGTACTGTGCCCAGTAGTTTGAGATCCGATGCGAGTTCATTTGCCAATGGAATGACCCTTTTGAGGACGATGCTTACTCTGTGAAAATGTCTAGAGGATATGGAAAATACAGAAGAGGAGGTGGGACACACTCTGGGTTTCACTTTGATAGTTTATTCAAAGAAAACACTAACAAGCCCTCCGCTGCAAGATCTGCCGCCAGCGTAGGGAAATGGGGCATCACATCTTTTACCTCCATACGTACACTAAATGGTGAGTATCCCTATGTTTATGTTTTGGTCTTCTATGTTTAAACTAAGGTAAACAGACTATCTACTATGTTATTTTGTAATACAAACATCAAATTGGAGAATGCAAAATGTTTTAGACTGTTGCATATGAATATTAATCCTTACATAACTTTTATTATTTAAATATAGAATCAACTATCTTTGGTAGTAAAAAAGGTCACCATGCATTTTATTCATAATTTATTAAAGATACTTAGAGGCTTCCAAGATTCCTTTTTGTTTATATTTGTTCAATATTGCCCAAATTGCTTTATACTTCAGCTTAAAATTTTTTGCAATACTGACTTGACGCTGACCATCTTTGCATAACTCATTGATCTTAGTTTTCACATCGAAAGAAATTTCTGGACCATGCGGCATGGTCTTAATATCACTCAACTTATTCCACAATACTTGATGAACACAAACTAATCCTCTTCTGACACGAAACTGTACTAAACTAATGTTGAAAAGAATTTGTCTACATATTTTTATCCCTCATAAAAAAGTGCTTATATTCAGACATGTATTGTGTTCATTGCAGATAATGTCAAAACAAAGAATTTAGTTTTCCTCTAATATGATATGCATTTGTTTATGGAGTTATGAAGTATGAATTTGTTTTCTAAAGGTATTTAGGTAAATATTCATATTTGTCTATATACTTTTGTACATTACTGTATGTTATTGTTAAAATCTATACATGTACAGGCACAGAGATCAGTTGTACCTAATGGAAAATAGATTGCTAAAATGAGCAATGGTGTCAAGAACCCTGGCCATATATTCTCCAATGTTTCACCCCAAAAAATAAAACTTCTCATATTTAATGAATTGTTATGTCATAAAAAATGACTTTTTCAAAAGCTTTATTGACAAGTTCTTTCATTACAATTTTCTTAATTAGCCTCTCTCCCTCTCTGCAGCTTAACAATTGTAATTTTTTATCCATGCTTATATTATTTATTTATCTATAGTTTTACTGCTTACACCCTTTATTAATTAATTTAATAGAATTAATTTTAATGGTAATTTTATTCTAGGTACCTAGATAAAATTATGGTGAATAGACATTATTCCTTTATATGCCTCATATTAATAATTTCCATTTTATTATTTTTTATATTATGTTGATGGGAGTTTAATGCTTTGAATAGATAAATACAAATACTGACTATATGACAAAGATTGCTAAAAAAAAACCTGATATCAAACTTCTTGTTATAGATAATGAAATAACGTTTTTGCTTTATAAAGTTTAAACCACAAAGTTGAACTTGACATCTTGAATGGCATAATTGTATGGTGTATTCTTATGCTCTAATTGTACAGATCAAAGTACTCATCTGTGATTGAATCATATATGTCTTACTTCTATGTTACTACTGAAGTATGTGATAAAAATGATTTTTCCCAATCCTCCAGCACTAGCGACAAAGCACTTTCTATAGGACGAGTTCATAAAAGTGCTCTCAAGCAGTAGCCGAAGGAGTTTCTGCGTCGATTTTCGCAGACTGTACTTAGAACTACTGAATATTTTGTTCACCAGGCGCTCCTCGTTCGGAGAACGCATCAACTGCAGCTGCGACACCTGCCCCGGATGCGACTCCAAAGCCTAAAAAATTCTTCAAGAGTCGCAATACCGATCCGCCCGATCCTCAGCCTACAACCAAAACCCCGCCTGCCAAGAGGTCCAGGCTGGCAAAAGATAAAGATCCTCCAGAGAAGACCCGGGAACAGCCGACGAGGAAGTTCTTCTCCTCGAAGAGCTCTTCAGCATCTTCCACTGTTCTGTCACAGCAGGATAAAAAGGTATAAATGATAACCATTTCTTTCAAAATATACTGGCCAGTTTTGCACCAAAATCAGAAGCAATAGGTGATGCCAAAGAGTAGTTATGTCAAACAATTAATTTTAACTATCTTGAGTGTGTAATCATGGAAAAAGTACCATGAAAGACCTTGGGGTTGTTATGGATCATGATCTTGCCTTTAAAAATCACATATCATATATTGTTAATAAGGCAAGTATCTGGGATTATAGTTCAAACATTGAAGGATTTTAAAACCATTTTTTCTTAAAAAGACACCTAATATGCAGTAGTAAGATCAATTTTGGAGTATGCTTGTTCTGTTTGGTCATCTTACTATAAAATTCATCTAAATGCAAAAGACCCAATAAACTGAAAATACCATGAGAACAGGTTGATTATTATGACCTGAATAATTTCTTAAGCATGAGTTCTCAGGGAAATAAAAGGATTTATTTTGATAATTTCACTTTGTATGAGTTGTTTCATGCACTGATATGTTCCCCAGACCTTTTATCTAAAATTCTTCCACATAGTAGCCTAAAATATCGCGAACTTTCATGATGGTGTAGTGCTTTGACTGGACAATGAATTTTAAAAAATCCATGGTATTTTTTATCCTATTGCAGTATCATATGATTTACTGCTTTTGAGACTGGTACGAGATACCATGAATTGTATGTTTGTTTGAATAAAAAAAAACAATTGATTAATTTTTTTCGATTAGACTGTCCTAACCTCAAATGTAAATAAGCGCGAGAAAGAGAAGGAGAAACCGAGTGAACCCCCAAAACCGCCAATTGTTTTGAGGATATGCAGAGGGAAGTCGCAGTTGCTGAACGATTCTGATGAATCTGAGAGTACCCCAACCCCGTCCAGCACACCCACATCGTCAAATGCAACATCACCAAGGGCTGCTAAGGATACTGCTAGGCCGGCCAATTGCAGGTACATTCGGTTGAAAATCTGTTTATAATCGTGCTAGGTTTACAGTGTGTCCTATACTTTTGGTTGGAACTTTCCTTTTAGTCAACAATGTTTTGAAAAATACTTACTGTTCATTTGGTAATGATTTCAAGTACTGTCCTGTCACATGTTTTGTTTGTAAACGCTGCTTGAAGTTGTTGCTGTTCGATTCAAAAACACGAGTTTGTTCAGCTCTTCCTAAATTTGCAATGCTTGGGGCTGACTACTGACAACTGTGTCCAACCAGACTAATTTTGCAAATAAACGTATGCAGCTCTGATGGAAATAAACATCGAGGACGACTGCGCAGTTCTGGTATACTCGCGGAGTATCAATAGGATATTGAAGATGCTCATATCAAATCGACAACTAGTTATTGCTCTAGGAAAGAGCCAATTTCGGTTTTTCAAATGCGGTTTGTTTATATATAGTATATATAGTTAGGTGAGAACAGCTTCAGTCTTTAGTTGGGTACTTCGCCAGGATCAAATCATTAGGGAATCTTTTTACTTTATTGTTTCAAGCTTTCGATGAACTTTGTCATCATCATCAGGAGCTACAATAACATTTGAAAAAATAGCAACTACAAGTGCAAGATTGATATTAAACTACTTACAACAGTATGTGAGATTGTTGCTGAATGTTATTATTAATTACGTTGATGGGAACATTTAGTAGCCTGCTGGAAGCTATATCCACGTTACCATTTTCCTGATGATCACAGCATATACTGTTGAAAGCTTGAGTTGTAAGTTAAAAGAGTATTTATAATATAATATTTAGCAACAGTCTCACCTACTTTTGGAGAGAGTTTCAATGTGCTGAATTGGCATGTTTTACAGAATCACCCGTTCCGCGCGGCGTAGCATGCAGCAAGACAATCCTGATAGTTCTCCCGCTACGGCAGACACGCCCGGCGAGTTTTCGCTCTTCCTTAGCCCCAGAGAAACGGAGCCGGGATACTCGCCCCAATACATCCCTGCCGAGAAGTATGAATTGGAGAGGAAGGCGATGTACGATAACCTGCTCAGGCCGAACTCGCCTTCCATGGAAGGAGAAAGGGACAGCTGCGAGGAGAGGAAAGAAATAACAGAGGAGGAGACTGAAGAGGCGTTTGGTAAGTAGAATGTTGATTCATGCTCTTAATATGGTCTCCAGATGGTTATAAACGGTAAATCAAATAACTCAAATTTTCCCAATAGAAAAAGTTGAAGAGGATAATGGCGTAGCTACTGAGGACGTAGAAATTGAAAATAAAGAAGAGTGCAGGAGGCCTGAAGTGGACGACATGGAGATTGAAGAGCCGCTGGACCCAAAACCCATCATTGACCAAACCAAACATAAAACAGGTATGTGGAAGTTAAATATGATGTAATATGATTACCCACCCTGAGATCTGCAACATACTATTTTATTTAAAAAAATACCGGAGTCTTTCATTTAAACAAACTGCTGAATATACATTTCCAGATGAAGAAATGGAGGAAGAACAACTCAAGGAACCTGAAGCTACACCACATCCGCCCGCAGAAGAGCAAGCAGCGGCAGAGCCCGAGGAAGTGGGCAAAGAGGATGAAAACGTAACCAGTGCAGTCAGTGAAGAACCCCAAAAAGCAAAGAACCTCATTCAAGAAGATTGGTCTACAGATACGGACACGAATAGCAGCGTCGCGGAAGCCGAGACGAAAACTGCGCCTGAAGTAGAAGAATATATGGTCAATAAGGTAAACGATTTATAGTTTGTAACTATATAAACAACATAATAATAGTAAATGTTTCACTCACGCGGTCACACGGATAATACGCGTTAGAAAATGTTTCCATGTTGATTTGCATCACCCTGAGAATAGCTAAGGAACACATATTTGCATTTAATTTTTTTGAATACATCTTTTTTGGTCAATTTTTTTGTGGGTCTTGCTCACATGGTTATGATTATCGGCTTGTGTTGGTAGGTCGAAGAGAATAAAGACAAGCTTCTAGATAAAATTCTGGAGCCGCCTAGTTCGACGTGCAACCAACTGGACGGCGCTGCCGCACCACCACCTCCTGTCAAGTTGGTAATTAGCAAAAAGAAGGGATGCATCTTCAAGAGCCGCAGCAAAGAGGTGGAAGGTGATGGCACTGGATCCGCAGGAGTGGTTGGGGGTAGAAAAAGACGAGCTATTTACAGGTATGTTTAAGTGACTAGTTATGCTGTTAGTCGAGAATAGAACTTTGATTACGAGGGTGGTCCCAGAAGTACCCGGTCTGACCTAGAGATGGCGCTGGTTGTTTGAAAAATATCATTGTATTAGAAAGTATATGTGTCAAGTTTGAAGACGCCACGTTGTTTAGTATTTGTTTGGCAGCCATCAGTACTGAACGTTTTCAGTGAATTTGTGAAAATGGAGGAAATTGGTCATCGTTATGTGGTACAATACTTTTATTTCAAAGGCCTCAGCCCAACCAATATAAAAGCTGAACTGGATTCTACTCTGGGTGAGTCTGCTCCTTCGTTTACAACAGTAAAATATTGGGTAGCAGAGTTTAAACGAGTCCGTATGAGCTGCCAAGACGAGCATCGCAGTGGTCGACCAAATGAGGTGACGACTCCAGAAATGGTCAAAAAAATTCAAAAAGCGGCTCTGAATGATCGTCGACTGAAAGTGCGCGAGCTAGCAGACATAGTAGGCATTTCAAAAAGTGCGGTTCATCGCATATTATCTGAAAATTTGGACATGAGAAAGCTGTGTGCAAGATGGGTGCCGCGATTGCTCACAATCGAGCAAAAACAGTGTCGTGAAGATGTTTCAATTGAGTGTTTAGCGAAGTTTCACAGCAACAAAGTAGAATTTTTGCGTCGATTCATAACCATGGATGAAACATGGGTCCATCACTTCACACCTGAGACGAAAGAACAATCAAAACAATGGACTCAGAAGGGACAACCGGCTCCAAAGAAGGCGAAGACCGTTTCATCTGCAGGCAAGGTTATGGCGTCGGTTTTTTGGGATGCGCGTGGCATAATTTTCATTGACTATCTTGAAAAACGTAAAACTATCAACGGCGAGTATTATGCGAACGTTTGAGCGATGAAATCAGTCGAAAACGGCCGCATTTGGTCAAGAAGAAAGTGTTGTTTCATCAAGACAATGCACCAGCTCACAAATCCGTTATTGCAATGACCAAAATTAACGAATTAAAGTTTGAATTGCTACCTCATGCGCCCTATTCGCCAGATTTAGCGCCCTCGGATTATTTCCTGTTTCCAAACTTGAAAAAATGGCTCAGTGGTTAAAGATTTTCCAACGATGAAGAAGTGATGTCGGCAGTTAATGGCTATTTTGAGGGGCAAGACAGTTCTTATTATTAAAAGGGTATCGAACTTATTGAACATCGTCGGGAAGAGTGCATAAAATAAATACATTTTTTTACAAAATGTTTGTTTTCTTCGTTGGGTCGGGACCCTCGTACTGGCGCTCCATTGTTAATACTTTTGTGAAATATAATATGTGACCAGCCCCAACAGGAATTTACGTAAAAATCAACAAACGGCACATAGACAGTTTAGTAGTTTACACTTGTTGGATGATTTTGATGATTAATAAGAGGATTTCCTGTGAAAAAAAAAACAATAATGCTGTATTGAATAAACAGGCAAACTTTTGATTTTTATTAATGTCTTAGGCATAAATGGACGACGGATGATAAAGAGACTGACAAAGAACTGAATAAAGAAGGTGGAGAAGAGGACAGTGTAGGTAATGCACAGAAGGTGACAGAAGGGGAAGTCGATGATGACTTTGGGTAAGTAATTAGATCACACTTTTTGCGGGTGATTTTTAAACACCGTTAAAACAAGTTATCCGTAATGTAGCCTGTAACAGAGCAATATCTTTTTTGTTGCTATGTTTGGCTGTAACTACGAGGGTCTATCGAATATAAACGGGAATTTTACAAATATTTTCTTAGCCCATCACGAGCGCTCTCACAATGTAGGCCCTTGCAGTGAAGTGTATTAGGACTGGGGAAAACGTGGGGGGAGATGTTCCACTCAGCCAGCAACCGGTTCCACTGTCCGTTGCACAAAGTTTTTGACGAAGCAATGCGTTCAACCGTGCGAGATTTTGGCTCAGTGTGGGGATGATTCTCTGTCTAAAACTCAGGTATTCGATTGAGCCAAAAAGTTTGCGAGAACGTGTAGAAAATGTGAGTCATAATCGACGTCAAAGATCAAGCGTCTCTGGTGACAACATTGGCGGTGTTCGTGACCTTATTCACAGTGACAAGCGGCTCACTATTCAGAAGTGGGCATCAAAAAGCATCTTGGCTGCAACAAAATCGGTGCTCAATGGGTGCTGAAGTTGTCGAACGATGATCAAAACAACAACCGACTGCCAATCAGTAGAAGACGTCTGAATCGATTTCGGCGGGAGGGAGAGACGTTTTTCAATCATATCGTGACGTGTGTTGAAACATGGGTGCATCATTGCACTCTAGAGTCCAAGATGTCGAACGAGAGACAAAACCGGACTTGTGAAAGCCAAAACAGGTCCCTCAGTCGGTAAGGTCCTCGTGAACGTCTTTTTCGACTTCAAAGGAGTGTTGCTGTTAATGCTACCTACTATAAAAGCAGCATGCAGTCGCAAAAAACGCGGTGTCCCTATCAGAAATGCCATCCTCCTTCACGACAATGCCAGGACACATACGGCCGCAGAAACGAAGCAAAACTGGATGATATGCATTGGGAAACTGTTGAGCATCCTCTTTACAGCCCAGATTTGTCACCCTGTGACTGTCATAGATCTTTGTGATAATGTTATTAGGGCAGTTGACAAAAAGATAGCAACAGCAGTGGTATCAATTAACTATTCCAAAGCATTCGATCGAATAAATCATAAACTTTTGTGCGCCAAGCTGAGGTATATAGGCTTCGATGATGCTGCTGTCAGTTTTTTCCGTAGCTGTTTGTCCGGTCGCACGCAATGTGTCGCAATCAATAACGATCAATCCAATATTACGACTATTCCGTCAGGAGTTCCGCAAGGCTCAATTTTGGGACCTGTGCTTTTTTTGATTTACACGTGTGACCTGCATAACGCAGTTGACAATTCAGGGATACAAACATTTGATGACGATACTCAAATAATATTCCATTTCGACGCCTCAGATACGCAAAATTCATCAGATATTTTACAGCTTGATTTAGATAAGGTACATCAGTTTTCTATGGAACATAATCGTACTATTAATCCAGATAAGACACAAGTGTTATTGTTTTGTTCTGATCAGAAGAGGAAAACTGTCGAAGATTCTTTCCATCTGACTATTGATGGCATAACATTACAGCATACTCAAACAGCTAAGGTACTAGGAGTGGAAATTGACACAAAATTAAGATTCCGCAGCCAAATAGCTAATTTGATGAAAAAAACTTACCTGTGTTCTAGGGCTCTTTATTCCAATCGCTACTTGCTTAACTTCAAGCTGAGAGAAAAACTGTGCGAATCTTTGGTGATGTCAATGCTCAGTTACTGTGGTATCGTTTATTATCCAGGTTTGGATCAATTGACCAAAAATCGTCTTCACATCATCCAAAATAACTGTGTTCGCTTTATTTATGGGTTGCGTAAATACGATCACGTAAGTGATAAATATAGAGAATTGAACTGGCTTAGGTTAGGAAGTTTGGTTAAACATAAATTCTTAGTTTTAGTTCATAAAATAATATTGTCATCAAAGCCTGAATATCTAAGAGCTAAATTAAGATTTAATTACGAAGTGCATGACAGGGCTGTTAGGAATCGTTATAGTATCAGAACCACCCCACACACTTCTGCATTATTCCAACGAGGATTTACATAAAATGCAGCACTATTTTATAATCAGTTGGACAACAGTATTTAATTGATGTCTTTGGAAAGTTTTCGTAAACATACTAAAAGCATGTTGCTCACTATTGATTAAATACGCATTTCTGCTACAGATATAGATTGTGTCTAGTTGTATTTTATACTTAGGTATTTATGTGTTCTTTTTATCATTGTTCTTATATATATATTTTTTTCCATGTTTTGAACATCAGATGTAACCGACATAAACAGTTAAGTGTAAGAGTAGCCTTGGCTAAACTTCGCTGTTTATGTCCCTCCGGGTTATCCAATAAAGACGTTATTATTACTATTATTGACAACGATTGAGACGTGGATAACTTCGTGCGCCATTGGGTGGACACTCAACCTCGCAAGTTTCTACTCGCAAGGAATTTGTAAGGCTCCAAATCGGTGGGTAAAAGGTTTGGAGCGTGGAGGAGATTACATAGAAATATAATCAACATTTTTGTATTGTTCTATGAATAAATAAAATTCAAAAAAGGATCGTTTATATTTGATCCACCTTCGTATATCCTGGCCATCATGAACATATCGCAGCATAATGTGTTTTATTGTATTGTTTCAGGTTTAAGGACGATCCTTTGGAGAGGGTAGTAAGAGACAAAGGTGACAGTGAAGTTGCCAGTGTTAGGTGTACTAGGAGTGACAAAAATGTAAGTATAACCAATTTTTCCGTTATAAATATTGTTTGCAACGTTCATATTAGGTGTCTTTCATTATCCGAGGCAGCAGCGGTGGCCGCAGTGTAGACTCTTCGGTCTCCTGATCAGTCGCCGTGCGCTGCGCGGGTTTGAATCCCGTCCCAAGAGACATTTTTCTCTAGGCTATGGATGTTGTGATTGTCCGTAAGTGGTAGACAGTCTCTGACTGTCGAACGCGGAGGTACCACCCAGCGGATCTCGTAGGCGGAGCCAGAATTTGTGCATGTTGCATGCACACGTGTTCCCTCGCCAGAGTCCGTGTGGCGTTCCCCCTTTCCCCTGTAGCCCCATAGCCCCACGGTACCCAATGGGTGTTTAGGCCTTAGGCCTTCGTGGTGGTTGGAGTATAAAAAAAATATTCTTGTTTATTCGAATTCATATTTGTTGATATAAAGTGATTAATTTAATGTATGTCTTCAATACGTGCGTGAATTGCTATGCGACAAGGTGTCTACCAAGGAATTGAATAGATTAGGAGACAAGTCTATATGTTTACATTGTATTGTTTGTCGAAAAAATTGCGTAGTTTTGTTTGTTCGTTTAAGATTTATTTAGCATGATTGCTACAATTACATTCTTCTAAAAAACTAAACAATTACAAACACACATATTTAGAGAAAAAATTGCATCTCTAAGAATTTTCATTGTCTATGAAATATTCCTTTAATTTTCTTTTAAATATCTTTAAATTACAAGTAGACTTTATATCATTATTTAGTTTATTAAATTCAAGTAATCCTTTCTGAAATATTGATTTGCTAAATTTTGTAAATGAAAATTTATATTACCTCTTGTATAGTAATTGTGGTAATGATTATTCAATGCTATGTAGTGTTCTAAATGTTCTTGCGAAAGATACATTTTTATTTTAAATATAAAAATAAGAATCAAATACAGCAGACGCTCGATAATGTAAACTAATTTAATCCAAGTGTGGTTCACATTATCGGAATGTTTACATTAGCGAACGTGATTTATATAATATTTGATTTATTAAAAGAAACGTTTAATACATACTATTTATAACAAAATAAACAAATATTCTAACAGCGATAAGTATTTTTTTAATTAGAAGAAAAATAGTTTACAATTTTTGTCTGCGTAAATTTGCGCTTAGCATTGTCTTCCAATGCTTGCGCCCGTAATTTACGAAGAACTAAAATATCCGTGTATGAAACTTCTTTTCTTTCAGCCCAATCTAAAGCTTGGTTAAAAACTTATATAGCTTGCGCGTCAGTCACTACACTTCTGACTTCAACGGGATCGTTCTCATCATCCTCACTGTCCATATCCTCCTCCTTATCAGCATCATTCGTCTGCTTATCTTCGTTCCATAAATTAATATCAGCAGGAGTACAAACAATATTGGGATTCACTGTTTTCAATAAATCAACAACATCCAATGACACACTAATAACATTATCATTATTGGATCGCAAACGTTCTCTAATTACGCTTAAGGGACATCGTCTTCTTCATCATCTTCATTATTGGTACAAAAGAGATTGTTCCAACATTTTTGAATAGTTTGCTGGTTAAGTTCATTCCAGGCCATATGTAAATCTAAAACAGCTTCTCGTAATGTTACTTTTTTTAAAGCCTCAGATAAGTTTTCAGGATTCTTTGATAAGACAGACGAAAGTAGAAACTTCCTACAGTATAGTTTGGTGAGTCTTATTATATTCTGGTCCATCGGTTGAATTAACGGTGTTACGTTGGGCAGCATGTACATGACCAAAATTGACCCATCCCTGCTCCTGCTCGGGAGGATGACTTGGTGCATTATCCAATAGTAACAACGCTTTTATTGGAAGCTTCTGTTGTTTTAGGAAACCTTTTACCTACAAATTGAAAACACATCTTCAAATTATGAATAGAGCATTTGTAATAATTGATTGTCATACCTGAGGGACAAAGCACCTGTGGAACCATTTCAGGAATATACTGCTAGTCATCCAAGCGGTTTTTGAACAGTCATAATCAACAGGGATATTAACATTTTTAAATGAGCGCGGATTTTTTGCTTTCCCAATTACCAGTGGCTTTATTTTGTGTGAACCATTAGCATTAGTGCAGGCTAGAAACGTTATTCGTTGTTTCTCCGGCTTTCTTCCCGGGGCAGATTTTTCAAATGATGCAGCATAGGTTTTCTCTGGTAACATTTTCCAATAAAGGCCACTTTCATCTGCGTTGTAAATTTATTCCATTCTTAAATCTAGCTCGGTAATTGTTTTCATCAATTTTTCTTTGAATGGTTGCACTAATTGTGGTGGTGCTGATAATTTTTCACCAATATAGACAGCAGTCGAATTTCATATCTTGTTTTGAATCGTTGTAGCCAGCCATCACTAGCTACGAAATTTTCAGTTTCTTTCAGTTTTTCATTTAACAGTCTCGCTCTCTGTTTAAGTACTTCGCCACTAACTGGGACATGATTTTCCCGTTGTTTTAAAAACCACTTATACAGGGAATTTTCCATTTTAGGTGCCTTCGCATTTATTAAAGTATTTCTTTTTCCCGGACCTCCAAATGTATTGCACGTTCTTTGTAAAATTTGAGTTTTCATACGCTTAGTTTTACAGATTGTTGCTTTCGATACTCCGTATTTTTTTGCTAGCTGTGTCACTCCCGCACCTAGTGCAATTTCGTCTATGATTTTCACTTTCTCACTCAACTTTAAACACTTTCTTTTATAGGATGTGGATGCCATAGACGTAAAATATATTAACGCGTGCAATGTATTCACTTAAGTTCAAAAATGAAATACATACGTACGTATAAACGTATCCTAAACGATCATACGACTGTCCGAGTTTGTCGTATTTTATCGCAGAGGTGAATCCCCTACACTCTACATCATAAATCGGGGACTCCCCGACGCCCGACATAAATCATCGAAGCTTCAGCATTTTACCGTCGCGCTGTTTCCGTGCGCCGAGAGTTGTTTACGTTATCGAGCGTACACATTGATTACGTTATCGCGCGTTCCGTTTGATTCTATAGAACGAAGTTTGTGTTTACATTAGCGCAAGTTTTCATTATCCCGTGTTTACGTTATCGAGCGTCTGCTGTATATGTAATTTTTTATATTCAACCACTGCAATTCTTGTAACATAGCATTTTATTTTGGTGTACTTATTTTTATTCAATATTATTCTCATAGCTTTATTTGTCGAATAATTGTATTATAAACTATTTTCTTGGAATAGGTACCAAGACTATGAGAAGCCCTATAAAAGTAATTTGTTTTTTTGGCAATTTTTGAAATAATATCTTCATAGTGATCCTCAAACTTTAGTTTACTATCAATATATATACCTAAACATTTAATTGATTCAACATTTTAATGCATACCTTTGACTTATTTGTCTACCAATGCCTAACACAGTGACAGCTTTGTATCCACAATAATATTACTTACCAGAAACACTCATTATAATTAGGAATATAATTTATTCTCTTCCTTCCAGTATTACACAGTCGTCCGTAACGTAAAGAAAGCCCACCAGATCCAAGAGATCGGCGAGTTCCAAGAGTTCAACGATGACGTAGAATACATCCTGGACGCTTTGCAAGACAACAATCCCATCAGCACCAGGTGCTTGTCGGCCATCACGTTGGCATCCAAATGCATGGCACCCGCGTTCAGGATGCACGTTAGAGCGCATGGGATCGTGGCGAAGTTTTTCAAAGCGCTGCACGACGCTACCAAAGATCAGGTAGATAATGTGAAATTTTATGATATTCTTTATGTAACATATTTGCATCGCTTAGGATATGACAATTCTTATCCGAGTTAAACAAAAATTTCCCATATTTTTCTTAACCGAGATGATTTATTTGTGGTTCTTTAAACGTGAGATAGGTACTAGTAGTAGTAGACATTTATTTACTCCATCATATAAGAACAATAACAACGTGGAATGGGTAAATAAATGTTTCAATCCACAGAAGGATAATGCCTGTATAATGTATGTCGGAATGTGTTCAAAAATCAAAACAAAAAAGTTGAAAGAAACTTAAAGAAAACTAATATCAAAGAGGTGTATGTACAGGCTGGCCGATATGTAACTGACTGGTTTGTATCTTGAATATTTGTGAAATGAAATAAAATATGTCCATTTCTTTATCTTAATCTTTTATTAAAACTTAGAAACTGTGTATGAAAAATAATATCGGAAAAATGTCCGCCTCTAGAAACCCTATTTTTAAAAAATCCGCATAAAAAAGTAGTCGTTAAATCCGGTGACCTTGGTGGCCAGTTGACATCACCCAATCGAGAAATTAAACGTCCCGGAAATATTGTTAGCAAAAGATTCATTGTTTCCCTAGCTGTGTGACATATGCTGGAACCACATATTTTGAAGGTTAAATTGTTGGATTTGAGGGGCCAGAAAGTTTTGCAGCATATCACGGTAAACCTCGCCAGTGACAGTAAGAGAATTACATGCCGCGTCTTCAAACACCTCCATACCAAACACGAGGGTTCTCTAATGCTCAGATATGACAATTCTGCTTATTAACAAATCCGTTCATATCGAAGTGGGCTTCATCGTTCATTATCAGTTGTCGGTGCAAATCGTTATTTTTTGTATTAAGCTGCAATATTACATGACTGTATTGTAGGCGACTTACATGATGGTCACTTCTTGGGTTAACTGAATTTTGTATGGCCGCAACTGCAAGTCTTTTTTTAAATGGTGCATAATGACGTACGAAGAATACCCAGTTCTTGAGAACGATGTCTGGTAGACGTCTCAGGGCGCTCCACTACACTTTCACGAACTCTCTCGATATTTTCCGGAGTACGAAGAGTTCGAACACGGCCCGACCTTGGCAAGTCTTTAACTTCACCTATTTGTTCAAATTGTGGCTCAAATAAACTTTAATGTTCCATCTATTCAAACTCGTACAGCTAAAACCTTTTATTTCGACAGGGCTCGCACAAATTTGTTTTTGAAGGCATATGTGATGTGTGATGTGTGAAACTTTCAATCCAATATCAAATTATTGTGATATACATGCTGGCAGTTTGAACAGCATTCTGGGAGTAGCTAGAAATTGCTTAGATAATTTATATGTTACTCACCTGAGTGAAATATGTTTTCTTTTGCTTCTTTTTCTTGTTTGTTTTTTTCTTTAGATGTTTTCTGTTCTTGTTATTTTGATTTATCTCAGGATTGTCCTTAACTGTTGCTATTTATTTATTATTTATTTATACAGGGTGTCCGCAAAGTTAGCGTTTTCCTTTTCAGAAACAACTATCCTTGAAATAACAAAGGTGATGTGTAGTGAATCGAGGGCGACCAAGTAAAAAAAAAATAAAGGAAAAAGTACTCACTCTCCAGTTGACGAGAAGGGCTAAGTACGTCTCTGCCCGAAATCATACCGCTCCAACAGAAAATGAAATCAGCTGATGCGCTACCGAGCAGACGCAGGCAAACAAGGAAGGCAAAATGTTGCGTAAAAAGTCTAGGTATTACATCCCGTCCAATCGATTTGGGAGAATAAATGGTCCAATGAGCATACCCGTTCACCATGCGAGCCCAAACATTCACCGAAAATATTTGTTGAAAATGTGCCCGACGGACAGCGTGCGAATTTTCTACTGACCAAACATGAGTGTTGCGAAAGTTATTCACCCCATTACGCGTGAACGTAGATTCGTCTGTCACCAATATGCACTTCAAAAAGTCCGGATTATTGTCATGTTGATGCAACAACCACTCACAAAACTGCACTCTTGCTGGAAAATCGTCAGGTTGAAGGGCTTGTACAAGTAGGACGTGAAACGGATACAGCCCTCTTCACGCAGCGTTTGCCACACTTAGTTTTTGATACTTGCACTTCTCTACCCACGTCTCTAGTGCTTGTTGAGGGATTCTCGTCTACGCGATTACCTCTAGACGCGTGACCGTAACCGTCGGTTGAAGGTTGCATACTGACCTGACACACTGACCCCGACCCAATTCTGATGTCGGGTTGAACTAGTGTCCTAGTACCAGTCGGGGATGTCGCGGCTACAGGACGGTATTCAGATATTTTTGATGTTGCAGAGCCCTTTATCTCGGTTCCCTTAAGACATTGGTGTATATGGTACTAAGAAAAATTGCTTATGTTTTCAAGATCTACACGTCGTGTAAAGGAAAACCCCAACTTTGCGGACACCCTGTATTTATTTCTGCACCAACTGGGCATGGTGTTGACACTGGGCACATTATTTCCACCGAAATCTTGTCGTAGCTTCCGAATCGATGCAACAATCGATTCATTATTTAAGTAAAACGTTTTAACAGTACGGACGCGTTGTGGGATCGTAATGAATTGGGCACATGTGCTTTAAAGAACTACTATGGCGCCACCTACTGAAATTCGTGCATCAAAAATGGCGCGCAATTTAAATCAGTATATAATAATAATAATATGTATTCACTCAATGTACAAAGATAACAAACAATATGAGTAAATAAATATAAAATCAAAACAGGCCCAATAGAAGGCATCGCCTGTACATGGACCAATAATTTAAGTTGAAACTGTAGAATGCAAATGACAAAAAAGGACAAAAATTAGCTACAGTAGATTATGTATTTAGTTGATGTTCGTATTTATGAGTTTATGAATTTCAGTCCTAGATATAGAATGTAGCCACTTTTTTAAATTTCTTTTGAAACAATTTCCGAAACGTAAATCTTTTAAGTCTTTAGGTATAATTTCATAGAATTTAGGCGCTAAATAGAGATATGATCGCTGCATTATAGATTTATGCGGTTGAGGAACTACTGTGCCACGAATTTTGTACCTGGTATAATGATTATGTTTAATTTTTTGGTCGGTGTTTACAAATTTATGGTAGTGAGTGATACTGTGTAAGAAATAAAGCTGTCTTATATCATACATTCGAACATCTGCGTATAATTTTTCAGTGGGATAAAGTTTCGGTTTTTTAAATATCATTTTTAGAATACTTTTTTGAAAAACATCTAAATTATAGATATGTGAGGAACATGCAGCTCCCCATGCTAATATACCATATGTGAGATGAGGCTCAATCAGTGCATGGTCTAATGTTCGAAGATATTTTTCTGTCAATATATTCCCAAGGTATTTAATTTTGTAGGATACAAATCTAACTTTCTTTAAAATATAATTGACATAAATGTCCCATCGTAAGTGAGGATCCAAGACCACTCCAAGGTATTTTATGTTGGGCACTGTATTAATTTGCATTTTTTGATCATTAATATTGAAGGAGAAATTTGTGTAATTTGGCAGATGTCTAGCATAAGATCCAAATGGTAAAAAATGTGTTTTAGAGTAGTTAATGCTTAATTTTCTACTGTTAAACCACCGAATAATTTTGATAAAATCATTTTCAATTACATTTTTCAGATCGGACCAGTCAGTGCCTTCATATAATATTGCAGTATCATCTGCAAAACTAGTTATTTTGCCAACACAATTAATTTGGAAAATATCATTTAAATATATATTGAATAACAGCGGACCTAAGACAGTTCCTTGTGGGACACCACACTTAATATACATTTCTTTACTAAATGATCCTGATATCTGCACAGATTGTGGGCGATTTGACAAATAACTTTCGATCAGTGAGTACGCGTTTCCTCTGAAACCAATTCTCTCCAATGCTTCTAATAATAATTTGTAATTAACTGTGTCGAAAGCTTTCTTTAAATCAACAAAAACGCAGATTGAAGGGATTCTGTTATCAATATTTTGATGTATTTGATTTACAATTTTAGTTATTGCGTCCGATGTAGCCTTCCCTTCTGCAAATCCATATTGATTTTCACTTAAAATTTTGAATTTTGTGAGGTATCGAATCATTCTAGTAGATAAAACTTTTTCAAAAACCTTTGCTACACTGGATATTATTGATATTGGTCTGTAGTTGTTAACATCTGTTTTGTTCCTGATTTATGTATCGGTATTATATTACCTTTGAGGGATATATGCCAGATTCAAAGCATTTGTTGATTAGGTAAGTGAGTGGTTCTGTTATGTCCTCGGCTATAATTTTCAAATGCTCGCTTTTAATACCATCGAACCCAGGACTTTTCCGATTTTTTAAGGACATAACAGTGGTGTATACTTCACATTGCTCGACTTTATCCAAAATAAATGAGTTCAAAGTTCTTTTTGGAGGCTGAGTATTTTGTACATTTGCTTGTATATTACTTGCTAAATTTTCGCCTATGTCAGTAAAGACTTGTACAAATATGTAGAGGATTATAATTTTTAAGAAATATTTGATAGGAATTCAATATGTTGTCTGCGTTGTTCGTTTGTTGACCAGCCACCTCAAAACATTAATGTCCTGTTTCAGAGCCTAGGCCTGTGTACAGCGACAGTAATGTTCGTGTTGAGCCAGGACAGGCTAAATATGGATTTGGACAGGGATTGTCTGGAACTAATGCTGGGTCTTCTGGAATCGGACGTAAGCTATCAACAGGCGTTGGACGTATGCGGATTATCTAGCACTCAACTTGAGAAGAACAAAAGGAAAGTGCGAGAACTGTGCGCCGAGATTCAGAGCAGGGGACATGCGGTGCACCTCAACCTAGAATCTATAACGGTAAGTATTGATTTTTCAAGCTTCAGTTTCGGTAACGTCTGAAACTTGTCATGCGATTTGTATTTACAGGTTGGACAATTGGCTATGGAGACGCTGCTGAGTTTGACCTCGAAACGAGCCGGAGAGTGGTTCAAAGAAGAACTGCGAGAACTAGGCGGTTTAGAACATATCATGAAGACCGTGCACGAGTGCTGTAGGCAGGTTTCAGACTACGTGGTCACGTGGACGGACACGTTGCTGGATAAGCTGAAAAAGGTCGATAGGTGCTTGAGGGTACTTGAAAATGTAAGTGTTTCAAACTTTTGATCTAAATCATCTTTGATAGGTGCAACTTCTGGAGCTTATCTTGTTTTCTCGCTGATTCATCGTCCTGGGAAACAAATAAAGAACACATTTTTGAATTGTATTTAAACAAAATGTCAACGCAGTCGAAACGAAGGCATTTTTTCAGCGTCTCTAGTTTCATTTATTGGTGAAGACAATATGTAGATTTGTGTTTTAACAGACTTATTATTGGTTCCATCATTATAAAAATAGCAAAACAGCAAACATGCGACTTGAGTTTGTGATCGTTTTTACTTATTACTTTAACTCAATTTTATATTTAGGTAACACACAACAATGAAGAGAACCAGACATACATCCTGAAGTACAACGACGGCGCGATCCTGGACACGTTGGTGAACTTGTACAAGTTGTGCGACGGTGAAATACCGCTGTATCCTGTCACCGACATATCGGATAAAACGTCAACGGGGACTATAATCAGGGAGGCTCTTCTGGTCACGTTGAAAGTGCTGATCAACCTTACGCATCATTTCAACAACCAGTGTAAGTTTCAATCATTTCATACAATATCTGTTTCTTTGGTCTACAATAAGGTCATTCCAGGATTCTATTGATTTGAGGTAAAAAAAACTTTACACCATTTTTACATAATTATATCCTTCTCTACGCTTACATATTGGGCTTGTTTTGTCGCGGAAACGATCAACCAGAGAAAACTCAAGGGGATTTTTTGTTATTAACGACAAAAAGGATCTTAAAAATAACCGGAGCGAAAAAGTTTTTAGTGGTTTGTTTGTTAGTTGCAGATGTATACTAAGTGACATATAAATCCGAACACCAGTTTAAATGGTTTTATTTTAATAAAAGTTGGTGAATGTATTTATCTTACTGTAAATAACAAGTGAAAAAATTTTCAGCCTTATCAGTTGGACATTCCGGTTTTTATACTGCTTTTTTTTTAATTCACTAACGCTCTAAAAATGAATATTTCAGCCGCAGTAAAGAATCAACGTTGGCGGATTTTGGTTCTTGACATCCTTTACGATGGGTTACGATGCCTAGAGTACGGAGACCTGTACGATTTCGTCAACTTAGTGAGTTTGATAGGGGCCGTATAGTGGGACTTCGGGAAGCTGGACTTTCTTTTCGGGCAATTGCAGTTAGAGTGCAAAGAAGTGTAGACACTGTGGTTAGGTGTTGTCAGGCATGGCGTCGAGAAGGCCGTACGCAAAGAGCAAGGGGCACTGGACGCCGCCGTAGAACAACAGACCGTGAAGATCGCCGCCTAAGATTATTGGCCTTAAGGGACCGTTTCTCCACTACCAGGTCCATTGCAAATGAATGGTTTGCAGAATACGGAAGACCTATTGGCATGCGAATTGTTTACCGACGAATGAGAAGTTTTGGATTGTTTTCATACCGGCCACACTGGGTCCTCCCTTTAACTCGAGAACACCGACGTAATCGCATTGAGTGGTGCAGACAACGGTCACTCTGGGATCAGGAATGGAACAGTATTGTCTTTAGTGACGAGTCTCGATTTTGTTTAGGCATGCACGATGGTCGTGCCAGGGTTAGAAGGCGACGTGGTGAAAGGAGGAATCCACAGTTTTTTGTTGAAAGACATGTTCATCACACTGTTGGAGTTATGGTTTGGGATGCTATAGCTTATGGTTCCAGGTCACCTTTAATCTTCATCAGAGGTAACATGAACGCGCAGCGTTATATCCACGAAGTTCTAGAACCCCATCTTTTACCCTATCTTGACACCCTGGCAGATCCAACTTTCCAACAAGATAATGCCCGACCACATGTTGCAAGAGTCACAATAGACTTCTTTCAACATAATGATGTCACATTGTTACCATGGCCACCAAGATCTCCCGACTTATCCCCAATTGAGCACGTGTGGGATATGATGGGTAGGAGATTGCTCAATTTGCAACGTCCTCCTCAGACTCTAGAAGCACTTCGAGAGGAGTTGGTGGTTGCCTGGAATGAGATACCACAGGAGGACATTGACCACCTGATCAGAAACATGCCTAGGCGCGCTGGAGAATGCGTAGCACATCAGGGTGCATCCACACATTATTAAAGGTCAAAGGGCTTTAAAGCAGTGCAATCATTTTGAAATTTTTATCATTTACTTATTATGCTTCATCAAGTACTTATACAAAATTTTATTAAAATAAAACCATTTAAACTGGGTGTTCGGATTTATATGTCACTTAGTGTATTTAGCATTAATGATACAATATCAATATTACACAGTATATGACATAATATGTTATGCCAAGTCTACATATTTTTATACAAAGTTTTACTACTATGAATTCTGATTTTGAACTATTTTTTCAATTTCCGTTTGAACATTTTTAGACTGGCACACATCTTGATATCATTACTTAATTAATTAAATTCGTACCATCCTTTTTCAAATACGGAATGGATGTAAACAATCTATTTTAGCTATTATGAATTTGGTAAAGGATACCCCTTTATGATTGCTTAAAGAAAAAATTTAATGTGATATTTGAATTTCGTTGAGTACAGGTAATATTCAAAATTTCACTCACAAATGCAATTTTTTTCCAGCGTTTGGTAGTGAGCTGATTGGCTGTAGGCCAGGCGTGATTGAAACTAGCTTGCACTTATTACTGCAAGTGCCCAATTATATACCAGAACAGAAGAAGTTTGAGCTGGGAATGTTGGTGAGTACATTGTGTGGATAGGCGCTGGTTACAAATTTGTAAACCTACGTACAGGCTTCAAATGACCCGATACAAACAAACTGTCTTCAGATTCGAACTCCACGACCTCAAAAACATGCAGGGTGGCGCATCGAAAACGAAACATACGCATTTACTGGCAGCTCAGTTTTTTTTTGAAAAAACGCTCAGACGTGTCGATTTTGTTTTCGAGGGGGACACAAGTTTGGCAAAAAATCACGTTAACAGGTGCAGCCCCCTGGGCGGGGGTGACACCAACCCTAAAATCTTAAATGGAAAGGGAATTGAAAGACCTTTAAAATAAGGTATCACTCGGCCCCCCTTTCCATTTAAGATTTTGGGGGTGGTGTAACCCCCGCTTAGGGCGCTGCACGTGCTAACGTGTTTTTTGCCAAACTTGTGTCCCCCTCGAAAACAAAATCGACGGGTCTGAGCTTTTTTCAAAGAAAAAAACTGAGCTGCCAGTAAATGCGTTTGTTTCGTTTTCGATGCGCCACCCTGTATACATCTCATTCGAAAGTATTAATAACTGTTCTGCTATTAATAGCACGAAACACAATCCTGAGTAACTCCTGATGAAACATGCTGTGCATCAGTAGTTCCTTTGTATGTTTATACCTGATCACTTACTATGTAAACTTCGAAATTTTACCTAAACTTGACCTTGAACTGACCTTCACTCCAGTTAGGAGAAGGTTCCTATAAGTAAATCGTTTAGTTATATTATATACGTACATGAAAAATTAGATTTTCTTTTCTTTTTCGATCAAAACTGTACCTTAGGCTACAAAGCAGCCCTATGGGTCATCTGCTTTTATATTACACTTCCGGTTAATATAACTTAATTAAACGCTCGTAATTGAGTAATTTGTTTGAATTACAGGTACTTATGCTGCTTATAAACTTAATTCAAGACCAGGAAAGAAATAAAAAGCTTCTTATGGATGCCAAAGCACCTTCTAAGCTGGAAAGCATATATTCGCGTAAGTCATTAAAAATAACATTACATTGAGTACTTTTGCAAAAAATTTTACTTTTTACTTTTTTCAAAGGACACTTCATAATTTCATTGAACTACAGAGACATCATATACACCTTAGGAAAAACCATTGTTATACATGGGAAATCATTTCTTGGCAACAGCGCATCGGCTCGTCTACTTTCATCGCTATTCGTACATATTTCCTACCGTTAACGCGCGTGCCGTTGTCAAGTGCGATAAGGGATTCATGACTCACTCTGCGGTTGGGTTTTGTGTAGGAAAGTTGCGTCTTTATTTAATCCAAAATATCTTAAAAATGTACTCCCAAGAAGAAAAGTTTCAAATGATAGAATGGTACATCCAGAATAATTCAGCACGCGCGGTTGTTGAATTATTTGCGGTACGCTTCCCAGATCGGCCAATTCCGTCTCACGCAACGGTTATAAATACCGACGAAAAATTCAAGAGGGTGGGCTGCTTACATAAGTGCCATAGCTGCATGCACCCTGAAGGTTGGAAACCAAAAATTAGCGAGAAAAAATAGCCGATCTCACACCCAGAACAACAAGAAATATTTTGCATCGCAACGGCTATCATAGCTTCAAGGTTGGAACGGTTCAAGAAATATTTCCTTTAGACAAATACCGTCGAATGGACTTTTGTGAAACGGTCATGGAGAAGGCGAACAGGGATGGAAGTTTTATTGGTAACATTTTGTTTACTGATGAATCCACATTCCCTCTCCACGGTCATCACAATCCTTCAGTCGTTCGGTATTGGTCTCGGGAAAATAAACACCTCAGTATTCCCGTCCGCACGCAGTATCCACAGAAACTGAATGTGTGGGCAGGAATTCTAGGTAATAACATTATCGGACCGTTCTTTATTGATGGAACTCTTACGGCTGCAAAATATTTGGCGTTACTACAGACGCAGATTGTTCCTGCAATTAGGCAGCTTGGCATTGATCTCGCTAATATTTGGTTCCAACAAGATGGATGCCCGGCGCATAATGCGGCGATCGTACACACTTACCTTGAAAGTGTGTTCGGCCACCGGATTATGGGCGGTAACAATAAAATGGCCTCCTAGATCACCCGATCTAGCGCCCAATGATTTTTTCTTGCGGGGTTATGTGAAAAGTACTGTTTACACTTTCAATGAGAGAGCAGACAATTTGCATAACCTACAGGTGAAAATCGTTGAAGCGCTCGGGCAAATACAGCCTTCTACCCTCTTGAGAGTTCGTCAGGAGTTTTATAACCGCCTGACATACTGTTCATTGAATGAAGGAGACGTTTTTGAGCCCCAGCTGTGAAGGACCATTTGAAACGTTTGTGTTCATTATTGCGTTTTATTTTTGAGAACTTATTTTTTTGTTAGAATATCTTTTTATTTTCGTTACACATTTTTAAGAGTGTACTATTTTTTGTTAGAGTGGGTATCTTCTTATTTTTGTTATGAGACGCAACCTTTATTGCTACAAAACCGATTGTCCATTCATAAAAATAAGTAGAGTGATTTAGGTGATTTCGTGAAATCTCGAAATCACCGAGATCGGTTCACACGACTTAAAATCGAACTGGTGCGTAATGCGCGCATCTACTGTACTTCTTCTATCGACTCAACGCATACTGAAATTTGCAGCAGACCGCAGACCTGTATCACGAATGAGAATAATAGGCAGATACGCTGTGTTGCCAATTTGAGTAGAGCTTCCCGAATTGTGGGGAATTTAGAGTTAAGTGTTGATTCATTCAAGCTTTTAATCAGCATGGCCTAGACGTTAGAACTTCATAAAGATAACATTGAAGCTGAATGCTGCTGGAGTATAGTGTTTCGAATATTCAAAGCGGAGCGGGACACTATCCTCGTTCAATGGGTCATCAAGCAACAGTCTTTTCAACAAAGAAATTATTTTACGAAAATGCGTTATATTTTTACGATTTTGTCGTCACCAAATCTCTGTTTCTCAAAATATACGTCTATTGTAGAATTTTCAGCAAACTAAGCAAGAAACGTGACCTAGTATTTACTCAACATTACGGATTTCTCGAAATACATTAAAAAATGTGACCTAGATACCTAACTGCCCCAAGCTCTTTAAATATAACACCTTAAACCAGGGTTACCAGGTGCTCAGTCACGTTGATTGTCATGTTGTACTGCTCAAGTCAGCAAACAATCTGGCGTAATAAACGTTAGGAATCATCAGGTATTGCCAGATTCCCGAATACCGGGCACCATAGTACTCGTTATAGTTGTCCTTCAAAGTTGTCAAATCGCCCCTATGGCGCAAATTCGCCACACCAGGCAACTGTGCTATAAACAAACCCTGTTTATCACTACTATTTGATAGTCATATGGTAGTTGTAGCCCTATCTAGCGGTCCATGATTTCTCTCAATACTGTTGTATCTCTACTGGCAGCAAGAATAGGGATTACAAAATCATTTATACAACAATATACAAACATGAAAAATATGATTTGAACCATGAAACATTAATACAATTTTAATAGTTTGAACTTTTTTCATTTTTGGAATACTCTTATGTGGAATCCGCAGCTATTTTTCCCGAAATTTGGATAGACTTAGATTTCTTAGAAATATGACATATTGGTATCGGCAACTCTGCGAATGGGAGAAGAAAATCGCATTTGTTGAGCGCATCCGTCTAAGCAGAAGGCGCCAGCGCCCGTTCTGCCATCTCTCTTTTATCACTCTTCTACTTTACCCCGTTGTCCGTCACACTCCGACGCTGCCAGATACTACCTACATACTTTTGTATATTTCCATCTCTCTTCCTCATCATAATGTATAATAATGTTTTTTCCCAAGGTTATGAATCATTAGAATAATTTTTATATTCTTTTAGGTTACTTTGTATATCCTATCATGGTGATTAAAAATAGTTGATTAAGTTCTTTGATTGAAATAACTAGTAGGCACCACAAAAACAAAGGTACATTGTATTTGATGACTGTTAATTTTAGGGGAGGAAAGTGCCATAGAGGCATTGATAGCTCAATTTTACAACTGGGAGGCGTGTGCAAAGCTGGCTGAGAAAAAGACGAATGCCATTTTGGACGGCGAAAAGGATACCGAAGAAGACAGTACAAGCCAAGCCAAGAGTACTGAAGAGTTTATTGAAGATACTGTTGCAAAACGTAAGTGAGGGGTTACCCAAATTTGTAAATTCAAAATTTAATGCAAGCCTCTAGGAGTGAACGGTGTATCCTTGAAAATAATGAGGAAAGGCCCAAAAATTTGCATGACAAAAAATACTTTTTCCACCAAAATACTTATGTTTGCTTTTCGCCGTGTACATGCAGCCGTATGTTGAAAACCATTTTGATTTAACCCGGTGTTTCTTTCAGTGTTGCAGAAAGCTGGCACGCACATGGAATACACATTCCTCGCCTCTTACATTGGAATGCTGGTCGGATTCTTGATTATGGAGAATCCAGAGAGGCAGAGCTTCGTCAGGCAGTTCCTGAGAGGCAGTAATTTCTGCGATATGGTGGAATTGCTTAAGAAGTTTTTCAACTTTATGAATCTAACTGCCTCGGTAAGTTGTCTTGATCAAATTTTAATGTATCGCGAAAAACGGAAAGTGAAGAATGTCTTCTGAATATTATTGGTCTATTTTTTATTATGACACTTGCAGAAGGAGGGGGTCATTTAATTTTTTTTTGTTTTCTTTATACGGATATTGAAATGAAACTGGTTCTTTGAAATAAGTTTTTTGAAAACGATTTTATTATACTAGCTTTCCCAGTATGGTATTCTAGAGGCGGACATTTGTATGATATTATTTTTCAGACATAATTTCTAAATTTCTATAAAAGATTTAAGATGAAAAAGTTGATGTATTTTATCTCACTTCACAAATATTCAAGATACACACCAGTCAGTTACATATCGGCCACCCTGTATATAATATGCACATTTCGGCAAAATATGAACGATTTTTGCAATAGCCGATTAACTATACTATAACTATCTAAAACTGTAATGACTCATCGATGTTCACGTGAACATCACTTAACTACCAGTAGTCGGCTGTTCATAGGCGGGGTATGAATGGGTGAACTAGATTTGTCACATGCTTAATAAAGGGTGGATTGAAACATATTGTAAGTCAAAAATTTGGGAATTACCTTTATTCATCGTCGTTTCCACTTACATCTGGCAGTAATAAACTGTCGCTATCGCTTTCCTCGTTGAAATTGCTCTATGATGGTGTCGATGTGGTGGTCAAGCTGCCACATTTTTGTTTCTTCATTCACAACATGACGGATAGCATTCTGCCAAGCTTCGGGCGTTACTAGCTGTATGGAAGTCTCAAGTAAAACCTTAACGTCAGGTAATTTGAAGGTTGTGTTATGGCGCGCAATATAACCCTTCACTTGAGCCCAGATGAGCTCTATTGGGTTCAGTTCACAGTGGTAGGGCGGTAACCGCAGCACAGTGACACCACATTGACGGGCCATCTCATCAGTCACGTAACTAATGTTCGCAGGTTGGTGCTGTTTAATTTTTTCATACAATTCCGCTTTCACACATGAATCGGGATTCCTTTTTCGCGCAACCATTGCTACATGTCACTTTTTCGAGACCCCATAGTCGGTACACGTTCGGCTCGACGACTATGGTAGGAAGCATTATCCATGACGATCACAGAGTTGGGCTCAACTCGCTGAAGCACCCCTTGAAACCAGCTCTCGAAGCAGCTGGAATTCATTTCGTCATGGTAATCACCTCCTTTCTTAGAGACGAAAATCAAGTCACACTCTTCTAAAAAGCCACTACCGCTACCAATATGAGTTACGATCAATCTTTGACCTTTCCCTGACGGTCCACGAAGACCTGTTGACAAACCTTCAATGCTTGCTTGTCGGTTACTCACTACGTTTTTGTCTATCCAGGTTTTTTTAACTGTGTGACCTGCATTTACCAATGTCTCGTCCAAATAATAGATTTTTCTGCTTTGTCGCCTATATTCAATTATTTCGCGTAGGTATTTTCGACGCCAGGCGACTATTTCAGGTCTCTCTATCAATACTGACTTCCGATTACGCGTTTCGTAACGAAAATCAATTTCGTGCAGGGATTTCCTCATTACCTCGACGCTCATTTGGGGTATAATTTCATTTTCCTTGATCGCTGCATGTACAGCCTTTAGGGTTGGTATCTCATGTATCAAATATTCAATTCAATGAAACTTACTTATTGACTACAAATTTTGGCTTAACTTAGAAAAAACTTAATGCCATTTATTTGTTAACCACCGAATTTAAAAACGTTTCAGATTAGATTATAAAAATTGGTAAGATTGTGATGATTGTGGTCGATATAAAGCACTTAAAGCTGTAAACTATAAAGCCATTTAGACAAAAACCTATTGACTTTTGGACCATGGGTCATATGAACTTTTTGACTTGTTTTGACTCCCATATTACCTATTTTAATAATGACTACCACAACGTTTACACCCTGTAGAAAGAAAAATATCAAGCATAGATATGTGGATATGATTTGCGGATTTTTTTTTTGACGGTGCCCCCCCCCTTCCATTTCGAGCTGGGTATCCAGATTATGTACAGAAAAAAGTTGAGTAACCGATACGCCACCTTTTGAAATATGGATACCGATCGATTATCGGTATCGGCAAAAATCGGTCGATCTCTACTTACAGTTTTTCTTTCCAGACGGAAGCGTCGAGCGTGTGCGCTATCAAAGCGACCGAAAAGGTGATCAAATTTTTGGAAGAATGTGATAAGCCGATCCCCGGTGATCAAGTACCTGTAGCGGAGCCTTTCGAAAAGTCAAACTTTTCCGACACCGCGGGCATCGATTTGAGCTATCAGCTGGTACCGTAAACTTACTGTACATATAATTCCAGTGGACAAGTAAGAAAGGAATGCCTTGGCGTGTTTTGAAATCGTGGAATAATCGTATGATGCTATGTCAATTTCGGAGTCAAAGAAACGTCTCTTGATCATGGTTGATCGATCTTCTTTAGCTTGACCGTAGAATGAAAAAATGGTGCTTTGAAAAGGTGCAGTTCAGCCGAAACGTTAATAAATAGTTCCAAAATAAACTTTCGGAAAATTAAACATTTTGACTTGATGTTTTCATCAGGTATATGTATTATCAAGAAACATATAGATCTGATTGTGGATTTGTGTGCAATTGTCAGCAGGGCAATCACAAAATCTTACAAACCTATTCAGTCTTTTCTCGTTCGTTAATTTGGTGACCCGAAATTTATGGCAGGCTTCATATAGTTTTGGGTGCTGGTAATGACAAAGCTACTATGAGTAGCAGCAGTGAGACGCCTTTTGTGCTTACCAGCCGTGTCAAGAAAAGTTCCTAAAACGTCAAGGCACTCTGAGCGAAAGAAATGGCTCTGATTTGAGCTAAAGGCAGTTGTATATCTCATCTCGTACTGTTACATTACCTTGAAGCTATATAATAAAATAGAGAGGGTGATGTAAAGATTTATGTTCAGATTATTAGTATTGTGTTTAGCGACGCGAGAGATGCGTATCAAAACCGAAACCAAATGAACAGTAACGTTTGTGATGGAAACATCATCGTGGTTGAAAAGTCAGTATCCAAAGGAACATTTGATCACTATTTTTTCTGGTGTACTTATGAAGTTTTGGAGTTGGTGTGAGTAAATAATCGGAGTGATTCTCATTTTATTTCCGTAATCAGCTATTATATTTCACTATTTTTTTATCTCCTCCTTGAAACAATAAATCGCTGAAACCAGAAAGAAAGTAAAAGTCTGAAACCAGAAAGAAAGTAAAAGTCTAATCATATTAAATAATTATAGTCTGGTTTTATTGCTGCAAGGGAGTATTCAAAACATGATCGTATAAAATGGGTACATCAATTTTTGCAGGAAAACTTTTTATTCGATAACAAAGAATGAGAAAATGTGTTTTTTGAGATTCAATCGAAAGTGCTGGCAGGAACGAAAAAAACTCTTCGTATAAGATTTTTAGGTATTTCTGAAGCCGATAAAATGAGACCACACAAGCAAAAAAGTTATTACCGAAAACAGAGGCAAACTGCAGGTTTTGGCACTTGTTGGTAATGCGACGATGGTTTCTCGTAGTTACTTGAAAATTCGTAGGATTCATACTTCTAAATAACCACAACAAAATTGGAGTCGATTGGTTTTTGAGAATCTCTAACAGCTGTTTTCCGGCCGCCACTACTAGTTTATTGAGCAATATACAGGGTTAGTTCAAAGGGCATTTTATAGCAAAATACACTAGTTTACTTTGCCGATATGAATCGCAAACCATTCCGGAAAACAAATGTTATTTTTATGCAAAAAAGGATGGGTTACGATTTTTCTTCTAAACAACAAACTCAAACATTTCGTAATTGTGAGTAATTCGCAACTAAAGATGATAGACGCATCCGTTTTGTTTTAAAATTTGTATAGTAATGTATGTTTTTCAATATCGTAGCGCATTTGTTCAGTTACTCACAAATACGAAATTTTTGAATTCATTTAGAAGAAAAAACGTAACCTTTGTGTTTCGCTTAAAAATAGTATTTATTTTTCGGAACGGTTTGTGATTCATATCGGTAAGGTAAACACGTGTATTTTGCTATAAAATTCTCTTTGAATGAACACTGTATGTTACTCAATAAACTAGTAGTGATGGCCGAAAAACAGGTGTTTTGGGATAAACAATTAGAAATTCTCAAAAACTACTTGACCAATATACTCCAATTTTGTTGTTATTTAGGACTACGGATTTGAAGAATTTCAAGTAGTTGCGTCCAATTTTCGACTTATTACCAACAAGTGCCAAAACCTGCATTTTGCCTCGTTTTTCGGCCATGACATTTTTGCTATTAGTCGGATCTTTTTACGTCTGGTCTCATTTTGTAGGTCTCATAAATACCTGAAATCTTATTCGATTGAATCCCAAAAAACACATTTTGTCATTCTTTGATGTCCAATAAGAGGTTCTCCCACAAAAATTACGTCCATGTTTTAAATACCCCCTTGAACAATTTGCATCAATAAAACCAGATTCTACAATTATTTCTGGGAAATTTGCTAATATGATTAGACTATAATGAGAGCTTCTTGGTTTTTTTCTGAATTTTTTCAAATTGAAATCGATGATTGATCTATCTTGGTTTTGGTATCTTTGCATCAATTTTTAGGACTCTAAACCCTGCGGTTATGACCAGTGCCATAAATATTTGACACTTGTGTAGCTGGTCTAAAAAAATGCCTCAAATAATAACCTATCTGATTTAGGTATCCCTGTATCGTGTTATGATTTATTTACCGTCTTTTTTTATACATGCACCACAAAGTTGTGATTTTTCTACCCTGGTTGTATTCTCTTGATTTTCCATGGATTTAGAGTTAATTTTCCAGTTTGCAAACAAAAAAACCTGAAACAAATGGTTACTGACTTTCAGCCTAGAATATTTGAGATGTGTATAAGGAAATTACATTCCACCTGTGTTTAAACAGAATTCACCCCTTCATTTTAGCTCAACCAAAGGTTCATGCGGAAAACGTTTCCATTTATATACAGGATGTTTGAGAAATTCTGCACTGATGCATATCCTTTCAAGTGCTGACTTACTTGGAGTCCAAGCAGGATGTAACACTGCAAAATATACTAAATCTATTTTGGAATTTTTCTTTTTAACTCGCACGAAGAATGTCATCCAGCCTCATGGTTTCAAACACTCTGTATATGTATTCTCTTGAACGTGAATATGATGGTTTTCACTGACTGTTATTTTCACTTTGTATTTGTATCTTTTTGCTCTTATTATATTTTATAAGTGTTGTACATACTTTATAATTATTTTTTATCACTCGTACTGTATATTTTTAATGTTTATTTATTTTGAAGAAAGTACATGTTAAAATACGAGGAATGTTTAAAAGTGTAAATACAGATAAATACGGTTTTTAGAAAATGTCTTTTATTACCCACCGCAGCTGATCAAAAAGTGGTAAGTAAATGTGTAAACCCCACCTCCCTAGTCTGTGCATATTCCAAATCCAGATTCGTTAAGAAAAATACCTCTACTTGTCTTCACACAGGTAAGGAATCAAACGTGTTGACCCATCAGACTTGGGGGCAAAAAAGTTGGATTTTTAGTTAGGTAATAAGAAATGAAGAAATAATAGCAGATCGAATGAATACCTATTTCATAGAAAGTGTCAACCACATTGTAAAATCAAAAAAATGTCCCATTAGCTCAGATTATAATACATCATTCAGTGAGTTTAGAACAATAAACATTAATCGTCTCAAGATTATATCAAAAATTAAATCAAATCAAAATAAGAGTGAGATGTTGTCTAAAAGTGTGCTTAATGAATGTTTTGATATTATTGGAGCAAGAATATTAATCCTGATAAATTATTGTTTAAAATATGGCGAATTTTTAACAAAACTGAAGTGTTCTACCATAACTCCTGTTTCTAAAGTTAAGACCACCAATATGCGGCCAATAAATGTTCTGCCATATCTTGAAAAGTTTTTGAAGAAATTATTTACGAAAATATCGAATTTATTTTGGGAAATTTCAAGCTGGATTCAGGAAGAAACACTACTGAAACGACAACACAAATGGTTTTAGAGGACTGGAGAAGATGCAGAGACAATCGGAAACATACAGTAACAGTGTTTTTGGACTTCAAAATGGCATTTGAGACTATTGACAGGGATAAATTGCTTACAAAATTGCATCACTACGGATTTAAAGGATCTGTATTCAAAATTCTACAAAACTATTTAATTGACAGAAGTCAAAAAACCAGAATAGGATCTACATTATCAAGATAAAAAAATATTTGTTGGTATACCACAAGGTAGTAAACTAGGTCCACTACTATTTATTTTATACATTAATGACATTTGTAATACTTTAGATTATTGTAAACTTCAGATATTTTCAGACGATACATTAATATACATATCAGATGAAAATATAGACACTGCTTTAAAAATGCTAAATTTTGACTTAGCACAAATCGTAAATTGTTTAAATCTAAATAAACTAAAATTGAATACTTCTAAAACAAAATCTATGCTAATAGGGAAATACCTAAATGAAAATACTATCACAGTTAGGATAAATGGAGAAATAATTGAAAATGTTGAATCAATTAAATATTTAGGTATATATATATATATATATATATATATATATATTGATAGTAAACTAAAGTTTGAGGATCACTATGAATAAATTATTTCAAAAACTGCCAAAAAAACAAATTACTTTAATATGACTTTTCATAGTCTTGGTTCCTAGTTCAAGAAAATAGTTTAGTTATTCTACCGCATTTACTAAGACCGAAACACATCAACAAAGCTTCTGGTCCGGACTGGATTCTCGTCGTTATATCGAAGAGGCGTGCGGCGGAGCTTGCTCGATTTCTTTCGCGTCTCTTCCAGCTATCTTATGAATCCTGCACCTTCCCAGAAAACTGGGAATTTGCTCATGTCCAACCTATCCCAAAAAAGGGATCTAAGACCGACCCCTACACCCACAGGCCTATAGTTCTGCTCTCTGTTATAAGTAAAAAAAAACGTAGCGAATCTAAAATAAATCGCATTGCTTCGATACGGGCATATCAATAAATTCATATAATTTGACTGAATCGCCTCGAACAGCGCTAGCCTCCACCTCCTTCCCGCGCCCCGCACCTCCAAAAGCTAGCCAGTGTGTCCAGGCGATGTATTCTCGGTTTTATGGCTCTTAAACGACCATCGATAAAAAATGTAAACATTAAGTTTGTCTTGAACTATAATTTAATCTTGTAGATTATCTTAATGTAATATTTAATCAATCCAAAATTAATCATGCTGCTCTATTTGAACCCAGTGTGAATAGCTCCAAAGAAATAAAGCAACAGAGACCATCCGATGATAATTGTTTTGGTAATAGGTGGAGAAATAAAATATCTTGATTGTTGTATTTTTATAATAATGTAAATTTTCTATATTCTAATTATTTACATATCGAGTATTTTCTATTGCTTCATTTGGGATTCTGCTGAGATGCCTTTGGTGATTAGTTGTTCCATGATTATACTCGTAACACATATCAGCAACCTGTAACAAATACATTTACGCCTACTGACGGGGTACAAAAAAATGAAGTAGAGTCATTTAAATATCTTGGTATATATATGTGGATAGTAAGCTACTGTTTCACGAACATTATGAATACATTATTTCAAAAATATCGAAAAAGATAAATTACTTCTATAGACTTTCCCATAATCCTATAATTCTTCCCCATTTTTTATATTGTCCAACCATCTTGTTTACAGCAAATGAAAACATATTTTCAAAATTACAAATTCTACAAAATAAAGCTATGAGAATCATTTTAAATAAAAACAAATATGCTAGGATTAAGTCTATGTTAGAAGAACTGCAGTGGTTGGATGTGAAAAATTTCATATATTATTTAGTTCTCGTTTTCATATTCAAATTAAAAAATCATTTATTACTACCACATCTAGAGAACTTCTCAAAATTGTTTTAGGTGATTAAAAAATCACGTTATGAATAATCAAAATACATAGTGACGTAATTTTAATTTTAATAGACAAGAATGTAAAATTACAGAAAATGGATTGAAGAAAAATATGTGAATGAATCATTATACAAAATTGACATTGTAGCATTAATGCTAAATAAATCTTCAACAACAAGCATGAAAGCCACATACATGTTACACCACACTTGAAAGTTTTGGACTACCACAACACGTTAAGATCAGTATTTAGAAAACCATCGATTTTGTAAAAACCATTTCGAATCAAAAATGATCTAATACGAATCTTAAAATCATGTAAAGATCTTATATTTAGTAACAATTTGATGAAAAATTTAATTACCCGGAACTTATTTCTGGGATTATATTCATCATTGAAGGTTTGATATAATAGATCTCCTTCAGTAATACATATACAGATTTGGCACAGTCTGCAGCTTCCATTCAATAAACACACGCTTGCAATCATCCTGATAGTACAAATGAATTAATTACTTTCAGTTACTGGCTGTTTGTATTTTTAAAAATGTACTTATTATTTCCAATTTCTTATCAATCCTAACTACGGAACCACTACTTATGCTAAATTTATTGTTCTGTGTCGAAGCAGGTGAGAAATCTGACGATCTCCACCTACTAAGAAGATCTTCATCCTGATCCCATAAGATCAAGATGAGAGGCCCCTACGCCTTTGGCTCATAACTATTTGACGTTCTACCTACAACCATGTCGGTCGTCCCATCTAGCAGTCGAAATACTAAGTATTTCACACAGCAGACCACCAATGGCTTTCTATGCATATACGAGGGCGGCCCGAAAAGTACTTAGCCTCATCGCCACTATCCTGTAGTACATTCTCGAAGACGGCTTCTGTCGAAATTTCAGCCCCATCGGACTCGTTTTGTTTTGACCGCGTGTGGAAGCGAATTTTAGGAAAATGGAAAAAGAGCAATACCGGTCGGTGATTCGATTTTTGAAACAGCGCTGTCTGCGGTTGGTCAATGTTACAGAAACGAAAAACAAACATATCCATTTAAAAATTCAATGTTACCTTTTATTGCACGCTTCTTCAAGAACTTCTACAATCTCTGGCGGTTGCGGGTTCAGACGTTTCATTCAGTGTCGGTATGCCAAGGGTACAACTCAGTGGTGCATAGTACGGGGCAAATAGCGTCGAATATTGCTGAGCGGATGGTGCGAAGTAATGAGAATGGAATAAGCTTTGCCTTTGAGCCATTTTCAACCTGGAAAAGAACAGGATAAGCATAATCCAAGTCAATATATTGTGACAAATAGTACTGTTGGCGCCATCTGTTGGGCGAGTCTCCTACTCGCCAGAGCTACATGGCCGATCTCTACTTCTACGCGAACCACGACCGCACAAGCCGCTTGGCGTGACAGTGGTTCGCCTTCTAGATCGACCCGAAGTGACCTCCAATATTCTAGATGTCGCTTTGTGGTTCACCAGACCTTTCTCGAAGCAGCAATGAGGACTATATACAGGGTGGCGCATCGAAAACGAAACAGACGCAGCTCAGTTTTTTTTTTTAGAAACGCTCAGACCCGTCGATGTTGTTTTCGAGGGGGAGACAAGTTTGGCAGAAAAATCACGTTAGCACGTGCAGCCCCCTGGGCGGGAGTGACACCAACCCTAAAATCTTAAATGGAAAGGGGGGTCGAGTGATACCTTATTTTAAAGGTCTTTCAATTCCCTTTATAATGATGTAAAATACATGAGCTTCAGTTCAGTAGTTTTGAAGATTTATTGATTTAAAGCTTAAAATAAACTTTAATAGGTACAGCAGATTAGTTTGTACTACTTTCAGAAGAAATTTGACTATAAAAAACACAACATTGAAAATCCGATAATAATAATAATAATAATAATATTTATTCGCCAAAATACAAAAAATGGGCAAATAAATATGAAAAAACCACAGAAGGCATCGCCTGTGTGTGGTTTATATCTTAATAACTAACAATCAATCATATATGTGTATAACAATTATTGTTAAATCTAAAAGGTATTAATGTAATTGGAATTTTGTAGTTTTAGTTTTCTATATAATTATGTATAGTCATTCGCTGCACATTACTAACCCAGACTTTCAATTTTCTTCTAAATTTTTTTCCAAAATTAAGTATCTTTATTTCGTTTGGTACTACATTATATAATTTAGCTGCTAAGAATTTAAATGATTTTTTGAATAATGTTTTGTGTGGTCTTTGGATATTAGCTGAGCCTATTCGAAATCGTGTGTTATGCTCGTGTTTATAGGATTTTTTCTTTTTATTACAATACTTATGGTATAAGGTGGTGGCATGTAAGAAATAAAGTTGTCTTGTATCAAGTATCCCTGTTTCTTGATATAAGTTGTTCGTTGGATATAATCTTGGCTTATGGAAAATGGCTTTCAAAACAGTTTTTTGTGCTATATTCAGGTCAGAAATATATGTCTTGCAGGCGGCACCCCAGGCTGTGATGCCGTATATTATATGGGTTTCAACTAAGGCATGGTATAGGATTCGCAGATAACTTTCTGTAAGAATGTTAGCAAGCATTTTGAGTTTATAGGCAACATTTCTAATTTTTTTGATAACATATTTAATATGGTTATCCCACCTTAGATGTGAGTCTATAAATATTCCAAGATATTTCAAAGTGTTAACTCTATCGATTTTGGTCTTTTGGCCATGATAATTAACGGAAATTTGTTCGAAGGTAGGTAAAAATTTTGAATAGGATGTAAATGTAATAAATTTTGTTTTTTTGAAGTTAACTGTTAAAATTTTAGTATCAAACCAGTCAATGATCCTTATAAAATCGTTTTCAGCTATTTGCTTCAGTGTGCTCCAGTCATCAGCTTTATATAATACGAGGGTGTCATCTGCAAAACATATAATCTTTCCAGAACTGTTAATTTTGAATAAGTCATTTAAGTAGAGACTAAATAATAGTGGGCCTAGTACCTACTGTTCCTTGAGGCACACCACACTTGATGTACATTTTTTTACTGTAAGTGTTAGTGATTTTGACAGTCTGTGCCCGACTTGAAAGGTAATTTTTTAAAAGGATTTGTGACGCTCCCCTAAATCCCAATCTTTCCATAACTTTCAGAAGTTCGACATGGTTAACCGTATCAAAGGCATTTTTTAGATCAACAAAGATACCAATAGTAGGTATCTTTTTATTGACATTAGAGTTAATTTCATCCATTGCAGCCAAAATTGCATCTGTAGTAGATTTTCCTTTTCTAAATCCATATTGGTCAGAACATATAATTTTGTTTTTGTCCAAAAATTGTAATATCCTTTTTTGTAGTAATTTTTCGAAAATTTTGGCTATATTCGATAGTACTGATATGGGTCTATAATTTGATGTTTCCATTCTATCACCGCTTTTATAAACAGGAGTAATAACAGTTGTTTTAAATGCATCAGGACAAATTCCAGATTGGAAACACCAATTAATGACGTAAGAAAGTGGTTCGGCTAAGTCGTAGGCTATTATTTTTAAATGCTCAGCTTTGATACCATCCACACCAGGACTTTTTTTGGTTTTAAGTGATAGGACAGCTTCTTGTACTTCAATCGGACTAACGCTTTCTAAAAAGAATGAATTGGGAAGTTGGGTTTTTGTGAACTTTTCGTTCGAAACCATTTTTTTAATACTGGATGCTAAATTTTCTCCAACATTAGTGAAAATCACGATTCTTAATTTCATCAATATTTGGCTTTTCTTGAACGTCTTTGTTAGTTAAGTGATCGACAACTGACCACAGTTTTCTTGGATCAGATTTGGCATCTTGTAATTTTTTTAGATAGAATTGCTTCTCTAACTAGATTGATAAAAATATTTTTATATTCTTTATATTTATGGGAGGTATCTGCACATGGCGATGCTTTCATTATTTTGTATAGTTCCTCTTTTTTGTTGGCAGACTTTATCAAACCTTTAGTTATCCAGGGATTCCTGCTCCTGTCAAAATGTTTAATTTTAACTCTGTTTGTACTACATTCAATTAAATATTTTATGCGTTCAATGAGTGTGTTTGCAGCATCATTAACATTCGTTGCACAGTACACTGCTGTCCACGATTCTAATTTGATATTTGCAAGTAGTTTTTTATTATCCACAAAACACCTACATTTCACTGTTTCATTATTGGAGATGGATCTACTTTTATTTTTTTCTGGTGATGATATAAGCATTACAGTGGGTAAATGATCGGTAATATGGTTTTCAACAATTAACGGTATGTACCGAAAGAAATTTGAAAAATTTTTGATGAAACAATGATCAATGCAAGAACTGGAACTATTATTGACTACTCTTGTTGGTAAATTTATATTTGATATGAATCCATTGCTCTGCATTACATAAGGAACGAAGCAATAGAAGTGGGGGTTTTAGGGCAAGTTTATGTAGATCCTACGTTAAATACCAGCAAATTGGTGTGTGGTGTTAGTCGACGTACTGTCCAACGGATTCTAAAGGCCCATAGTTTTCATTCGTATAAAATTCACCTGGTACAAGAACTTAATGAAGACGATTTTGATCGGCGATTACAATTTTGTGAAGATATGAGTGAACGAATTATAAACGATGAACATTTTCTATTCAACACTTGCTTTTCCGACGAATGTTCCTTTTTCTTAAATGGCGTAGTAAAGCGACATAACTGCCGATATTGGTCCGATTCTAATCCCAGAATTTATCATGAGGTTCATACACAGCAGCCACAAAAATTAAATGTTTGGGCTGGTATTTTTGGCGATGGTTTAGTTGGTCCTTTTTTCTTACCTGGAAATTTGACCGGTGAAATGTATTTGGAATTACTGGAAGACGCCATAGATCCTGCATTAACAGCCATAATTGAAAATCAGAATGATCGGCGGTACATTGCGGATAGGTTGATGCTCCGACAGGATGGTGCCCCACCACATTACGCATTTCGTGTTCGACAATATTTAGATCAGACGTTTCCAGATCGATGGATTGGTAGAAGAGGTGCCATTGAATGGCCCCCAAGATCGCCGGATTTATCACCTTTGGATTTCTTTATGTGGGGTCATTTAAAAAGCAAAATCTATGCTACTCAGCCAACATCACAACACAAGACACAAAAAAAATCTGAGCTGCCAGTAAATGCGTCTGATTCGTTTTCGATGCTCCACCCTGTATAACTCGGCGGCCGCGAGATGGAAGCAGAGTACTGAATACGGTAGAGTAGCAGAGCGAAGTGGAGTCTAGTGCAGTCAATGGCGACATAAGAATTAGTCAGACATGAATAGTGCTGTACATAAATGCTCTATCAAGTCAAATAAATTAGTGCATTTCTTTTTGTGGAACCCAGTGTTTTAATCCACACCTAAAAGAACCCAGAAAAAAATGAAAACGATAATTGATTTGTCAAAGATGTTCTGTTAAGGATCGGTCGATGTTGAAATCGAATATAACAAGCTGTGTGTAAGGTATTGACATTATTTTTTATTTGAAAGAGTAATTTATAGCTTTGTCCATGATTATGTATGGAATACTCGATGCCTTACGTCTCACAGGTCTGCCTAAATTTGAGTGATGACCAATTCATTTTTTAGACTGTTAAATGTTCTATCACAAAGTAAGCTTCGCCTTGGAGATGAGACTGATTCGAATCCCCTAAATTAATGGAATTATAGAACAAATATTTAGAAAATTGTTCATATTTTCCAAATCCTGCTCACGCTGTAATAAAATACTATTGTATTAACCTTGTGGTGAGTTGCTTCTTCCATTTCGTCCGCCTGTTCTGGAACCACGTCTTGATTTGAACTTCCGTGAGGTTGAGTGCTTTGCTCAATTCCATACGTTTACTGACACTCAAGTATTTGTCCAGCTTGAACTCCGTTTCCAGTCGTTCCAGTTGCTTTGCACTGTATGCTTGTCGTGGTTTTCGATCTAGGCCAGGCTTGCGCGATCTTCTGTTCGATGTTTTTGGAGCTGAAACATAAATTAATACCATTTTTTCCATGTTGAAATAAGAGGTTATGGAAACTTATAAATCTCGTTGAAAATAAAATCGTATATTGGTTCGTAAGGGGCCGTTCAAGTATTACGTAAGCAGATTTCTTACAATTATTTACCCCCCCCCCCCCAACCCCCTTGGCCAGTATCTTTAGATGTTCAGCTCTAATTTCGTCAACTGTTTGTTTGATATTATTTGCTAAGTTTCCTCCTATATTCGTGAAAAATTCTATGAACTCATCACATATTTGCTGAATATTGTCTGTTTTCTGTCCTGTTTTTGTTTTTATTTCATTAATATTGTTTTTTGAATAGGATGACTTATTGAATATATCATTGACAGTGGACCATAGGTGTCTAGAGTCATGTGAATTATTATTCAATTGTTTTATATAGTAATTTTTTTTTTGCTTTTCTCAAAAGTTCTATAAATTTGTTTTTATACTGATTATAATGATCTATATTTTCTTTCGTGGGTAAATATTTCATGATTTTATACAGTCTTTCTTTTTCGTTTGCAGATTTTATTAGTCCTTTGGTCATCCAATCATTTCTGATTTTTTCCTTGTGACTTATTTTAACCTTATTAGTACTAACTTCAATTACTTTTTGAATTTTGTGTATTAATGAATTTGTAGCTTCGTCTAAAGAATTTGTTAAAAAAAATTCGTCCCACGATTCCGTTTCTGCGTTAAATATTAATTTTGAGTTGTCAGTGAAATATTTGTATTCAAGGTTTCTTTCATTTTTTGCCCTTGGGCAGTTCTGGTTTTTATTTTGTGAAGATATCAATAATACAGTGGAATAATGGTCTGTAATATCGGTTTCATAGATAATAGGCATGCAAGAAAAAATATTGGAAATATCCTTTATAAAGCAGTGATCAATGCAGGTTTTACTGGTGGGTCGTGTTACTTTATTTATGTATGATAAAAAACCATTACTTGATAAAATGTTTAAATATTCTTTCACCATAGAATTTTCCTCTAAAATGTTTATATTGATGTCGCCTATAAATATTTGATTATGAAGGTGATTGTTTTCATTGTTTTTTAATAGTTCATCTATGTCTCTTATAAATGTATGAGGATCTGAAGATGGTGGTCGGTAAACAATAAAGACCACACGTTTTGCATGTTCGACTTGATAGCCTTAATTTTACCATCGGACAAAAATAATCGTAGGGCATTTGCAGGAAATATTTCAGTGAAGCACTTAAGCGTAGAGCTAAAGTGACTGGAAGATTAAGAAATTGCCCTCCTTCATCCAAAACCAAGTCATCAACTGTTTGTTTTACTTTTACAGGTGGTGGAAGAAACCTATTGTCTAGTAATCTAAATAGGCCACTTCTTGGACGACTGCATTCTGAATTTACACATTTTACAATTTGAAGCAAGTATTGGCTCTCACGCACATGTTCTGAATACCACTTAATGTCTGGAAAATCAGGAAGATCTTGTTCACCTGCCCCAACATATTTTGCATTAACATTATAGCCATCAATTTCCATTGAACTCCATACTTCAGCTAATACATTTCATGCAAATTTGAGATTAGATCTTTCTAAATGTTCATCAATTGTAACGCCACGTTCATCCAAATGAGACCCAAAATGGTCATAAGGCAATATTAAACCAGCCAGGTCCCGACTAAGAGAAGCCATTCTGCGCTCTACTCTGTTATACGCACTTCTTCCAGGAGCATTGGTAGCTAAAAACAATGCATCGAGATCATGTCGCTCATAGCAAACCCTATGACTTTTTGATAATGTCGATTTTCATCTGGTCCTCCATCAACCGTCATGATTACCACGGGTTTTACTAGTCTATGGTCAGTTTTAGCTAATGGTCGAAACTCTTCAAGTTCGAGAAGCGTCTCGAAATCCTGAGCATGAGTATTAAGCCGGTCCCAGACACTACGTGCATTCGGCGAATGTGCGAACTTTCGGACTATGTACTACGCCTTCGGTCAGCTTCCTAGACGCTACGTTATTTGCAGAAATGCGTCCAATATCGAATATTTCCCGTAGAGCAACCAACACAAACGAACTAAGCGGAGCGCGACGCTAAACTTAAAAACACGTAAACAAATAGCCGTAGCGTCTGGGAGAAATGCCGAAGTTGACTACGCCGCACTCCGCCGCACTACGAGCTCCTTTGATTCGTGTCAGTTTACCGACAACCGCCGGGAAAATGACGTAGTACGAATCTTCGTCGAAGGTAGCCTCCCACACGCTACGCGCATAAGCTCGAATACAGAATATTCGCCGAATGCACGTAGTGTCTGGGACCGGCTTTAGCAGTAGACGAACTATGCTTTCCACTTCGAATAGCGATGTATGTTGGTCCAGAATATCCAACGGCTTGCGGTTGTCCTAGCATATTGGAAGTGACTTTGATACCCGCATAAACAGATGGTAATAATTTATGACGCTCAGCGATTACCCAATCGTGATCAGGCAATTTGATTCTATATTCCATGTGCATTAGAATAGGGACTCGAGCTTTATCATCTTGAGATATGATAAATACTTGATCTGGTCCAAGTATGGATGCTATGTTCTCTAAATAATGGATTAATGTTTCAGCGAACTTGCGATCTAAGTGGATCAGTTTGAGCCCGAATGAGCTTAACAGGGACTGTCGATACATGTCTTCGTCCCTCTGCAGAATTAGATTTTCTGGGAATCAAACGAAGATATGCCCCACTGCGACTAATGTCAAATCCTATTTTACGTAATTCTTGTGTGAGTTCATCAAGAGTTTTTACGCTGCGAATTGATTCCGTTCGTCTTCTATCATCTGCTGCACTCCCAAATAAAGCTATATCCGCGATTGTTTTCAATAGTGAATGTTGATTGCTTTCAAGATTAGGACGTCCCACTGAATCCCTCAGAGATAGTATTTTTTTTATTTCTGGATTTTCATGACAAATATCTTCTAACTTTCTTTTCATACCATCCCTGTGTTTCTTCTGGGCAGCTGCGTTTTGAACCTTCCTGTTTAAAGACTGTTTTGCTGTTTTTATTTCCTCGAGCAACTTAATGATCTGTTTATCAACTTCAGCACGGCTTGGCGTAGTATGTCTGGCAGAATACAAAGCATTCAGATTTTTTTCGAGTAGAGCAATCTTATTTTTCATAGCTTCCTGAGATGGTTTTGCTCTCTGTTTATCTGTATTTTCATTAATTTCGTATTACTGTTGTGATTCATTACCGGGTTTTATTTTATCTTCTTCCCCTTTTTTAATATTTGAAGCTGACTGTATAATTTGTGTTTTTTCTGCAGGTTTACAGGTTGCCTAAAAATAAAAATATTCTATGGCTTCTGCTAAAGATTCTCTTATTAAGCTACATAAATACAAAGTATGGCAATATATATGGTAAATACAAAACCCTATGGCTTTAAATCTAATATGTTTAAACGAGCAATTCGTTCCGGTCACAAAATACAAGGTGTTCGTTTTCTGTATATAAACTAACATCCTGTACTTTGTGACCAATTGACGGAATCAATCATAAGAAATAAATCTATAATATAATCAATATTACTTCTATACTTTGAGATAGGCCATAATATTTTCTAATCAATAAAGAGAAACTTTTTGGCGATTTCTAATATTTCTAGTACTCATAGGTACCTAAAATGATTTCGTCACTCACCTTGGAAAAAAAAAATTAGTTGATTGGATTTATTCTTAGTCGCCGCTTGCAATTCTTCTTCGATTCTCTTAGATACAATAATATCTAGTTCCTTGTCGGATTTTGCTTGTAATTTGTAATTTCGCGACACTTCGTTAACTAACTTTTGTACATTTTGTACTTTCTTACTTGTATGAGATTTTTTAAAACTTTCAAACAATTTTTGGTATAACTTGGATTTGTCTATGTGAAACGACATCTTATTTAAACATTAAACTTTGGCTAATGGAATCAATGGTAACACAAATGTTACCTTGCTTTACTATGCTTACAATACGTCTACTCGCTATAGTATCCAAACGAAACAATACAGTGATAGAGGAAATTTAGACAAGTGAACACCGCGCGGTAATTCCCCTACTCGGTTCTAAAGCGAGTAGGGGAATTACCGCGCGCTGTTCACTAAACGTATGCATTATTTGCGGGAATCCCCGAAAACGCGTTTCGTTTTCAAGCAAAGACAATGTGAGGGTTGCCATTCGTATAAAAAAGTAAATAACTACCGATGACGTAACCATCATCTAGACTCCCCTACCACCCATGTCATCCAAAATAAGCAAAGCAAAGACCCGCCCCGCCCCGCATAGTGCTCACGTAATACTTGAACGGCCCCTAAGGACGATTTGATAATTATATCGTAGATAAAAATAAACCAGGTTTCAGAAAAAATGTATACAGGGTGACTCTCCTGGCATATTTTTCGTATTTTCATCTATAGCTGTACAATACAGAGTGAACAAAAAAAGAAGTCAGAACAAAAGAAAACATTTTTTGATTATTTCCAAGTTTTAGTCACCTTAGGCAGTTTAAGGTAATTAAAAAAATGAAATCATCTTTTACCTTACCACTAATGACGCTAAGTTTTTATCTAATAAAAATAGTTTCATGCACTATTTTTTGATTGCACTTTATATTTCCTTTTAATTTACGTTCAATGATGTCTACATTTCCAGCAGCTTCTAAAAACGTTGCTAGTATTAATGTATGTAAATCTTCACTAATCTTGAAACGAAAAGTTTGAATGCATTACGCAGTAAAATTTAAGACTTGACGATTGATACCTTCCCCATTACCACCAGCGCGTGGGAAACAAAAGACGAAAAAACGTTTTTCACTAAGCTTAATATATTCAAACCAGAAGTATTTAACGTTTACGGCTTTAAACACCGAGTTAAACACCTGCTTCCAAGAGGCGCGACGTTTGTAATGTACACAGTCAGAAGTTTCTATTTGCTGGTGTATTTAGACGCAAGAAAAGGAATTTTAGACATTTTAACACCAGTGACTAGTGTGTTCTCAGAAACACGTGGGTGATATTATTCTTCTTTGCTCAGTACAGCTGTATTACTGCCTCTGGTACAGTTTTTACATGTCTTTAGATGCCATGCCATGTCCCAAAAAAATGAAAGTTCTTTTTTTTAAACGGATATCCTCTAAGTTTTTCTCATTTTCTCAAAAAATAAATATTATTGCGATGGTCAAACTTTGAATTTGAAATTGAATAGGAAAACTATGTATTGATTTCAAAATCTAATTCTTATTCGACAAATAAAACACTGCCTTATTTGTATCTTATATTTCTTAGATATTTATTATTAAAAGAACATTATATATATATATATATATATATATAATATATATATATATATATATATAATATATATATAATTGCATATATATAGGTGAAAAATTGAAACGTCCAGTAACATGGTGAGAGCTGGATACATGGTACAATGGTTATGAAATATGACAAGACAAGTTAAAGACAGATTAAAAATTATTTAGAAAACATTAGAGCATTACGTCGTGAAGCCACTTGATGATTGCACAAAATGGTGGTCATGGAATAATGAGTGAGATGAACCTTTGACAGAAGGCCGAAGGTTGTCAATGTCTGTGTTGAAAGATGGAACGAATTGTGGGCGTGTGCCAATACGTTGCCAAATCACTTCAGATGATGTGATTTTCAGAATGTTATGTAAGAAATTGTTAAACCGACCAGAGGCAGTTGAATAAACTATATTTTAATTAATGGGAATTTTAAATTAACAATTATTAATAAATCGTGAGAAGAGAATTATTAGATTTTGGGTGGAATGAAATTTGTTGGTGGAATCGGCCAAAACACAGATTATATTTATGGTTGTGAAAAAAAAAAGTACCCAACAAAAGGCGGAAGCTTTAATTTTTCACCTAACTGGTCTAGACGACAATGACCACGTCTCAAGTTATATATATATAACTTATCATAACTTTTTTGTGCTACACTGTATACAACAACTGACCGAAAAATCTTATTTTCTCGTATTTCCACAACAAAAAGGCTTTACTTATTAGAATAGTGCCTAAAGCCAATAGTTTTCGAGATATTTGTCTTTAAAAGTCCCAATGCATTATTTGAATCATGATGATAAAACATTCTTGTAACATAATAATCAAGTTGCTTTGGATAATATCTGAGTAGCGTTGCTATGGTTTCCAATGTTTATCATAATATTGCTTTAAACTTCTTGAATCATTTTAATAATTTAACATCATGGAGTAAGTATACGTTTGATGAATATTTTGATATGCATTTTAATGTACGGATTGGGCTCGTATTTGCAGGAGCATCATTTACAAAACGTCAATCAATTGTCCTCGTATCGCTAACGACATTGAATATGATAATAACCAAGCAATAAAACAGTCTCGTTATCTTCAATTAGCACCAGCGTTCTGGTATGGTGTCCTATTCTTTCCGCTAATTGCAGAATACACAGAGATTCTTAAATCTTTGTTTGGTCTGCGTTACAACCGACGTCGTAGAATTATGTTTAAGAGTTCTATGAAAATACGTGGCGGTCTGTTTACGCGGCAGTTTGACACCATAATGTCATAATCATCTGGTATAGCTCACGACTACTGGGTGGGCTACGATAGAAATTCTGTACCGCATTAAAAACCACAAAACGATACTTTCTAAAATTAAGCTTGCGCTTACATTATCTACGACCAGACGGAAAAGAGTACTTTAAGAAAAGGTTTTTCCGGTGTTTTTATGTCGTGGACTGAATCGTTTACAATTACAACCAGCCCTGCAGTAACTCATTTAATCAATAAAAAATAAATGTGATTGCAAAAATGGCCATCCTACAGAAAAGCTGATAAAAGTGCTGACCCAAGAGATATATAGAGAGATAGAAATGTCTGAATTTTATCTTATTCCATAAACATGGAGGCTTTATGGTAGAAACGATTTGTTGCTGAATGAAGTTTTCTTGGTGGCCATATTGAGCCAACTAACTTGCTCAATCCTGTGTGATAACCTGTCAAACTTGCGGCCGCCTTAATTGTATCGTTACGCACTTTGACAGTAAACTTATAACGCAAAGTAACTTTTCACTTGCCAAATAACATAACGACAGATTTAGATGGGTCAACGGTGAGTTGATGTGACAAAGATTCAGTGTGAAGTCTATACACTTCCGTATTAACCTCAATATTTGCAGCAGCTAAGCTGAGGTAATCGAAAGAAAATGTTATCTGTGTATCGTGGAACATTTATTCAAAACTTTGGTTGTACTAAAGGGTTGTCCAATAGGGACGCAGGAAAGTAAACGTCAATTTGACATAGACGCCATCTTTGTTTTCTGTCACCGACATGTCATTTTGTTAGTTGAATGTTTACCATTGATCGCTATGGAGTCGTATTCGATTGAAGACCTGGCCGGCCAAGGAGCGTTCGCACACCGGAAAATATTGCTGTTGTGAAGGAGAGTGTGAGAGACGATCCGAAACAATCAACAACGCGTCGATCCCACGAATTGGGCATTTCGAGAACGAGTTTTCTCCGCATTCTCCTCAAGGATTTGAATGTACACGCCTACAAGATCCAATTGACGCAAGAGCTGCGTCGGGCCGACCATTTTCGCGCCGAACGTTCTCAGATTGGCTCCTTGAACACCGCCAAATTGATGCCAATTTTTCATCAAAAATCATGTTCAGCGACGAAGCGCATTTCACTTAGAATGGGACGGTAAACAAGCAAAACTGCCGCATCTGGGCGAACGAAAATCCCCGTGAGTATCAAGAGCAGCCGATGCATCCTCAAAAAGTGACTGTGTGGTGTGCATTGTGGTCAAAAGGCATCATCGGACATTACTTTTTCGAAAATGCGGCCGGGGACGCCGTTACCGTCAATTCTGAGCGATATCACGTGATGATAGATGACTGTTTTTTGCCGCAACTTGAAGGAATGTTTATTTCCAACAAGACGGTGCAACATGCCACACAACCAACGTCAATATCCATCGATTGCAGTCCTTCGGTAATCGCGTGATTTCGCGCAGAGGAAATGTGCCATGGCCACCAAGATCGTGCGATTTGACTCCCTTGGACTTCTTTTTATGGGGACATTTGAAAAGCAAAGTCTACGTCAACAAACCAGCCACCCTCCAAGAACTCAAAAACAACATCATTGCCGAGATAAATGCCATAGAACCGACCATGTTGCAAAATGTCATTGAAAATTTCGACCATCGCGTGGACGTCTGTAAATCCAGTCGTGGTGAACATTTGAGCGATATTATTTTTCATACATAAATGGTATAAATCTTTCTTGTTTTAATATGCGTTTACTTTCCTGCGTCCGGTTTGGACAACCCCATAGAAGAATATATTTGGAAAAGTATAGGGCCCAAAACTGAACCTTGTGGCACACTACAACTAATCTTACGTACAGATGTTTCCACAAGTTAGGAACGATTGTATACATAACTGGTGAGTACTGAAATAACAGATCCGGAACATCCGGTAAAATGTAATATAAAGACTAAGAGTTGATGATTTAGAGTTTCGGAGTCTAGAAGAACTAAAGTTGTAGAATTTCATCTGTTACACCTAGTAGCGTAGTGGTACAACTGAAACCTTCCCGGAATCCTGGCTGGTATTGCGGCAGTATATTGAATTTTTTTAATTGGAGTTTAGCTGAAACTTTATTTCTTCTAGAACCTTCAATAATACCGGTAAAATTGAACAAGATCAAACAACACAGCCATATTGGCCTTCTATGGAACTGGAATAACTCTTGATGATTTGTTTCCATGTATAAATCAACCCCTGGTTTGTTTTTTGACATGTAGTTTTTTCTACACGATGTTAACTTAGCACTTAGTAGTACGTGTTGCCTAAACATCATGAGGCTTGTTATCAATCTTCGGCTTTGATGTGATGTAAAATTTGCTTCTGAGATGGCATTACTGGAGGTCTAAGCTGTAAAAGTTGTATGAGTTGATGATACCTAATTGCATTGGGTTCTTGTCTCAGATACACTTTTTCTTATCCATTCTGAAAATTACATATACAAATTTGCTGAATTTCAAAAATGAGAGAGATAAGAAATAATTATATTCACTGTACACTGTCAAATTACAAGTAATATATATATATATATATATATATATATATATATATATATACATGCTAACAGTAATTACACACAACGCGGGCGCGGTGATGATTTCCGCTTAATTCTCCTCAGTTTTTCGTAATTTATAACTTTGAACATAACCTCTCTTCAGAAAGCACAACATAAACGAGCACTGCCAATAGATATACTTCGCTGGCAGCATATTTAGTAATGATTTTCTCACACAGCAAATATCAGTGGTTTTATACACATGCAGACCAATACACATAATCATCCAGATGCGATCTTGCTATTCAACCCAACCATTTGGCCTCACAAAACATATGCAACCAATAATGCGTGTAGCTTAGTTGAGTGATTCCTCCTTAGATGGACGTTCACACCGATCCTAGTGAGCAAACGTGGAATGACTGTTAGTAGATAGGGTTTGTATGTTCTGGGACGCCCTTGAGCGCCGACCTTCGGTGCCAAACGACCTTGAGAGCTGACCTTCGGTGCCAACCTTGAAATGTAACCTTGAAACGAGACCTTGAGTTTCCGAGTGACCTTGAGTTTTTCGAGTGACCTTGAAGTATGACCTTGAGTTCCCGAGTGACCTTGAGTTTCCTAGTCACCTTGAAGCGTGACCTTGAGTTTCCGAGTGACCTTCAAGTGTGACCTTGAGTTTCCGAGTGACCTTGAAGTGTGACCTTGAACATATATGATCTCGATCACTCTCGACCTTGAGTGGGTGTGACCTTGTAGGAGTGAACGACCTTGAGATGTAGGTGGGATGACCTTGGAAATATACGCTTAAATTGTGGAACTCGCCGAGAGAAGTCAGTTCTGTAGTTGCAAGTGGCGCAAATGATACGGTACTAGTGGGATGTAGAATATAATATTGGCGAAGAAAAGTAGGTGTTTAGTCTGTCAAACGAAGAAACTATTGAAGCATGCAAAGGAGTTTCGCTTCATTCGTAGGTGGTGTTGTTGCGAGACATTTTTAGTTTATTGTTGGACGTGTACTCAACACCGCCCCCATAAAATAGGGTGTATCTTCGAAACGGATGACTCAATGTCACACTTCAAGGTCACTCGGAAACTCAAGGTCATCCTTCAAGGATAATCGAAAACTCAAGGTCACACTTCAAGGTCACTCGAAAAACTCAAGGTCACACTTCAAGGTCACTAAAAAAAATCAAGTGCACACTTCAAGGTCACTCGAAAAACTCAAGGTCACACTTCAAGGTCACTCGGAAACTCAAGGTCACGTTTAAACGTTACATTTCAAGGTTGGCACCGAAGGTCAGCTCTCAAGGTCGTTTGGCACCGAAGGTCGGCGCTCAAGGGCGTCCCAGAACATACAAACCCTATCTACTACTGTTTGCGCCCTAAAAACTACCTTGTTTGCAAGATGACATCTGACAGATGTTTTTGACGTTTTATAGGTTTTTACAAGATACCCATGACGATAGATGTCACCCACCTTGCCATCTCCTAAAATACAAAAGTCGGACCCGCCGCTGTACTTTTTAATTTCTTCTAGTTTCAGTCAATATTAAAACGAATATTGTTTTAACCAAATAAACTAGTTTAAACCAAAAAAACCTATTTTTCATTTTTTAAAGAAACCTGGATTTTTACTAATCTTGAAAACAACGTTATACGCCGTTGGTCATGGTTATAGACACGGAAAGCAAACAACTTTAGTTTATTCGTATTTTTATTGAATATCTTACCTTGAAGACCAAATATCTGCGCGGAGATTTTACCATCTGAGCTAGCAGACAACCAATCGCTGTACAGTAAGGACGAAGCAGCAGTCGGCTGTGAATATTGCACGTATGACGTTTCTGAGGAAGCGTCTTGGGTAGGTGAGACTTTTGCAGCTGCGATGTAATTGAGAAGTCCTGGGTCCGGGGGTAGCTGGGCCTCCACAGAGTATTGCTGGTATGCTGTGTTGCTTACGGCTTGGTAGATGTCATCTGAAAAGCGAACTTATGTCAGGTAGAAAGTGGTGCTTGGTTTGAAAAAAACCGGCATCCTTAAATCATCTTATACCTTTTGAGGCACTTTTGACGGATTTTTCAATTTTGGCACTGTACTGCTCAAAAACAAAGAGACTGTTCGTTTAAGTTCCCTGTTTTGATATCCTACTTTTTTGAGGGAATTTACGTGATCTGCAACTAAGTTATTTTGTTTGTCTCGATTTCAGTAAATTAGTGGTATATTAGTAGAGACATTGTTCGACTGATTGGCAGTTCCCTGCCTTATTTTTTCGTTATTTTTTTAGTTGCCACGCCATTTTGGATGTTTTTTTTTTGAGGGTATTTAGGTGACGACCAGTTGGGCAGGAAATACAAGTAATTATTAATTGGGAAATTGGCATATTTTTCTTACGCTTTAGTTAACTATTTTAACGGTAATCTCGAGCTTTCGGTTCTCTATGGAACCATCATCAGGAGCTGAAACATAAATATGAAGCATGCAACCAATACGGAAAGGATTTAAATTTTCGGACAACTTAGGCCCGTATCGTCAGTCGTCCCTACAATTGTAGGGCGCGTTTATGGCCTCCTTGATTGTCATACTCCTTTCCCTCCTTCAAAAATTTCTAGATTACACTTGTCCTGTGTCAGCGTCAGCGCTCTCCTATTGTGAAGATATGTTTTCCTTTTAAATTGTATGAAATTTCAGGCTGATAAAACATGATATAGCTCAAAAGCAAGCATAATTTGATGCAAATAGATGTTTGTGACATAACCTCAAAATAGAGTTCTGACACGGAGAAGTAGAAAACTATCACAATCAAGGAGGCCATAAAGGCGCCCTACAATTGTAGGGACGAGTGACGATACGGACCTTACTCGTAGCTGAGGTTGCAGCCAAATGGTGTTTCAAACGAAAACGCGGAGCACTTTTTGCAATTATAAAACCAAAAGGACGGACACAATGGTTTTTTTGATAACGACGGAAAACCATAGTCCCCGAACACATAAATTATCGAAATGCAATTTTTGGGGAAAAAACGGCAGAGTCCCTTCTAACCTCCTACATCTGTTTTACGTGGAGAAAATGAGCGAAACCGGAAGAGTGATGTGATAGATATAATATATATACGAGTATATTATATGCTAAATCGAATATGAATCTTTAGCTTATAGAGGCAGATTAAATGCATGTTTCAAATTTACCAAAAAATACATATGTCCCCGACCCTAAGGACAAACATTGCGTAACGCCTTAAAAAATAGGCAGGTATATTGGTATACTTGGCACAGTTTTTGTTTCTATCTATGTGTGGCCGTGTTTTCAACTATTAGTTTAAATTTTGTTGAGTTATTAGATAATCTAAATCTTCAGGAAAGGGTTTTATCTCTCCTGAAAAATTTTCCGACAGGGAGATTTTCTTCGGAAGGCGACGAATATATCTACACGATCCCTGAATTCGCTAATTTTATATAAGGTACCTGTACCAAATAAGGCCAAGCACCTAATAAGGCCATGCGTCGATTTTACAGAAACTATCAAAATGTAAAATTAAAGATTTCTGCAGTTTTACAAATTTATCGAGAGCAGTTAGCAGCCATAAATTCAGCAGCTGTGGGGCGACGCTAGATCGCGCAGTAGGACAGCGTCGGTTTTCAACATGTGCCTTATAAAATGTCTGCTTTAAATTTGTCTCCGTTTTTTGCATGTTGTCGGCTTCTTTTTGTGGAAGCTCTTGTTAATTCAATCAAGTAAAGATTGCATTCATATACTAGCGAAACCGCTGGCTTCCATATTCAACCTAATTCTAAAATCAGAGACATATCCAAATATCTGGAAGACCTCTAAAATATGTCCTATTCACAAAAGTGGAGATATCTCTGATATTTCCAACTATCGCCAAATAGCAATCCTGTGCAATTTCAGCAAGTTGTTTGAGATCATCGCTTATGAAACGGTTTATTGCTCGGTCAGTGGTGCACTCTCTATTAATCAGCATGGGTTTATGAGAGGCAGATCTACGGTCACCAACTTGGCTCTAATTACTCAGTACATTTCTGAAGTACTGGACGGTCAGGGACAAGTTGATGTCATCTACACAGATATTCAGAAGGCGTTTGATCAAGTTGATCATTATGCACTTCTGGATAAGCTTAAAACAGTGGGTATGTCTGATGCAATGCTGTCGCTCATGAATTCATATTTGAGGGATAGAAGGTTATTTATGGTGGTCATAGGTCGAGTTACTATCGAGCCACGTCCGGGGTACCTCAAGGGTCAAATCTAGGTCCATTATTGTTTTTAATATTTATTAATGACTTGTCTTTTGAACTGAGGTGTTTCCATTTGTTTTTCGCTGATGACCTTAAAATCTGCACGTCAGTCAAGACAGTCGAGGATTTCGTCATGGTGTTCACGAAACTGTCTCAGTCTTAATGTGTCGAAATGTAAAGTTATGACTTATACAAGAAAGTTTAACTATTTAATTTATGATAATTATAACATCAATGGTCAGGTTATAGACAGATGCACCTCTTACAGAGACCTTGGAGTTATTTTTGTTACCAAGGTAACGTTTACTGAGCATATACTCAATATCTCGTCGGCTGCCACTCGACTACTTGGTTTCTGTATCAGAAACTGGAAGGGTTTCTCCAATGTTGATACATTAATGACTTTATTTTTTACTTTTGACTGGAGCAAGTTGGAGTATGCGACTCCGATCTGGTCTCCTATATACCAAAATTCTGTCGTGATCCTTGAGGTCATTCAACGTAAAGCTTTAAAGTATTTTCACCTTAAATGCACAGGTTCTTATCCAGAAAGAGGTTGTGACCATAGTGCCCTATTAGAGATTTTCAATTTGGATTCACTGTCAACAAGACGAAACATATTTGCTTTGTCGTTTTTGTATGGCCTCATCACAATAAAATTGAGTGTCAAAATTTACTTGAAAAAATATGTTTCCGCGTTCCAAGGCTAGGGAGTCGACAACAAACGGCATTCTATTGTCAAGCTGGCCGTACAAATGTTATGACAAAATCGCCAATTAATCTCATGTTAGTGTTACTGAATCGTGTGATATTTACAGTGACAGTTGTGCATCGATTATTATTAACTGCTATAGATCATCCTATCTTATTTAGAATGTGTGATACTACTTATATAGATTTAAGTCCAAGAACCATGTCTCTTTAATTGTTATTTTTTTCAGCGTTTCCTGTAATTGGGTTTCACCTGTTGGAAATAAATAAATAAATAAAGTCTATAAGTGATATGCAGGTAGTTATTTGCTGTTGCCAGGTTTTGAATGTTTTCAATTTTGTAAATTGTATATTTAAGGTTATATGTGCGTAATAAAGCCATGTTAAACGGTTCCCAGAAGACTAAAGACGGAAACTGGTGCTGTTTCATATGCCATAAGGATGAAATACGTGACATTCGTCTGTGTGTATTATGCTTAAGATATGTCCTTGAGGAATGGGTAGGCTTGTGTAAGGTATCATTTGTTTGTCATCAATGCGAAGGCAAAAACACGTTGATTTTTTTACTTGAAATCTATCTGGATTTAAGAATTATTTATTGTTGTTAATTAGAAATATAACTTCGTTTATAAACAGTCTTGATTTATATTTTGAGCTGGCTTTATTAAAAATACCTGGGTTCCTAACAAGGCCAACGGTACCTAGTGTTTCAAAAAATATATATTTTTTTACATGAAAAGAAAAGTTCTCGGAGCCCTCCGATACAGCTTATTTATTGAACATACCTATAATGATACCTTTAGCATTTCACGATCGTTTCCCAAATATTTATGAGGTTACAGCTATCCAAACGTTAACGTGGCCTTTGGTACAGGTAGGTATTTTGAGCAGCATACTAATTAAGCTCAGAATTCTCTTAGTTGGTACTCTAAGTACAAATGAATGTTCCAAATTTACTTAACTCCATTTCTACATAGATTGCCTCAAAGGATTCCAAATACAGTGGACCCACGATAATCCGGCGCCCCCTGTAGTCCGACAATATTCGCTAATGTAGATCACGCAAGTTTGAACAGGTAACTTGTACGCGCCACCGCTATCGTGCTCGACGCGTAAGCATTGTTTTACTTAGTTTGAATTTGACTACTTGGGATAGCGGTACGGCGTAGCGTGCGTCTATTGTTTACTATTTATTCATTGTGTATTAAGTATAGTACCTAGTAATGTCATTAAAAACTCAGAAGCGAAAGCACAAAACATTGACAATTAAAGAAAAATGTGATATTTTGGACCGCTTAAATCGCAATGAAACTTTCAGTAGTTTCGCAAGTGAATACGGCGTAGGCCGATCTACAATTTATGACATTAAAAGAAACCACGAGAAGATAAAAAAGTTCGTGTCAACAACTGACTGCGGGCCAGGCAAGAGACAGACACTCAAGAAAGCTGAACATCCAGAAGTGGAAGAAGCTTTGTACATGAGGTTTCTTCGGGAAAGAAATAGGCATGCACCAATTTCAGGACCCATGTTGGCCATGAAAGCTAAGTTTTTTATAAGGTACCTGTACCAAATAAGGCCACATTAACGTTTGGATAGCTGTAACTGCGTAAATATTTGCGAAAAGACCTTGAAATTTTAAAGGTATTATTGTAGATATGTTTATTACACAAGCTACATCGGAGAACTCAGAGACCTTTCCTTTTCATATAAAAAAAAAATATATTTTTCGAAACACTACCGTTGGCCTTATTAGGAACCCATGTATCCAAATAAGGCCACCATCTGGTTTTCAATAAAACCACAATCAAAATGTAAATCAAAACTGTATAATAAACGAAGCTATATTTCTAATTAAACAAAATTAAAAAAACACTTAAATCTAGACAGATTTAAATAAAAAAAGTGTAATTGTTTAAAGAAAATCTTAGATTTTGCCTTCGCAATGATGACAAACAAATGATGCTTTATCACCTCTACACCAGCCTACACATTCCTCATGGACCTATCTTAAGCATACTACACACAGACGCATGCCACGTACTTCATCCTTATCGCATATGAAACAGTACCAGTTTTCGTCTTTATTCTTTCGGGACCTTTTGCTTTTAACGGTTCCAGACTCACTAGATTTTTTTATTGTTTTATCTAAGCCGGATGGACCTGGATTTAGGTCTTTAAACAAATCTCTAACGACGATTTGCGCAGTAGAATTGATGGCTTTACGTCTTTTTGTGGCGTTGGCCTTCCATTCGGGTGTGGGAAGTACTTCCCTGAAACTTAGATCCAATTGATCACTGTCTATTTGACCAGTCACAAGATTTGTTGTTTCAAGAACTGCAAACTTTTGAGTCGAGTTTATTTCTTTTTCATTAGAAGTAGCTGTTATCTGTAACATTGAAGTTCCGTGGAATTGTGGAATTTTCTGCGTGCTGATTAGCTACATAGTGAACACGTCTTTCACCTTTCCTCGCCAACACATTTGGTTTGGCGGTGGATGGTGAGTCTGCACCCCTTCTCATCTACATTGTTGATACGATGGGGCTGATTGATTAGGTTTAGTCTAATCAGCAAACTTTCTAGTTTTTTGAAGTATTCGTTTACAATGTACTTATTTAATTTCTGTGCCCTAGCTGGATTTAAAACCTGTGCTTTCCTTTGGAGAATATTTTCATGTCTGTCCAAAAACAACTTCAACCATTTTCTACCTGCCATTCCACTATTTTCATTAAATGTGTGACGAATTTTTTTGTCATTAACATAGGAAAAGACGGATTTTCGAAAAATCTTTGGTGTAAGGGCATTCCTGTATCCGATAATCGGATTATGCTTGAGCATAATTCATCTTCCTGCTCTCTAGACAAAATTGTACGAGTACCAAGTTTTCTTTCTCGCACACCTGTACGAACATGATTGCGAAGTGTTCTTCGTGGAATTTGGTATTCTTTGAATGCACGATTTACCGACGTTCCACTGTTTATACTATCCAGTGCTTATACAAGCGCTTCAGTTGACCACAGCGCCCTTTTCTTACCATTGGATATGTAATTTGTCGGATTACAAGGTACTCTTTTGTAAAAAATTCCGGACTACAGGGGGTCTTAGGCAGTGCTCTATAATTCGACAAATTCGATAGTCCGACACTGCCCTGCATAATGTTTGTCGTAGATATTACCGGAGGTTCACTAGTTTGTAGACGATACCGTATAAAAAATTCAACTTTTACCTGTTTTCTTAGCAATCATAGAAATCGGCATCGGCTTGACGCACCTAATTTTATCCTCTTCGCAATGATTCAACCCCAAAATATTATCAATTGAAAATTTGCTGCTGTTGCTATTGCCACAAACCCCGCTCTTAACATTCGCACTGTCACAATCGAACTCCACCGCTGTTATGTCCACATTTTCGGCGACATCGTTCGCGGAATCGTCCAAAAATCGCGGCGAAGACAGCGACGTTTCCAACTTTTGGATATCATCTTCGGGTCGGCCGTGGTGATTATCCATTTTGACGGCGGATTCTGATGGACCGATTTCCAAGATGAACGTTTCAACCGCTGGTATCCCCGCGGACGCTTCGCGAGGTTGCCGATGTCGCGCGAAATTTTTCTTTTAAAAGAAGTAGTATCTAAGTAATTCCTCGCCATACTGTCGTTTTTCTATTGCGAATCTTTCTACGACGAAAATAGTAATATAACAAATTGAACTAGGAAAAAGTGCAACATAACTGCTTTCTGCGTCAGAAGTTCCCCGCAACAAGAGTATATGCGAAAATATTTATTTATGTATCAATCTATCAAGAGAATCAAGTAGTACTCAATTAAGCTTGGGTCAATTGCTGGAATCTGGTATTCAAATACGAATCTTGAATATCTAATGTATTTATTTTAAACTGCATTCGAATACTCAAGATTCAAATACAAAGAAAAAAGTATTTGAATAAGATGATTTGAATACCAGGATTCATTTAAATGATAAAAATGTATGACTATATAAGTCAAACCTAAAATAATGGTTTTAGGTGCTGTTGCGTCTTGTAGAACTTTCGATTTCACTGTTTTTTCTCTTAAAACTTCCAGAGGATAGTCTGATAGATTATTTAGAAACAAAAAAGTGTGTATGAAGTAGTATGTATTTTTTATGACCAGAGTACCTATATCTAAAATATTTTTGAGAAAATAAATTGTTTGAGAAGTAAATAGTTTCGTCATGTTTAGTTTATAAAGGCATATTTTGGTACAAAGGCAAGTTAATAAAAACGTGTTAAAAATAAACTTACCTTTATACACATATATACCTTATCTGGTAACACACACATATTGTAATAAGTATAAAAATTTAGTATAAAATAGAATGGCACCACCAGCAAAATAAATTTACGTAGCAATTCTGTTCGTGCCATCTAGAACCACCCCAAATGCGTTTTAACATGCTTAAGTTGCGTAAAACGTAACGCAATATCCATAAGAATAGCTAAACAGTATTTGAATACAGGATCCGAATAAAAAGTGGGTATTCGAATACTGGTATTCTGAATCTAGAATATCGAGTACTGATCAAAAAAGTATTCAGTAGAATACCAAACACCAGACACACAAATGTCCAGCCAGAAGGATTCAAAATACTGAGTTATCGAAAACTACCCAAGGCTGGGTACGACCTCGATATTTCACAAATTACCACCTTTTTCAGACTATAACTGTAATTGTGGAACTATGTTATTTGAAAAAAATCTGTAATTCTGCCGTATTTCCGTACACTTGGCAACGGCGCTCCAGTGGGCAGGTATCGCTGTTATCCTATTATCACTAGACTCCTCCCATTTCGCGGAAATCTCGGCAGAGATTGGCACTTGTCTTTCCCTCCACTCCTCAGCAGCCGTTCCGTTTCCTTTTGTCGAGTCTCGCCGTCCTGTAAAATCCATCTCCAGCTATTACGGGGGTTTTTAACGCGCTAACCGCTCTTATTAACCACCAGGGTCGTTTATCATTTCTCACAAAGAGGTGTGCGGACGTCTCTTTGCTATCTTACCTCTAACATTTCGCGCAGGACAGGAGTACGTGGAGATTATGGGGGTATTGTATTGGTTTTTGGTTGAAACACTTTTATTAGTAATACAGAGGTATACTTTATCTGAAGTCACTTGAAATAGCATAAAAACCTTTGGTCGGCGCGTCCTTTGTAATTTCATGTCGTATCATAGGCGTGCGGTCATTTATTTAGAACGATAATAATAATGTTTTTATATCACAATAAATGGATTTTACTATCTTCTTATTTTTTTGATTTGGGATAAAAAATACTTATATTGGGAGTTTAATTTATGTTGACTGAAAGTTAAGAAATGGAAAAATTACAGAATTCCAACGTTTGACATAGGCAAATATTTACATAGCAGGTAGGTATATAAAAAGGTATATAAAGACTTAAATGATAGGTATTTATATATCATCCTCGCCTTCGGAGCTGTCGCTAGAGTCATCTTGTAGAGGAATTACAACGGGATTTACAGGAGGCAAAACACAATATTCATTTTCTTTTTCAATAATATGCCTAGAACACTGCTTCCATAGGTCTGTGGCAGCAATATGAGATACTGCATCTCTTATTGTGGCCAATAGCGATTCACTTAATTGAGGGGTCTGATTATGTTTACTTACTTTTTTTTCTAAAGCAGCCCAGACCAACTCAATCGGGTTAAAAATGCAGTAATAGGGAGGTAGACGTAATACTTCATGGCCATTTTGCTGAAGCAGATTGTCAACAACATACTCTTTTTCAAATTTTTGTCTTTTAATAAGATCCAATAATATGGCTTTGGTTGATTTTTGTGGTATTTCCATTCCCTTATCCTTCATAAAATCAATAATGTCTTGTTTTTTGTGCCTGTATTCGGAATTTTGTTTTTCTGTCGGGAATGGTATGGCGCATTGTCCATAATAATCACTGAATTTGGGGAAATGTTTGGTATTAACTGCTGCTCTATCCACTTTTCAAATAAGTCGGAGGTCATGTCCTCATGATAGTCGACACATGATTCTTTAATATTTTTGGCAGATAACAGCAAGGCATTAGGTATAAATCCATTTTCACTGCCAGCATGGAGAATAATGATTCGTTTTCCACGGTTGCATGGTGCATTTAAAATGCACTTGTTGCTGTCATCAACCCAGCCGTACTGCACAACATCATGGGTATCATACCACGTTTCATCCAGGTAAATCAGATTTCTTTTCTGCTCTCTATAGATTTTAACTTTGTGCAAAAATTCTTGGCGCAATTCAACGATTCGAGACGACTCCATAATCACCATTCTATTATCTAATTTTTTGTATTGAAAACTACACAGTTTTACAATACAGTGCAGTGAGTCTAAGCATTTGTAATTATAAAAATCTTCAGGATAATCTTTTAATTTATCCCGTATCATTTCCAACGTGGGCACCAAATTTTCTTTATAAAATCCGTATATTATACGACGAATATCTTCCTGAAAACCCACGTCTATTCTTTTTAATTTTTGCCCTATGCGCTTTCTGTGGAAGGAATGGTTGACTACATCTCCCCTTTTTATAACCCGATAAATGGTAGACCGACTGATTTTTGTCAGGATACAAATTCTGTTTAAAATTTGATTTTGCGAGGAATCTGGATTTTCGTTTTTCAGACAATCATACATATTTAGGATTACTCTTTGGGTCTGTTCCTCTAAATCTTTATGAAAGTATTCTGCCTGCACAGGTTCATCAACCATCTCCTCGTGGCTTGGAGCATTTTCCCAAGGTCTCCAAAGAGCCATATTTAGGACACACAAGAACAATCAACACAACAATTAAATCAACAAGTAAACTGAGTATTCAAAAGTCAAAAACACACAAACTAATAAAATCTATGAACAAACACGGACAGACTAAAGAAAACACGTTTATTCACCGCTACACGGCACTGGCTAAACTGTTTCAATTTTCAGTAGCCACCTGCACTTGAGCGGAGCTCTGAAATACACGCTTTCTCATTGGCTATGTCCACGCATAGGCGTGCTTTACTCCACGTGGACCGGTGAAACTGCCTTTGATCTCTTATACGGGGGATATTTGCTGCGAAATTTGGCGATTTTTGCAGCAACAGAGCGTGTTAAATATAGATATATAAAACGCACCCGGTATTTCACAGTGTTTCAAGTGACTTCAGATAAAGTATACCTACCTATCTGTAGAGGTGTTATCCGTTCATTATGGAAGTTGTAGGTATTTAGGTACCGCCGACTTGTAAAGGGCGCAGAAAATATTAGCAGATATCTCTTAAAAAAGGAATCCTACCTGACCCAGTTTGTCCAATGGGAATTTCTTTTAAAACTCAGTATCCTGAAAAGTTGAAAGTTTTGGCATATTTTCCATTTTCTCGGTGCTCATATATCACTATTCTGATATAAAATCATCCAAGGAAGTGAAAAATTACCTCCAAATTGAAATATGATAATTTTTTTGGCAAATATTTAAGTCAAAGGTGATTTTTCGAAATTTTTAGTGGTGCATAGCAGTGGCGCTTCTAGGATTTCAGTCTGGGAGAGGTGAAATGGAAAGTAAATTCTCAGTGTGACGTACTGAAGTGTTATAATGATTTAACATTAAAAGCATGCAGATATATGAATTTGTTACGGTAATTTTTGTAGGAAATACGTTAAATTTTTTTTAATTTTGAATCATACGAAATCAAAGTGTAAATAAATCAAACCAAGCTCGAGCAATCTTCATAGATACAGGGTGGCGCAGCGAAAACGAAACAGACGCATTTACTGGCAGCTCAGTTTTTTTAAAACACTCAGACCCGGTGATTTTGTTTTCGAGGGGGACACAAGTTTGGAAAAAAATCACGTTAGCACGTGCAGCCCCCTAAGCGGGGGTGACACCACCCCCAAAATCTTAACTGGAAAGGGGGGTCGAGTGATACCTTATTTTAAACGTCTTTCAATTCCCTTTATAATGATATACCTAAAATTAATGTAATTGAGTTCAGTAGTATTGAAGATTTATTGATTTAAAGCTTAAATAAAACTAATACATCATCATTAGTGGAGATCAATACATTTGGCAGCAAAGTAATTTAAAAATGAAGAATGAACTGACCCTTTAGGCAAGTAAATGTTGAAAATGGCCACCATGACTCTCCATGCAATAATATAGATTTTTCTCAAAACGTTGCCTCACATTTTTCAATATTTGAGGAGTAATTTGAAGGCACTCATTCACAATTCTTCGTCTTCTAATCAGGTGGGCTGAGTAGCATAGATTTTGCTTTTTAAATGACCCCACATACAGAAGTCCAAACGTGATAAATCTGGCGATCTTGGGGGCCATTCAATGGCACCTCTTCCACCAATCTATCGATCTGGAAACGTCTGATCAAAATATTGTCGAACACGTAATGCGTAATGTGGTGGGGCACCATCCTGTTGGAAGATCAACCTATTCGCAATGTACCGCCGATCATTCTCATTTACAATTATGGCTGTTAATGCAGGATCTATCGCGTCTTCCAGTAATTCCAAATACATTTCACCGGTCAAAT